AGTGAGAAGGTAATGCATATGTGTTTGCGCGTGTTTGTAATCGATGTGCGTGTATATGTGCTTGTTTTTCCTTGCCTGATGACATAGAATAAGACAAAAAAAGTCATCGTTTCTCCTCCTAATACTACTTCCCATATGCAATAATGGTTAGCTTTTTTTGAAAGCTTACAGGAAATAATGAGAGATGCTTCTCATATTGCTGAACATGAACCCAGAGAATGAAGAAGAAGAAGAAAAGAATGCTGAAATCTGGCTGTCATATAAATTTTCAATAGATGCGAAAGACAAATCTTCTCTTGAAATATCGAAGTGGAAATCTTTTAAGTAGATATAAATAAAAGTTCTTTGTTCTTCGAATGTTTTTCCTCGAGATTCAATTAACATTTTCTTTTCATCGACATTTTATTGAATCAGCCAGGCCTAACTATATTTCTTATTTACAGCCAATGATGAACGTCCCTCATCATCTGTGACTGCCGATTCGGTCAGAGTGTATCTCAATGAACATCCTGATTTTCTCAACTCTTACGTTCAACAGAACATACATCCGAATACCATCGAACAATGGATTTCAAGAAAGCCGACGAAAGTTTCGTCCACGCGTCCATCGGTGGCAACAACAGCTCCATTGATTACATCGCAGTCGAACAGCGTTTCGACCTCGCCAATAACACATACGAGTAAGAAAAAAAGTCATTCATTAGAAACTCATATTTAATTATTTATATGAGTTCCGAGATGATTTATGATCGCATTTGATGCATTTTTATGACTTGAAACATTCTTTAGATGATAAAAGAAAAATTTCATCGGATTCATCCAAACAAATATCATTAACAACCGCCAAGTCAATGAATACGGTAAAAAAACCCTCAAGTCTCTTTTTATCCAAAGATTATTATGTATATATGTAAATATAGTTAGTTGAACTGAGCGATAAACGTCGTTTATTACATGAACTTACTGACGAAGTCAATCAGAATGTTAGCAAAGCTCAAATTCTTTATGAACTCAATAAATCGATAGCAACAAGTACGAAAGTGAACATTTCGAGAATATTGCTTGAGCTTATCTTTTCAGCTGTGTCAGCAGATGGATTCAATTTATACTTAGTTGACGAAACCGATACCAATCTGCGGCTCTTCTCCGCAGAGAACGATGAGTAAGAAGAGGAAAAACACTCATTGAAGATAGACTTGTACAGACCCGTTTTTAGTGAACTAGCAGCATGTTTTATTCCTATACGAATTGCACCCGGTCATTGCCTTGCTGGTTATGTGGCTTGGTCTAAAGAAACGATACGAATTAGTGATATAGCACATGTAAGCGAACTGGTTTCTTTCGTCAAACGTAACCGTGTTTTTCACAGCTTGATATGGACAAATATCCGGATGGTCTCTATGTCAAAGATGATAAAGTAACTGCCGTGATGGCGCATCCTATCATTAGTGCAACTGGTAATCTTCTCGGTAGCTATCTCCTTCTCATTTAAGCATGATTAGTAATTTGATTATGAATTAGGTGTAGTGGAATTTTATCGTGTTGACAATCTTTTACCATTTTCTGTGGAAGACGAAGAAGTAAGTACTGATACGTCTACCCTAGTCACGCAGTTTCATGTAACGGTCTGGTCTCGTTGACTTCGAACACTTAGAAACACCCCCATGTGCTGTATGTACGAGTGGACTTGTAGTTATTTACATTGCATCAATCGTTCAATATCTTTCTTTGTTTTCTCTTTTGCTTCAGGAAACTTTAAAGTGTGTGAAAGAGCTTTTCACCCAAACATATTACGAGGTATTAAGAAATCCGACTGTGATTTATTTTCTGTGCAAATGTGTGTATTGAAAACGATTCTTAAAATTTTCTTTGATTTTCTCTATATGTTGCTTAATGATCGGTTCTCTTCCATCTTTGCGCTGGAGATTCGAAAGCCGAAGATGATAAACATTTGATTCTCTCAGAGAACGTTTCAATAGAAGATTTCACTCGTCTTTGCTTTTCGTTTAGCTTTACCATTCCATGACACGTGAACGACGTTTAAATGATTTTCTGTTAGCCGTAACAAAATCAATTTTTCAAGAGCTTGTTAGTATGGATGCTGTGATGCTTAAAATAATGAGTTATGCAAAGAAACTAGTGAATGCCGATCGTGCATCTTTATTTATGGTCGATTCTCGAACCAGGGAATTGTACGCTCGAATATTCGATATTGGACGCGAGGAACACGATGTTTCACATTCGTCAATCGTCGCACAGAAGGATATTCCAGGACAAAAACGTTCAGTTTCGGACGACCGTGATTGTATACGGTTTCCAATGGACAAAGGTATAGCAGGATACGTGGCAACAACAGGAAAAACACTGAATATCGTTGATGCATATAGTGATAATCGATTCAATCGGTATGATGAGATGTTTTCGTGCTAAGAACATTCTTATGAAAGATTTTTCTAGAGATATTGATCAAAAAACAGGTTACAAGACGAAAACACTTCTATGCATGCCAATTATGATCCAAGGCAATGTCATCGGTGTGGTGCAAATGGTGAACAAAAAGAATGGACATTTTACCAAGAGTGATGAAGAATCATTCGAAACGTTTGCCGTCTACTGCGGACTTGGTAAGAAAAGAAAAATCTAGATGATCAAGTTGACTGTTGTGATGGTGTACACTAATCGGTTTTTTATGTATATGGCAAAAAAAAGAAAGATCATTATTTGAGTTAGCTATTGGTTAATCTTAGACATGAAAGTCAATAGAAAGTCATTTCCGATTGTCTGCCTTTGCATAGTTCAACTAATTACAAATCGATTTGAAATTTAAATATAGACACAAATAGCACACGACATTTCTCTAGTGAATCATGCTGACACTAACCGATTCTTTTATTTTAGCTTTACATCATGCTTCATTGTACGACCGTATTCGTCGATCCGAACAGAAGTGTAAAGTTGCACTGGAAGTTTTGTCTTACCATGCCTCGTGTAGTGACGAAGAGTATGAACGATTTAAGACATGTACCATTCCAAGTACTATACCCGACCTTGAATTATTTGAATTTTCGCCTTGGAGTGTTACAAATGATATGAAACCAATTTATGTTCTTTACATGTTTCTCGATTTGGCTAGTATGGATCAAGTGAATGCAAATCGGTAATTTCTTTTTCTCTTTGCAAATGTCAAATATCAGCATTTTCTTGTGCTACAGGTTCGATCGAGAATGTTTAATGCGATTTGTTCTGACTGTACGAAAGAATTATCGTAACGTTCCTTATCATAATTGGTCACATGCATTCAGTGTCGCCCATGCAATTTACACTGTGATAAAACTAACGAAACATCATTACACACCGAATGAAGTTCGTTGATGATTGTTCGCGTAAACGTCTCGTTAATCTTTCCGTTTGTTTTATTAGTGTATCGCTCTATTTGTTGCCTGTCTTTGTCATGATCTCGATCATCGAGGTAAAACGAACGCCTATATGGTGAAAAGTGCATCGACGCTTGCTTCAATCTACTCGACGTCAACGATGGAACGACATCATTTCAATCAAACAGTCACCATTTTACAGGTAATGAAAGCAATGACCTGTTCTTTTCGCTTACTAATTGACCGTGATCTTTAGACGGAGACCTTGAACATTTTCAAACATTTTTCTTCAAAAGAATATCGACAAATGTTAGATGAAATTCGTCATTGTATACTCTCAACTGATTTAGCGCTATTCTTCGAAAATCGCCCTAAACTCGAAAGAGTCGTCGACCAGAATCAATTTGATTGGCATAATCGCGATCATTTGTGAGTTCATTCATCTTCAGTCTCGTCTTACTGATCTGCTTGTTTTCGTGATTTCTATGATCTATTGCACATATTCTTTCGTGATCATTGATATGATTTCTTATTGTTTTTTTCTGGATTGCTCTATATTTTGATCTCTAGGCTGCTCGTGATGGGGCTCAGTATGACTGCCGCTGATTTATGCTCGTCATTCAAACATTGGGCCGTACAGCGGTCGAATGTGAGCATCATCATGGAGGAATTCTTTCAACAGGTGATTTGATTTTTGCAAGATCTCTTTCTCTCTCTCTCTCTCTGCCATTCACGCATTTTGCTCTTTCTATGTTAATTCGTTCGTGACTATCCAAATAACATTTACTAACCCTAAGCAGCTTCGTCTGACTACACTATTTATATTCCAGTCAATATCTGCAGTCAATATCGATGACAGTGGCTGATTTGTGTGCGATGTATAAGCCATGGCCCGTGCAAAAGAATATTGTGAATACAATCATGGCCGAGTTTTGGCAAGAGGTGTGCTTTTCTCGATGAGAATTAATATAGAAATTAGCGAGTGAAAGAGAGAGCGAGAGAAAGATTTGTTACCATTTTGTTTTACCTATCAAATTGATTTCTACAGGGTGATGAAGAGAAACGTCGCGGTATTCAACCGCAATCATTGATGGATCGATCGTTGGCACATGAATTACCAAAGAATCAGGTAAGATTTTCTACATATAAAATCATGCGTTAATGATTTATCTGCATACCCATCGGAATGTTTCCGAGATGATTTCATGCGAAGTAATAGACCAAATACGGTGGTTATAATCTCAGATCTTTCTCATGACACTTGCAAAAAGCTCTAACGTTCATTTCTTTTAGGTGAATTTTATCAACAGTATCTGTTTACCGTGCTATTCATTAATCGTGCGTGTGCTTCCTGAAACAATACCAATGTTGAATGGAGCGAAGTAAATCTTATCCTCTCTGTCGAACTAATCACAGCATCTGCTTTCAGAGACAATCTTCATCGATGGCAAGAACTTGCTGATGAACAGCAGCAACAGTCATCGTCAGCAACGATGAGTACGAGCACGTCAACCAATGAAATAACCGACTCATCTTCTGTGGCTACTCATCAATCCGAATCGTCGTGATATGCACATGGAAAATATCCTATTTTTTGTGTTATCCGCTCATTGTTTGTGTTTTATTTACTTTCTCCTCTTTTTCTTCTTCTTCTTTTGCTAATGCACAATACAATGATGAACATTTCTAATTGCATCATTCTCCAGAAAGAAAAAATGAGATTTTTATTTCATAAAGACAAATAATGACAACGACAATACATTTTCAAAAAACACACACGCACACGCTGATGACTAAATACACGTTGTATATATATATATATCGCAAGTTTAAAAAACAATCAAGCGGACAATATTTGTTCTTTGACGTACATATAGAGTTAAAAAAATCTCGGTATTTCTCTTCATTGAAAATTACTCAAACAAATAATCATAACAAACAACAACAGAAAGAAAGAAAGAAAGAAAGAAGGAAGGAAAAAGAAAACATCATTTTTCTAGAGCAAAATATGGTTTTATGCTTATGGTGTGTTAATGTGCAAAGAAATACAGCGTGTAATTAGTCTATAGAATATATATATACGAAGATAGAGAGGGAGCAAAGAAGAATGATGCTTTGAACATCGAAAGAAAATCAAAATACAAATGAACAATGTCTAAATTATGAAGATGGATTTGTAGTAGACGAAGTAATCGTTTTCTTAGGATCTGAATCCTCAGATTGATCGTGATTATGTGTATCAATATTTCGCGTCGACGGTGGTGTTTGCAAGTCAACCATACCTTTTTCTCGAATCACTTTTAACGCTGCTTGTTCAGCAGCGCGTACCACATCTTCGCTATGATCGACTAAGGAAATGATGTTGACACCATCCCATTGAACACCGCAGGAGTTGAGTAGTTCATGAACCTACGAAAACAAATTAGTTATTCGATATCGATGAAAGTAAACTTTCTTCATTCAATACGGTCTACGCCTACTGAACAGTATGATAAGCCATCATCTTCAGCGACAGCAGGTGACACTGGTAGGATATCATATTCTCGATAGGCAAGTAGTAATCTATGCAAGGGCATATCTGTTATCCTTAACCAGCTGCATCCCTGCATGCAAGGTCAATCAGAATGAAGTTTTCTCTCCTAATGACATACGCATGCGCCTGTCTTGACTAAATGCACTATTTACTACTTACGTCACTGTCGGTTACAGGTATTTCCCGTGTACCGCCCGATGCAGTTTCTAATAACATTCGAACATCAAATGCCGCTGCTTGTTCATCGTAATGTATGGCTGGATGTTTGCCGCGATAGAATAGAATTCTCGCTCGTTCATTGGCTTCTCGCCAGCTGAGGCCACGAGCAACTCGATGTGATATTGTTGTACTATTCAATGTTTGATCACCCGTTGTTGACGTTGATAAATAACGTGTTGTTTCTTCAATGGAATATTTCGATGTTCCGTACGCACCGGGACGTGCCGGTAGTGATACGTACATTTCTTTCAGTACTAACGGTTTGCCATTTAATCGGTCTTTCATTAAACTTTGCACTTCGGGTTTATCCATATCGTCAAATTGATTAGTGGCATGAGCTTGTTCGATAACATCGACAATCTGTTCGATCAATTGGTCTTGTTGGTTTTTGTGGAAATCCTTTTTCAGTTGTTCTTTCAGATCTTGGTAGCTCTTGAATTGACCTTGTTTTTGTTCTTCTAAGTAATGAAACGTCTTATTGAGATAATTGTCGATGTGGTTTTCGATCGCTGGCGATGGACTGTTGTTTGTAAAGAAGGTTTTGAAAGAAGTAATGATCTTTTTTCGGTTGCTCTTCAAATTTTGTCGCGCACGTTCGCTGATCAACGATGATGGCCGTCGTTTATCTTGCACTGGTGCTTGTGTTAATAACAATAGGCCATCTCTGTGTGCTTGTTTGAGAATTTCTACCGAACGGTTGCAGAGATCGTGTGCTTTGGGATATTCACGTTGCAATTGCGACGTTAGTTCATCCCACGAATTGAGAACATTTAGTGAAAGTATTTCAATATTTCTATGAAGGATTTTATTCAATTCTTTGATTTGCTTCTTCGTTAATTTCTTTTCTTTTGACTCGTTGTTAATCAAATATTGTTCTAACCATGATAATTGATTGGATTTGAACGCATTCCCTTCTTCTGTAGATAACAAACTCCATTGATTGTTGTACAACTTGGCTGTTTGTGAAATATTCGAGTCTAAGATATCGGTATTGATCTTCTCATTCATCTGCGTGATATCACAGTGATCTAATGTATCACGAATGATATCGACGATTGGATCAACCAGATAGAAGCTTTGTTTATGCTCAGTTTTCAAGTCATTACGAATTTGTTCGTAGGAATGAATTTTCGGTTGAGTTAATAATACTAAGCCTTTGCGGATGATTTTCTCTGATTCTTTCGGATGATCAGCAAATTTTCGAATTGGTGGTTGTGAAGATTGAATGTGATCACGAAGAATATTGCTTAGATCATTGCGGTGTGTATTCAATTGTGTACGACGACGTTCGTCAACCAGGCCAACTGATGTAATTGTCGACGCAGGTTTGCTTTTCGATTTCGAACGACCACATGTTAAACACGAGCGTGTCGATTCAATCGGTTTCGGTGTTGATTCGACAGGCGTTGTCGACGTTTCCCTAGAAGAAAATTCATGTGATCAATATACTTTGAACTCGATCTGTGCGATAAATTACTTGGTCATCTGTGTAGTCGTTAATGGCGTTGCTTCTTTACTCAAATGCAGCACTGTGTCGTGTGTCTGCTTGGCCGGAAGACGTACCATCTGTTAGAAGAAGAAGAAGAAGAAGAAGAAGGAAAAAACAATAAATATACAACAACAAGAAATCATTAATCATTTGACTTACATCACGTATCGCTAATGGAAATTCTGGTTTATCCAACTTGTCTAAACCTTGTTTTTCGATAGCATAGTATAGTGAATGAACGACTGGATCGACAAGAAATGCTTCATTTTTGTGTTCGACAGTCAGTTTTTGCTTTAATTCAGGATACGTTGCGACTTTCTTTTCTTGAATTAAATCAATAGCATGTGTTAAGATTTCATCCAGTGACTTTTCATCTTTCTTCACATCGAAGCCATCCAACGATTTGGAAATTTCATTCGCTAAAGATGTTTTCATCTGATCACGTCGGGCAATCAGTTTGGTGTGTGTTTCATCGTTCATGGTGATCTTGCGAGTGAAGTCATATTTGCTTGCATGAGTACTTTCGATACTTTTTGGTACAAGTGTTGGTTCGGGTGCTTGAATATCCGGAAGAGAATAGCCTTTTGCAGTGATATTATCCAAGATTTCACTTCCTAGGCCGGAACTAATCGAACGATGTTGTGGAATGTCTTCCGTGATCGTATTGGTACCGAAAGTTGACGACGGGTGTATGTGTGACGAAACGATTGCTTCGAGGCCACTATCAGAACGTGATTGAATTAGTTCAGGAATTGGTGCGGATTCTTGCTTGGACAGGGAGAGGTAGGCATCAGATTTTGTTGGTACAGATAGATCGAGATCAGGAATATTCATAACCGGAGCTTTGAGAACGAATGAAGGAGACTTCTTCGGTTCAGTAGAAACGGGCTAGAAAGAAAGGAAAATCCATTAACGATGATGAGTATTTGATAATATCCAACTGCGCGAATCTTGTTTAACGATCGTTATTTTAGCTAAGAAAAGTTATGGTTAATGTTCTGCTCTCGAGACTCTTGGTGTTATCTTTGACATTTTCCATTTCTGGAAATTATCTCTTATTTGTCAACATAGATAAGTAACAAGAAAAAAAAACAATTTCTATATCATTTCATGTCATTTTTCCCGACTAATGCTGTCGTTAAACAGATTTGTTAGTGAAATGCGAAGAGAAAAGTTATCTGTCAAGCTCTTACTTTAATCTCTTTTTTTGACGGTTTCTTCTGACCAGATGTTGGACTCGTTGATTTGATCTGAGTCGCTTCTTGTGTTGTTTTTTCTGTGGTAGATGATGGTGGAATATCAGAATTAACTTTTGATTCCTTTGCCGTTTCTTTCTCTTTGGCTTTTTCGACGATTGTCTCTTGTTTTGTTTGGCCGGTTGGAACGACTGCTTCGGTTTCATGAATATGAATGCCTGATAAACGAGCAGTTCCGGTAGCTGTTGGCGTGAAATCAACGGGTGGAAGGTTACTACTGGGCGCATGTAATCGCCCTTTGGTTTTCAATGTTGAGGAAATATTTGTGGAAGGAATCGGCATTTCGATCTCGGGTAAACTTGCACGTGGCGCCGTGAGTGGATGAGTTTGTTTTTCTTTGGCTGCACCTGACTTTGTACCAAAACAGGAGCAGAATGTTGAACGGGTGGGTTTGATCTTTTTCACTTCGGATTTAGTCTCAATCAATTGCTTGGAAGGATAGTGAACTGCTGGAACAATATTTGGTGGTGTACTAGGAACATCGTCGTCAAATGATGGTGGACTAGTTTTGAAATCTTCAGATAAGGAGAGCACGGGTTCGGGCGAAGGTAATTGGTAGTTGTATTCGGTCTTGATTTCCGTCTAAAATAAACCAGAGATCATCAAGTTTTGCTCTTCGTATGCACTTACTTGAGTAATCACGATCGATTCGGCTTGTTGCAGACCTGTAACTTGATACTTTTCTTCAATGCTGATTACTTCCGTTTTGATACAAGCTTCTGGTTGTTCAGTTGGAACGATGGGAACAATCGGTTCCACTTTTGCAGCATAATCTGTTTCGATAGGGAAGTTTTTATGATCAGTTTGAATATTCAACATATCTTCAACAGGTGAAGCTAATGCTAGACCAGCTTGAATAGTTGAGTGTGGATCGGATTCGGTTTTAACTGTTTTCTCAAACTGAATTTCGGGCAATTTAACATCATCCTGTTCGTTTAATGTATACTGAACGTCAGGCAGTTGAACATTGGGAACTTTCATCAGATCAATATTGAAATCAATGGTTTGTTTTTCAACAGCTGGTAATTGTAAATTTGGTATAGATGGCAAATCAACAACTGGAATGTCAAATTCCGATGATTGTCGAATGGAACCGCTGGCCATGTTGACTTCTGGACGTTTGTAGGTAGGCAATGGAAAGTCAAGTTTGGGTAATTGCACCGATGGAACATGTAAGGGATCGCTCTCGGATTGACGCAGTTGGGTATTGGGTGATAGATCACGTTCGATAGGTGGTAAATCAAGTGCCGGTATTTTCGTTCTTCGATCGCCAGGGCGAAAGAACGTCGAAAGAAGGCTTGATTTTTTCTTTTCGCTCGTCGTCGATTTCGAACTTTTTGTTTTGACTTCTTTTTCAGTCGCAACAGGTTTGGATTTGGTTTTGGTTTTCGACTTGGGTTTCTTTTTCGTCTCAGTTTGTTCACTGGATTTGGATATTTCAATCGCCGGAGGAGACATTTGTTCGCTATTGACTTTCTGAAAAAGAAAAGAAAGATATGCTCGTTTCGCGCATTTTCAACACACGTGGTGGCTTCTTTTCCTTCTAATGAACTCGATTCTTTTGCATGTTCTTATCACTAACATCTCGCGATGATTTGTTTACATTTCGCTTCTTCTTATTCTTTTATCCATACAAGCAGCATAGTTAATAATACTTGTCATGTTTCTCTCTCTCTCTCTCTCACATGTAACATGACTTTCTTTTCATCTGTCACTCATTCGAATCAAGCGTTAAACATGATTAATGATTCGATCATTGCGCTGAACAAACAGAAATCAATTATCACTCACTTGTTCTTCTGTTTTGATTTCAACAGATGGTGTTGTTTGTTGAAGTTCAACTGTACGAGGAATATCATAAGTATTGCCGTCAATTGTACCACTCACTGGCGCTGCGGTCTGTTTAGGGAGACTCTGTGAAAATGAAATACATATTTCAATTGATTAAGTGTCTTTTCTGCTTGACAACGTATCGTACCTCGAAGCTCTTGTTGAAAGTTCGCTCTTTGAACGTATCAATATTCACTTGCGAATAGATTGATGCGTTTTTAACGACGGAATCAGTAGATTTTGTTGAGGGTGTCAATGGCACTGGCTCACTGGTTGGTTGCTGGTAATGTGGTTCTTCGGATGCGGGGGCTGAACTCAAACGTTCTTTGGATTTGGGGAGACTCTGAAAAGACGTGAAAGTAAGAACGAGATGTATTGTTGGTCATATTCTAATGGCGGTTTTCTTACTTCGAAACTCTTGTCAAAAGTTCGCTCTTTAAATGTGTCGATATTCACTTGCGAGTAAAGCGATATGTCGTTTGTAGATCGAACTTTCAGTGATGAAGGTAGGGATTCGTTTGTTGGAAGTTGATAATGATGTTCCTCAGATGGAGCTGCGCCATTCAAACGTTCTTGAGATTTGGGGAGACTCTACAAAGAAAGCGATAAACAGAAACTGGTTCTGCGGTGATTATCATTCTAATTACTTCGTAGCTTTTATCGAATTTTCGTTCTTTGAATGTATCGATGTTGACTCGGGAATATAGGGAACTGCCATCTGTATTTTGAACAGTCGGTAATTGATAGTGAGGTTCTTCGTGTGGAGGTGGAGCTGAAGTTGCGTCCAATCGTTCTTCTGATTTGGGACGACTCTGTCGCAACAAATGAGAATCAGCACCGGAAGACAGATTGAAGACTACTTACTTCGAAACTCTGCTCGAAACTTCGCTCCTTGAATGTGTCAATGTTGACTTTGGAATAATCAGGTAAATTGTCAGTGCTTTGTACCTTTTGTTGGGGAGGTACTGATTCTTTCTTTGGGATTTGATAAAGAGGTTCTTCAATTGATACTGCTGTATCCAACCGTTCTTGTGATTTGGGAAGACTCTATAAGAAAAAATGGATGTTAGTATCATTTTGTGAGAGAAATTATTAGAATTCAAATACTTCGTAGCTCTTTTGAAACGTTCGTTCTTTGAATGTGTCGATATTTACTCGTGAATATACAGATCCACTTTCTGAAGTTTGTTGTATCGGTGTTGGTGGCGGAGATGAAGTAATAGGTTCACTGCTTGGCAATTGATCGTGGGATTTCTCCGGTAATGAAGATGGTTCGATTTGTTCATTCGTTGCACCCAGACGCTCCTCCGATCTCGGTAAACTCTACAGAGAAGATCAAAAAGAAGTTTTAAATCTACTTCCTCAGAAAGCTTTTATTGTCGTATACCTCTGAACTTTTTTGAAAAGTTCGCTCTTTGAATGTATCAATATTCACTCTTGAATGTAGAAATGAATCGTCTGCAGTCTGTTTCTTCGGTGGTAACGAAACAGTTTCTGTAGGGGATAATTGTTGATGAGTTTCCTCGACAGGTGGGGTTGCGACCAAACGTTCCTGCGATTTCGGCAGGCTCTATAAAAAAGAAACGGGTCTACGCTTGGAGAAGATATATGACATTTAAATTGATTTACATCGTAGCTTTTGTCAAACGTTCGCTCTCGAAATGAGTCGATGTTAACTCGAGAGAAAATTGATGAATCGATAGCTGTAGTCGATCCGTAAGATGTTGGTGCTTCAGTATTGATTTTCGTGGACGATGATGCTTGATATTGCTCCTCAATTGTTGTTTCCAACCGGTCCTGTGACTTTGGAAGAGACTAAAACGAAGACATAGTGGTATTTTTTTTATTAAGTTGCATTATTTTACCTCGTAGCTCTGGTCGAATTTGCGCTCCTTGAAAGTATCAATGTTAACTCGAGGTAAGATAGGTTCATCGTTTCTAATGATAGGTGCTGGTGGCGGTGTTTCGATCAGTGGCGATGGCTCATCTTTTTTCTCTTCAACAACACTTTGTTTCGGTGCAACAGGTGCTGGAATGGGTGTTACAGACACTTTTTTCTTCTTTTTCTCTGCGGCTTTGGCACCAAAGCACGATGCGCATAAACCACTAGTGGATTTCTGGCCTTTTGTCACTGTTAATTTAGGTAACGGTCCAGGTTCCACTAATTCAACAGGTGGCAACTGAACGGATGCACCATGCAAGTCAAGCGTTGGTTTCTTCACGACGATCTTATGTTCGGACTTCTTCGATGGTATTACAATCGGTGTCTTTTCAGGTTGAACATCAACTGGCTCGATTGTCGCTGGACGAGGTTCCAGATGATGATGATGACTCTGCACTTTGCGTTCGATTACTTCATGATGAACTTCAACTGGTTCAATTGTAGGTGGTCGAGGTTCGAGATGAATTTCAGTCTCTTGTTCCACTATTTCTGATAGAGAACTGACCGGTTCGATTGTTTCTACACGAGATTCTTCATGGATTTCCACTTCTTGTTCAACTATCGCTTCAGGAGATTCTAATTGAACTTCATCTGTCTGTTCGACTGGCTCGGGTTCTGAATGAATGAGTGGTGCTTCGTGCGCAACTTCAGCTGGAGTAGAACTTGCTTCTTCTTCGACTGTTTCAGATTTATGAATAACTGCTTGGATGTCAGGTGTTATTGGTCGTTCATATTCCGATGGAGATTTATGCTAAAGTAAAATATGAAGAACATCAATGCAAAGAACAGTACGTATTCTTACAATAGGTAACACAAATCGATCTTCAAAATCACTCGGCCTATACGACATGTCCATTCCAGGTCGATCTCGGAAAGCATCAATATAGATCCGTTTACCATCAGACGTAATTGAGTAGTCAACAAGGGTCTTTTCGACAATCGATTTGACCGGTTCTTGCGGACTATTTGGTTCGCTGACTAAGATCGTCGGTTTGACTGTCGCTGAGCCCTGTTGTTCTGTTCCTGATTTTGGTTTCTTACTTCGAAAGCATGAGAACAAGCCACCACTTGATTTACGCTTTTTAGCATGCACGCTTGGTGCTGCTGCTGCTGCTGACGACGGTGGTGGTGTTTTTTCTTTTTGCACTGTAGTCGGAGCACTTTCTTGTATTGGCGATATTGTTGACAATGCCGGTGATGAAACAACTGTTTCCGACTCTGTCATTTGCTGCGAAAGATTTGGCGACATTCGGTCGTCATGAATGTTTCTTTGCATTGCTAAATGATCGGATGAAAGTTGTTTTTCTTGGATTTGAATAATGGTCGTGTCTGTTTTATAACCCGCATGATCCGGATTGAATGTTGTTTGCGCTTCTACAAATCGGCCTGGTTCGGGTGAATAAGCAATGATGCGTGAGTGTTTTGGAAAGAAAAGCGTATTCAAAATTCGACTTTGTTCTTCGTAAATGCCCAAAGAGTGCAAATACGCAATATCCTTGGGATCCGAACTATCCAAGCGTAATTCTCGAGATAGAATTGCTTGTCCAACAGTCTATAAAAAGGGAAAAGAAAGTAATGACAAAGAGAAAGAAGATCGAAAATCAATTTACTTTATCTGATCCATGAAAGTCTGATTTAATTATTTGAATAATTTCATGATTCAATTCGTATTTATCAATTTGTTCTTGTGTAGCTTTGTCGAGATCAATTTTTTCTTCGTCGTGTAAATCATCACGTTTCGGTACAATTGGTACATCATGATGAATAGGTTCGAATTCGATTTTAATTTTACTTGCCAAACTTTCATGTGTTGCTGTCGTCATTGAATAACCCGAGTCCGATTGACTAACATCGTTGATTGACGCATCTTTCGCATCATAAACTGGTAATGATGTACGTGCAACATCGAATTCTAGTTGATCGTACTGATCCTTGTTGTTCAAGATGGCTTCTGCTAACGACCGGAATTGTTTTTCGCTGAAATCTAATGTTGGTTCGAATGATGGTTGTAATCGATAAACGAACGGTTCGGTATGAGTGAATTTTTCGAATGGATTCGTTTCAGCCAGATTAATATCAGTTATATATTCACCAGAACGTCTAACACGGATTAGATTCGATATTGATTCGTCGGATAATGGATGAAAAAGACTTTTAATGCGTTGAACCGCTTCATTGGAAAGGCCTAGTTTGGGATCTTCGAGATCGATGTATTCATATGCGATAGCTTCAGCTAATGTAATGGGCTTGTGCTGGGAAATATCAGCCAGCATTTTGATCAAATGTTCTTCATTATAGATTGGTGAAGTATGCTCTTCCATCTGATCAGTAGATGTGGTTTGTTTCAGCGGTTGTTCCTCATCAGCATTGATTACTTAAAGGAAAAGGAGGAGAAAAAAATAAATGATTTGTTCTATTTGTTTAATGAGAAAATGAGAATGAACATCGTTCAATAGGATTGAATGTCAACGAGTAATTGAATACTAACGATCGATTCTATTCGAGTTAAGTCAAGTGAATTTTCTTCCAGTCCATTCACACCTACCGGTCGTATGAATATTTTGTCTCGGCGGTATCCAACACCACTTAGATAAAACAGACCACTTTCGAAGTCTCATTGTACGTTAACAAATATATTATCTTGCTGATCTACGCTTGTACACACGAATGGAGAAAAGATTTTCTCTTAGTCAATCATTCGTTCACTCGTCCTTAGGTAAACAGTATTCGACATGCGCATCTGTCATCAATGTGTCTATTATTTGCCCAATGGTCGCGTCAAAATGTGATGTGTATATATCAATAAAATAAAACACGACCTTTTGCCTTCGACTCGTCATATATCAATCGGGCTGAAAGAATCCTTCCTTTTCTTCTCACTTTACCTCGGAACGTATTAATTGCTTATGACGCGATGAGAGACGCTCATCTTCCAGATAATTGAGATAACCGACCGACTTACCCATGCCGATATCTTTTCAGTTCTGCGCTGTACATAATTGCGAGAGCAAATCGTGTGCCTATTAACCGCAAGCTATAACAGACGGCTAACTATGTCGTCGATGAGCTCAAATGATGCAACCATGGATAGAAAGCAAAGAAGAAATCGAATGGGAAACTTATGCGGATTAATAATGGTTCGTTAATCTTATAATCAATTTGTTTTCTAATGTTTAGAGATTTTCATCTCTTGAATTCACAAGATTCGAAGTCGAAGATTCATTAATATACTAATTATTTGTCTGATTCGATTAAGAGTATGATTCTCTCTGTCATTTTTTGCATTGGTATGTGTCAAGAGAAGCAAACGGTGCTCGAGCTCCACTGATTAGATAATAAACGTATGAATTCGTATGTATTTTTTGTCTTGATTTATCTACCGGGAAGAAATGTATTGAGAACGTTCTTCTCGTTATACATATATAGAATGTTATGCTAACGGAAAAGCCAACTAAGCATCAAGGTTAATCTCAAGCATCTCAATGCGTAACTCCAATGCAAAGAAAACACTCTTGAAGAAATCAATCGTTTACCTTTCTCGATTAGTGCATCATGATGAGTATCAGTTGCTTGCTGTTGTTGAATTGCTTCTAATGGCTTCGCTTGCTGTTCATGTTCATTAAAATATGTTTGCACAATCTTAAGATAATCATTATTTTCATGAATATTCTGAATATCGTTTTCATTGTGAATCGTGGAGAATGTATTCAACAAGTTCGATTGTTTCGTCGTCAGCAGATTATGGTAGGTGTTAACAATCGGTTGCAGAGAGAAATTTGCCGAAAGATAATTGGAATACTCGTCTGTTAATTGATCGGACATTTGTGACCACGATTGACATCGATCATAACGTAATAAATCCAGAATACGTGATGAGAGTTTTCGTGCTTTTCTATCATCATCGTTGGATGTGTATAAATTCGACGGAGCGAAGACTTTCGAATGAATGTATTCAATTAATAAAGATTTCTTGTCAATAATCAATTGCTTTATGTCCGCGGAAATTAATTGTTGACCTTGAGTTTGTGTATCAATGGTTGGTTGATTGACAACTGGTGTTGGTGGAACTACTGAAGGAGTTGTCTTTATTTGCTCAGTGGGAGCGACAACGAGTTTGTCTTTTTCATTGTCATCATCCACGCCACGGGTACACGAGCAGAGTTTCGATTTCTTTTTCTTTTTCTTGACTTCCACTGGTTTTGTTGGCGATACAGTTGATAATGGAACGATGGTTTCGGCGACTGGACCTCGTCCAACGACAGTTGATTCAGCAAGAACTGGTTTTTCTTCCGGATGAAGTTGTTTCACTGGACTATCGGTTGGAAAATCTTTCGCAGTGACAATTTCATTCTTCGGTTCATAATGCGTTTCTTTAACTGTTGTAACACGCGGATGATCAGTCCAATATGCTGATGACGATGATGGTAAGAGTCGATTGACGTCATCAATGCCTAATTCTCGTTTAGCACGTTCGAGATCATGCTGATCATTGATGGTGATTGTTCGAGTAATTTCGGTGACTTCGGTTTTAACAACCTTTGTTATCATATGATGAGTTTCCGGATCTTGTGCAATAGTTTTTTTCGTTTCGATTTTTTTCTTCACTTTGCATTCGAGATCTTTATCTTCTTCGACAGTTGTGACGATTTCTTCGATCATACCTTCATCGTCGGATTGAATGATTGTGTCTTCGTCTTCCGGATTGCCACGATCAATACTTCGACCACCGACAAATCGAGTTTTAGCTTTGTTTAACTCATCTGATGCGACTTGTTCGATTGATTCAATGGTTGATTCCATTGCAGTTTTGTGTTTTTGCGAATTCATTTTCGAATTGTCAATTAATTGTTCGTTAGAAACTAATGTTTGGTCCGAGCGAGGTTTATCAACGAGAATTCTAAACACAAAAGAGACACATTTTCGAATTTGAAATTACCCTAATGCCGCTTGGCACCATCATTTTCCTATTAATATACTCGGTCAATGTCACAACTAAGTTGAAACAAGGTTCTCTTTTCTTTTTTTTCTAAAGAGTAATCTTTTGTAGTGGTTATTATCCTTGGCCACCTTTCCTAGCGACATCTGTTCCTTCCAATGTGGCATCAAGAGAGACGAAGAAAAACTTTTATTCTGATAAAAATTCAATCGACATCAGGGGAATATCAGATTGAATCAATAAATAAGTTGCTTAGAAATGTATATACGTAGGCAAAGAAAAGACGATTAGCAAACATGAAATCATTCGTAGGATCGAGATTTTATTACAAAAATAAAAACTATCGTTTTCCTCTGTGTCGCCTTGTTCAAATAAACGCCTGACAAGAAAAATCAATCATAGAAGAATAGATTATCAAATGGTTAATATGCTTTGTGTTAATCTCAAGGGACCACGGCTAATCTCAAATCACTCAATAAATATATCGATATTCATTTTACCGAAAATTGTGTATCTCAACTTCTGCACTATCGATACAGAACATATCAGGTAAAAAGAATAGTGACATGTAGGACAATCTAATTTTTTCTAGGTAAACCGGCGGTTTCAAGTATTTACGAAAGTATCAATCGCAATCATGCAGAAGAACGAAGGAGAAGAAAAGAATTATTTATTATTTGATTTGATACGATGACGTCGTCAACGTATAATTAAACCAAAAGAGAGGAAAGTGATTCTGTTGTTATATTATTCATATCTTGTAGATTTAATTTCAGTTCACAGAACAGAACATACAACTCGTTCTCTAATTTTTCTTAAGTGAGTTCGGGCATCTACATGTACAAGCACTCGCGCATCATCTAAGTGAGTTTCAAATAAATGTGAATCAATACATGAATCGTTCTTTCCTCTCGAGCAGCTAATTTCATTGACTAACAATACGTTATGTGTACATGCACACATACACGAAGTTCGAATGTATACTTCACTTAGCGTTTTTTTCTTATTCATTCATACATACATTCATTTATCAAATAAAAAATGCAATCATTATAATAATTATCAACAAAAGCAATGCGTCTTACCGAAATCGTTTCTTTCGTAACACATAGGGCATTAGTTGCTTATGAGTTCTGGGCGTTAGTAAAAGTGTATACGATCCATTTCTTTCCACGACAAGATCGACTCCTGTGAGATGCATACGCGTTGTTGTGTTTAGAGTGTTATCAGTTGCAACATTAGCTGGTGAGTTAGCTAATGTTGTGCTTGGCAATGTATTGTTGGGTGTTGCACCGGGTTCAGCAGACATTGGTGCTTGGACTAATAAACGGGCGTTCGAGCAGCCCATCGTTTGTTCACTGAGTATCTGTCCTTACAATCTAGACCATAAGACGACACATGGATGTATCGAGCGAGTAAACATAGAGAGAGAGAGAGAAATAGAGAAACAAAGGTGCCAGTGGTATTTGGCTGCTACTATACTGTATATAATAGTGTCGAAAAAGAGAAAGAAAGAGAGGGAAAGCAAAAACTTGTTCGTCAAACGATGGTGAAGAAAAACCGTCGAGGAAAATTGTGATAGAAGAAAAGCATTTTTTTTAAATGTCAAAGTTGGCAGTGGTTGGATGGTAGAACTGGAATCTTCTTCTTCTTCTTTTTCTTCTTGTTCGTCTCTTTTTGTCGTTGTTAAAAAAAAGGAATAAGAAGACGATTCATAAACGACCGACCGATGACGAAAGAAAAGAGAGAGACAGAGGGGAGAAGACGACAGCGACAACCGAGCAGAATGAGTTCTTTCTTTTTCTCTTTTATACATCACCACTTTTTTTCCCTCAGACATCGGCATGCATTCGGGTTTTTTTTTCTCCTCTTCCAGTTCGTGTGGCAAAAGCGTCCGCCTATTATCGCTTTGCATTTTAGTTAAAAATAGAAGAAAGAGAAGCAAGGAAAGAAAAACTCAACGACATCGTCACTGCTTTTCTATGTTCATTGATAGGCCAGCTTTTCCATTAGCGCAAATACAAAAGAGAGGCAAACAATAGCAAAAGAAAATACAATACTTTTCTCCTCTATCCTTGCTCAAGGAGTAAAACTAGAGAGACTGGTTATACACCGTTCGTTCTTTTTTCCGGGTCGCTCGATTTATAATCATGATGATGATGATCATCATCATCCTCATCCATTCTTTGATCAAATGTGCCGATTAGATTACGTAGGCTATATGAATGGCAATGAAGGCCGCTTTTCTCAATCGTATCTAGCGTAACTCGAGAACATCCAAGTATGCCGCAAGAACGAACAGAGAAGGAAAATTGATTGTTGTTGTTGTTATGCAAATGTAAAGGCAACATCCTTTGCTTTTCTCCTTCTTCTTCGATTTTCAATGGTAAGCACGATCCGTACTACTTATTGATGTATGTATAATGAACATCTGCCAAGCGCATATCTCGCAACCGAGCAAGAAGGCAAAAAAAAAGACGACAAGTGTCTTTACAAATGATAGATGTACATACGCAAGCACTACGTCCTTGTACCAAGAATAAACAGTGATGATAATAGAAGAGCAAATGGATTTCGTATATTACATGAGTATAATTAAATGAGACAAGTTTGTCCTCCCCACTTTCCCTGACGTATGTACATATGTATACGCAAAATATGATTATCGATACCAATTACAAATCTCGTTCGGATTGATATGCAGAATAGAAAAGCACGATCTTTGATGATACAAATATACATGTATATATATTTACTCACAGTAATGATCGTGATGACGATGACGTAACCGGACGTGAAAACATATCAAACAATTGACATTTCTCGTTTCTTTTTTCACATTCTCATTTGGCAATTGTATGCTCACACGCGAGGTGTTACTAGCGATTATCTCGGAACATGTCCGTTATTGAATCGCATTCAGACCGATTGCAATCATTTCCTCTCCTTCTTTTTTACTAAACCAGACAAAACACAAAGTCATAACTTCTGTCTGTCCTCACGGATCTCATTGAATTTCGATTAGAAGCTTTCTTTCTTTCTTTTTTTTCTGTCTTGACAGAGAACTGTTCAATCAATAGGGACGATGCATCTCGAAGATTAATTTTTTCCTGCACTTATTACGGAAGTCAATTAAAACAGGCGATCATATCGAGACAGACATGTGCAAATCATTCCTAATCAAAAAAAAATGAATGAATGAAAGAAAGGTCAAGCATTGGTCACCTAGTCAATGGGGCTTGTCATATTTTTTCCTTCTCACAATACGACAATTGATCAGTTCTAGTGTATATACTTGTCAATAACAAAAAAATGAGGTCTTCGCATGCAACAAGATCTATACACACATATATGTCATTTCTAGTGGCATGTTCGAAAATAAGAAAAAAGAGTCTTAAGTATATTTACACTTAAAAGCAAAAGACACTATAACACTTCATTTCTTTTGATTTTAAAGGAAATTACTTTTTATTCAAGTATCAGACGAAGACAAAGTATCTCAATAAAAAGTCCTTGATCAGAGAAATGGCATATGAGGGGTGACAGCTTGCTTCGTATAATGGTCTACATTTAACAAATATAACTTTAGTTTCACTTCAATTGTTGTCCGTACTTGGCCCGATGGCCTAGTTATTCTTTGTTCCATATATTTATCTATGCGACAATATGAAAACCTAGGCACAGATGTGATCCGCCTACTTCGCCAAACAAAATATTTCTCGACCTTTTCCGTCTTCTTCTCCTCCGCCGCATGTTGATATGATCACGTCGATCAGACATAAACATATTGAAAAGTTATCTACTACGACAAAAACACAATTGATTTAATCAGGAAAAAAAACCGCATCGATGTCAATTGATTGTATGTGAATACAGTGACACAGATGGCTCATAAATATTGTTGTCCTTCTTGCTCATTCTAACGAGCTATTTTTCAAGATAGAATATACCTGGGAGAGTTTGAGATGAACAAAATCGAGAGCGAAGACAAAACGACAGATCATAGCGATTCCCTTGATAAATTATCGCTATGAAACAACCTCGGTACATTAGATTAATGATCTTACCTTCTGGATAGTTAAGAGAACAAATTCTAACAAGCAAAAGTCGTCGGCAACGGGCGCTACAAATTAAGCATGGATGTATGCATGCATGAGAAACAATCATAACGATGAATAGATTGATGTCATATTAACAGTAGTTCGTTATTTCTCTAATACATAGATATATCGAGCAAATGGATGCGTGAAATATCTCGTTCTTTTCGGAAATTATTATGCTTTTTTGTGTCTGTCTTCTAATCAAGCAGGATGATTGACTTGTACAAGCTGTTCATTCTATCTTACGCGACAGATTATCGAACTACTTACGGATAGTCTTCTCGTATGGTTTGAAGTTTGCGGTTTAGTTCAACTTTGCTCGAGTATAAAGAATATCAAATGATACGTTTGTCTTGTTCTTCTAAAATAAATAAAGATACATTCTAGGAGCGAAATCTCATCATAGAAATAGAGATATGGATACAGTTAGAAGTCTATGATTAATGCTTCCATCGATAGAGGACACTACCAAACATCTATACAGATATCTGCTTCCGATAAACAAAAAATATATCGTTTGATATTTCAATAAGCAATCAGAGACAAGAGAAAAGCCGCATAGTTCTATCAAGATTTCTTCTAATCTATACAAAATGTACATCAAGAATCGATTAACATCTGGTCTCATAGCTGTGCCAAATATTTCCGTATAGGACTCTCTCGTTGTCGAATGTGGGCGCCGAATTTTACCTTATATGTTAATAATAATCAAGTTGGATTGGTTATTGTACAGAATGTTTGAACTAGAACACTTGGTTTTTGAGTTTTTCAATGTTCTAATCTTGTTTGTTCTGCGAGTTATGCACACACGTACACAAGTTATTGCTCGATTCACTGAAGTGAACGGATTTGAAGAAAAGATTTAATAAAGTATGAATAAAAATAAATAAATAAACGTATTTAGTTGGTCAAGGTTGTGGATAAATCACCTTGAGAAGAATAAGAAATCGAATGATTGAATTCGATGTAAATTTCTTGTAAGAATGTAATGATAAGAAGAAAAGAAGAAGTAACAAAGAACAAGACCAAACGTTCGTTGAGATATAAAGTATTTAGTAGATTTAATAAAAGAGAAGGTAAGAGCCAAGAAATGATGTGTTGAAAATAGAAGTCGACGCAATCAAATCGAGGCTAAAACAAACAGAATTTGATTGATTGTTATCAAACACGAGAAAGGTAGTTGGCATCTGCATGCGTTGTTTTAGCGCAAAAACTTACCGAGAGGAGAAAAAGAGTCTTCTATTGTTTATCGACTAAGTCGATCGTAGCACATCGGAAACTTAATGATCTTCATTACGACTTTCGTAGTTCTTCGAATATTTATGTGAGTAGAAATCCCTCGTACGTGTGTAGATAAATAGATAAATAGATTTGTCTGTGTCACTGCATAACAAAGGACAACGAGAAAGAGGGAGAGAGAGTGAAAAAACATTAATATCTGAATGACATCAAGCGTTGTAGCCAATTTCTGTCAATCGATCTTAACAACATCGACCAGAAAACATCGATTTGTGTGTATACAAAAAAACATCGGTAGAACATGTGTATGTATTAGCGAAAGAAGCACAAGTAGTTGTTCTAGCGACAGATTTGTCTCGTTCGACAAAGAAACGATTTGCCGGGAAAACCCTACGGATAATAACTGAATCAGCAGTACAGACAATTAAGTGACTTGATTTATGTGTCAATGTACTTGACCATTTACTCGGGGGAGGTATTGTCTTCAGCCTAGAAAAAGACGCGAATGATTTTCATCTTTTCCTACTCTCATGAGAAGCAACTAAAAAAAAAAGAAAGGACAGCGATTACGCATTCTGACATCTAACCCCTACATTTAGTTCAACTAGCAACTGGTTTCTTATTGTCATTTTCTGTATACTAATATCTTGCTATCAGCTCAATCTTATGCATTGACGAGAGCATCTGAACGGTTTTGTTGATGAAAAAAAAAGTTAGATTATATAACTCGACACTTACCTTGACTTGCCGATTACAAAAGTCTTCTCTCCGTTGTCATTCGACTAACCTTAATCCTACATCTACGAATAGATTATCGCCATCAGCTTGAAATGCCAAAGAAACTCTTCTCATTTACATACGTAAACGTTTTCAACAAATTACCTCTACTCTTGAACATCGTCGAGTAAACATAGTTGTCAACATGATGATTACTAGCAGCTTCTAACGATCGTATTGACATGGAACTATTATCAGTGATTATTAGATTGCAAAAGTTGCTCGTCCATATCTCTCACTAATATTAACTGTTGACAAGTGCTCTTCAAACTTTCATTTTCCTCACCGTTTACCTTCACCTTACAGAACACCATCATAAACTACAATAACCTCTTACATCTTTCTCTTTTCTTTGCTACTTCTTCTTCGTTTTTTTCTCCGTTTGTGTTCCCATTTTGCGAGACAACAAAATCAATTAGATTGACTATAAACGAGAATAGGTGAGCGTGTGTGAGTCGTGCACAGGTTTTTTTCTCTATTTTGTCTCTACATTTTTTTCTTCCGCTTTTTTTCAATTCTTCCTTCTTTTTTGCTACTTAGTTATGTATGAAAGGCCTTCAAGCATATAGACAGGCAAACAGGCTATACTCAAGGCTACAATTTACCAATGGATGATAAAAAGTATAAAGATGAAACTCGACACGAGCTCTAGTTTGCTGTATCAACGTCATCGACGAACGATAACAGTAATACTTATATAGATATCTCAAATACAACTAACTTTCTAGTCTTGCTAACGACAACTCTCGTAATCGGACACTAGGAAGAATCGATTTGCTGTCTTTTGCCATGTCAATAGAATCTCTCACAATGCTTTCAATAGTAACAACATGTACTATGATCTAGGAATCTGATCGCAGTATAGATTATACTCACGTACAAAAAAGAGAAAGAACATAATCTCATCTGCAGATAAAACGAAACTAAGTCATTATTATTTACATCAAATATGTTTACATGGTCAGACATTCTGCACTCGTGTTCTATAGGTCATAGCCATCACGCACCTTTTCCTCTTTTGAGCTAAGAAAAACTGTCATTTTCTCGTGAAATATCAGTTCGAACAGCGAATGACACTGCCTATCAGTTCTATTTGCCGTGATGTCTCATTTAAATTAAACATAGGTCGTTGTTTTCCTTTCTAATCAAATTTCTGCTCTACTATTCTCGATGTCAATAAAAGGTGATCTTATAAATATTTATTCTGATTAAAAATCAACTATGCTTTCTTTGCCAGAGTAAATGATGTCAACTAATAGGCAAACTCTTTTTCTATATCTCGAACATTTATCAACAAGAATTGCAATAAATATTTCATAGACATAGACGACTTTTGACTTTTCTAACTATGATTGACAAATGTTCTTCTAGTGTACACTCTTTACTTCTTTATCATTGTCACCATCATTTTTCTCTTCTTTTCTCTCGTTGCATATGAACCTTGTGGTTGGCTAACATAAAATTATTTCTGCTCCGCTAACTTTTTCGATCTCTCGTTTTCTCTTTCTCTCTATCCATGTCAGTAAAGGACATTAGTTTACAGCCGAATCAATAAAAGAAGGAGAAGAACAATCCCTGTTTCTACCGTGATATAAACAGAAAAAAAAATCACAAGTGAAAGTCGTACCTGTGGGAAAAAAATTCTTCTTCTTTTTTTCATTAGTATATGTGTGAACAAGGGAATCGAACCGTGCTTTTTCTTCTTGTCTCTCGGTTTTTCAACGAACAAAATAAAAATAAAAAATAACAATGCTCTTTTATGAGCGCGTCTGTCTAACTCGACGCTTGCTCGTCGAGAAACAAGGTGACAGCTGTAGTATTGATCAAATTCTATAATTACTTGATACGAAGATATCAAAATAAGAAGATCAATGATAACTAGTTCGACTCATACTAAGTTTTATTATATAAGAACGGCAGATACGACGATGTTCAATACAGAAAATACCTTAGGGAGAGAAACGTGAACTCGAGTTTTCTACTTCTGGTATGTTAATGATGAACATTGTCTCATCAACGGTGACCGGTTAGTTGCCTTTCTTCTCGTTTTTTCCCTTCTTCGCTTTCTTTTTCTTACATGTTAATAACTCGAGTTAAGAAGCAGAAGAAATCTGTGGAAGAAGAAAGAGGAAAAAACCTTTGAGAATGGATGTCTAAAAACTATGCGCGAACGCGGTTCTGTAGAAAAAAAGCGAAGAAGAAGAGGAAAAGTATAGTGGTTTTGAAATTATTTATAGCAATGAGAAGAAAATGGATATTTGAGGCTGGAGAAAAAGAGAGGAAGTGAAGTGTTAGTGGAACTTCTCATCGGAAGTCTTTCTCTTTCTCTCCCTGTGTCTCTTCTTTGTATACTCCTGCTAAGTATCAAAAAGAAAAGAAACGAGAAACGAGACAAAATCTAACAGATGTTATATCAATTGAATCTTAATGCCGATAAGTTTTGATTGACATGACTAAAACGGTATCATATCATCGCTGAATTCACGCGCTTGCTTTATCTGTTCGAGATCATGAGACGTCAATTGACTGGTATCAAAACAAAAGATTTGATAAAAGACGTGAAGATCAGCGAGCAAATTAACGTTGTCCGACGGGTAATTACATCATTTTCATGTGTTTAATTGAGTGAATGATCGGAAAAAATATGTCGCGATTTGCTCGACAAGTAATTAATCTCAACGATTGTGTGAGATGAACTTGTTAGGTGGATGATACGTGTTTAACATGATGGTTGAAGGTCGTCTTTCAAAGAAAAAAAAAGTTTTCACGAAATGGAGTCAATTGTCGGTGAGAGAAAGTAACACGCGAGAATTTGCTTTTGTCGAAACGACCCGATTATGTTAGAAATGATTTATCAACATATGTGAAATAACGATCTCCCACGTTCAGATGATATTTTCTCTCTCTCTCTCATTGTTGTGCTGATTGATTGATTATTATCATAACTCATCATCTCAATGCATTAGAAGACCAAGCGGAGAGAGAAAAAGTCGTAGGTCTCCATTCTCGCCTCTCGTTTTTTTTTATAAACTAATAAACTCGTTCCATCTGTTTATAGGTCTCAAGGTGAACAATCAATGACAAACAGACAAGAGATGTTCCACTTGAGAATATCGAAGGTCGGATATGGCGAGTGATAACTATCAAAGATTTATTGATAAATTAATTCTAGAACGAAAACATGTAAATGTTTTGCTGATGATTAGATTTTCTCCAGATCGATCATCGAGATACTCGACGTGACCTGCATCGAAGATTTGTCTGCTAGAGATAACGATTGCCGTTTGATATGTTTCATAATATCATGAATGCGGCAGGATTTAACACGCGAGATCGCCAGTTCTCCGCGATGACTGCGAATATCGGTCCGAATGCCTTTGTCAATCAACAATTGAACGACATCCACATGGTCACGATCGATAGCCCAGTGAAGTGCTGTCCAACCTTGCTGATCAGTATGATTGATAAAACTGTGCGATTCGAGAAGAACTAGAACCACACTTGGATGATTATGGTACGCAGCTAGAACGAAAACGTTTGCATAGATCGAGCTCTTTGTCATGTTATCTAACGTAGAGCAATGGAGTGAAATGATCTCGATCAATCTGGTTTACGTTCGCACCCGCGTCGATTAAAATACAAGCAATTTCTGCTAATAATGTTTCATTGTTCAATGTTGGCGATCGACTAGAAATAAAAGAAAGTTTTTATGAGAAATTTATGCCAGACGATGAGCTCTTTGTTACCATAATTCATGTAATGCTGTTCGACCTTGTTCAGTCTGAGCATCGATTTCAGCGCCAGCTTCGATCAAAGTTACAATAATATCCGGACTACAAAAATAACAAGCTTTCATCAATGGTGTCCAACCAAGTTTGTCTGAAAGGGAGAAAAATTAATTTTACAATAATATTTTCTTGTTATGAATAATCTTACCGCGAGCGTTGACATCACTTCCAGCATGGAGAAGTTTTTTCGCTATTGTTGTATAATCGCGCTGAGCAGCGTGGTGCAAAGGTGTTGCTTGTCGGGCGTCTTTTATCGTTAGCTTGGCATTATTGCGCAAGAGAATATCAACTACGAGATCATGACCATTCGCGGACGCCTAAAGAATCCACGAGAAAAGAACAAGAATGATGTTATAAAGTTGTTTAGCTGATTGATTACTATTAGTAGAGGTGTCGATTGACTTTCGAATGAGATCCAATCGATATTTATAGTTTTTAGGATTCGATCGTTTTCAAGCATTTTCTCGATTAGGCGAGCTTTACCCAAACCGCAAAGGTTATAGAATCGTTCGTTGCGACTATCGATATTACCCATCGTTGTGTAATTAGAGATTGGGTTCAAATCGAACTGTTCCTTTTCTGATAATCTAAACGATAAAAGAGAGTCCGGAAGAAAAGAAATCATAGAAGTGAACGCATTTGTTAGAAGCGGGAAATACTGTTCTTAGCTCTCATGCAAGATCGGAAGAAAAAGAAATCGTTAGCAAAATGTAGCTAATTCAATGTGTAATAAAAAAAGAAAGAAAGGGGAATAGCCCTCGCCTTTGTTACCTTATTGTTATCTCCATGAATAGATTGAATTGTATGGAAGAGTAAGTCCTATGGCATCGATCAAAGATCAATTCTAATTATTTCTGGTAGAATTCTATGCATCGTTCAGAGGACAAATGACCTTTAGTTGTCAGTAACGTGTTAACTCATTTGACACTCTCGTATCGAGAAAAGAAGGAAGTATGTTTTACTGACGTTCAGAGGAGACCATTCATCACAACTAGAACAATGACGCGAGGGTTAGTTAAGAAACCGTACACCTTTCCATGTATGAAGTGAAGAAAATTGATTTTTTTCTCGAATTCGATTAGCGTGAACTAATAATAGTAACCAAATCAGTAGATATTTTTGTCATCATCGTCTGCATCACAAATATTTTGTTTTGCTTTGGTCTACCAAGCATGAGATTGACAACTTGAACGAGAAGAAGTATCTAAATTCGAACATTCCATACGTTGACAACAAGAAAAATTTCAGCTTTTATTAAATCTATTTTCAATTAGACGATTCTATCTATCTATCTAGGACTTTAAAAATAAATATTATTTGTTGATAATGTTACTCATTTCATATGAAAAACACAATTATTCCACTTGATTTCATGCTCATGCTTTCTAATACTCTTTCTGATGGCATCAATATTTTGCTATTTTCATCGCACAGCACGCTACTCGTTCTGCCAAGAAAAAATCTAATCGGAACGAAATATGACTTACGATTAACATCTCGTTCCGCTTCAAGGTCAACAACTTGTTGGCACTACCTTTTTTACTCTTTTTCGTCCTGATCATCGGCTGATACGAAGACACTATATATACATATAAACAAGATATATGGTGCTATTTACAGTCAAGACCAAGCAAAGGTACATAATTTACTTTAGCAAATATACGAATGGACAAAGTTTACAATAAAACTGTCGGTGCTTTGAACCGGTTCGGTGATCAACTCGAACGACATCTTGCCGTCGATGGCCATGCAAGATCCAAATCAGGTATGATGTTTGGCTCCAATGGTGGATTATTCTTTAATCGTCAATTGGATCAAAGAAATCATGGAGCTAGTTTATATCCATCAAAATCAAGAAATTTCAGTTTTGGGAACATGAGAAAAGTTCCCATGGGCTCATTAGGTCCCAATGCTGGTTACAGCGCTTTCAATCAATTTCGACCAAATGCAATGCGTAAATCTGCCAATGTCAATGATCGTCTTGATAGACCATTATATCCAAGCAAAAGCGCTGCACGATTAAATTACGGCATGAAGGTACAAAATGACGGATTTGCCGATCCAATGGGAGGTATGGGAGGCATGGGCGGTATGGGCGGTATGGGCTGTTGTCCACCACCACCCGTAGTTGGATGTGCTCCAAACTATTATGTTGCTGAACGTCGACAACTCGAACTGATTCCCGCACCGCCGCCACAAATTATTCAACAACCAGTTCCTTGCCCGGTACCAGTTGATCGACCTGTGCCAGTGCCATGCCCCGTTCAAGTTCCTTGCCCAGTGCCAGTTGATCGACCAGTGCCTGTTCCAGTTCCTTGCCCAGTTGCAGTCGACCGGCCGGTTCCTGTTCCTGTACCTGTCTGCGTTCCTTCACCACCACCACCACCGGTTTGTGTCCCAGTTCCAACACCAGTTCCATGCTTGATACCTTGCTGTTGCCCAACACCTTGTTGTCCACCATCATGTTGCCCAAGTCCATGCTGTCCGTCTCCATGCTGTCCATCTCCCTGCTGTCCACCTCAACCATGTTGTTCTCTTCCTATGAATGTAGCACAAAGTCCTATTGTATTTGATCCAACATCTAATTTTAGTCAACGTTTCGGTGGTAGCGGTGTATCTCTCTCGGGCACAAATCCATTCGGAGTGATTTAGGCAAATGGTTCTTCAATTATATAGACTTATTCTTTTTTCTTTCTTAGTCGTAGGTTACAGCTTTTTTTCTTCTTTTTCTTTTTCGTAAAGAACTATCGCAGCATATGTTCTTTGTTTAGTTCAACAAATAAATAAATATATAAAAGAAGAATGCCAGGTAGATACAAAGTCTCCGAAAAAACCTCTTGTGTTTTCATTCTGTCACCACAATGCATTAAGCAAAGTTCGTTCTAATACTGAGACGTTTCAAATGAACCAACACGTTCTTCTCTGCAATTTTTATTCGACAAAAATGCATCGATGATTGAACAAAACACAACGCTTTTTTTCTTCTAATCATATCTAATTGCTGTTCATCATTCAAGTACTTTTGCTGTTCGGTTTAATTTCTTTAACATTGAGACCTGGTGGCAATGATTGTTTAAGCTTTTCGGCCTTTTCTTTATCACCAACGCTCACTAGTAAGAAAACAGAGCATATTTGAAAATGAATCGACTGCAAGATCAACATACATGTGTATAAATATCGACTACATCGAACTTTGAACTTAGTATTTCCTTGACGTGTCACTCGTTCAGAATTCCGTTTGATAATCACAGATCTCGCATCTTTTCGTCGAGCGATAAGTAGGAAGTGTTTGATGTCTTTGACTTCCTTAGGCATATTGATGATTAAAAGATGAGATGAACGAAAATCTAAGGAAAAAAACAGATTCTAGCGAACAAGTTCTGCTTTTACAACACAGAATGACAAAATAATAACAAATAAATGGAACTGATATCCATAGTTAACCAATCCGAGGGAAAACATTCAGATCGAATCAATGATCATATCTATTGTGAGAACTTTACATTCAACAGAAAATTTCCACAGTTCGTTTACAACTCTTCAACAACTCTTCAATATATGAGAAGCTATACGAAAGAGGGCGCTAATTGTCTCATTTCAGTTCACTACCAGATTCACCGGACAATATTTCCAACGGTTGCACTACATTTGGATGCCACCCACAGCATCGTCTCAATACAAGCGCACATCGCTTTGTAAAAAAATATTTTACTTGCCGGCGATATCGAATCGATGTTGCATAAAAAATATAAAAGTTCGCTGCATAGCTGGTGTAGGCAAGTGCTGTAGAAATGACTTGGGCCCAGCGAGTGACGGCATACGCGACTGTGTTTCCGGGAGGCATAACCCAACGAATAGAAAAAATACGATAGACTGTAAATGGCAATTGTGACCAGATAAAAAAGATCACCCGAACGAATATCATAGCCGTCAATTGTTGATCGAGTCTTCGACGCTCGAGAGGAATCTGACGTCGAATTATACGACGAACGTTTCGATAAGCTAGAAGACTGAACACAGATGAGATTAGAGTCGGAATGACACCACTGAGAAATGGATAAAAGGCGTACGAATAGTAATTGACTAATGCCTGACTAGATATCACACAACCAAAGACAGGATCGATATTTAGAAACACACCAGCAGGAATCGTATGTGCAAGACATAGACACCCAGCAAGACCGATTTGGAACTTCGCCATTTCCAGTGAACTATATTGTCGAAAACGCCGATGATAGTGAGTGGAAAAAAACTGATCGATAGCTGCGTAACAGACAATTGAAGCGAGCATGAGACGACACCATTGCGGCATAATCGTTCTTAGTTTACACCATATAAGCGAGTTTTTTGTTGGATCGGCCCCATTGAGCGATAATGTCCAGATTTCATTAGCAAACTGTTGACTCAGTTGGGCAAGATCAACGAGACACTCAGCAATCAAATAAAACGCACACCGATTTCCATGGAAAATCTTTAAATTCATGAAAATAAGAATAAGGAGCAAATTTCCAATCAGACCAAAGCAAAAGTTCACATAAGCACTTATGCTAGAGAACTTCTGTGCGGCCAGAATAACATAAGCAATGTCCGGTGAACTTGACATAGATAGTGGGAATGAGAATGAATGATATTCTACTGAGTTGAGCTTGTTAAAAGGACATGGGCGTGTTCATTGAAGATTCTTCAAACTAAAAGAAGAGGAAAGCATTGACATTCACGAGACTTTAGAATAATTAGAAGAAAAATATTCTCTGACAGAATCATGCAAGTCTAAGAAAATGATATGTCCGATAATTAACGTAACGAGCATCATCAGAAACAAACACAGGATACGCTTCTTTTGTACCTGAAGGTAGGAGCTCATCGAACATGATCTTCATGGACGTACGAAGTCTTTGTAGTTTACTGAGTAGACAACTCGAATTTCTCACTGGGAAACACCTCAAGATATATGAGCGAGTGATGTTGAATAAAATTATCGGTTAAAAAGTATTTTCTCTGTTTTGATGTTAAATATATAATAACAAAAATTTCTTTCTTTTTGACAAGATAAACCGATTTATTTGAGTCTTTCATAGAATTGCATAAGCATTCGAATGAATGGGACCCTTTCATGTAATTAGTTTCAATTATGATAAACAAAACGTCATGAACGTCTATTTTCTAATGTATACAACGATTATTATCAATTTGCTCTCTCAAAACGATATTTCTCTCAGTATAACAGTAACATATGTCTCTTATTCTCTGCTGAGACCTCACGTTTTTCTAAAAGGATCGTCTGAAGAGGGGTTGTTATCAGCTACGATATATTTGAAAAAAAAAAGATTCAGAATGAAAACATCTCAAGACAAATTACTTATCCTAAAGAGTGATAACTAAACTAGTTCAAACATGAAAATCCTAAGAAATGAACTCATTATTGTAGGTCATATCCCGTGCTAATTGTTTCTAGTTAGCAGATAAAAGCAAACATTTCCTTTTAGTCATAGTGAAGTGGCCTGGATGGAAATTCTTTCATTAGCTGAGTTTTAAAAGATCACACATATTTTATGTCGGATATGTTGTCTGAATTCATCTAGTTGTTAAGTACGAAAGATGTGAGATCATCTCGAATATCATTTTCTCTTTAATAAAGACATCTCGAAATTTGAGATGTGCGTTCAGTATAGTAGAAGTCGTATGTGCATACATGTCACTTCTGCGTAATTCTCACCATCAGATATGCAACCAACATACTTATATACATCAGATTTCGATAGAGAAGTGCAATGGCGTTCGCGCTTCTCAACAGGAATACCAGTTATACTAGGACTTTTGCAAGTTTTGCTAACGTTTACTATCATCGGCCTTGAGATCGCTTCGGTGGTTATATCGCCTATCTTTGGTACACTCTATGCTGGCTTTTGGTGTTCGATTGTTTTCACTCTCTCATGGATATCCATGCTTGGATTAGGTAAATGTTGATTAGAATTTTCATGTTCACTGATGATCTGTTTCAGTTTGTTGCCATCGTGCTCGTAAATGGTCAATTTATATGTTTCTCATTTCCGTACTCTGTGCTGCTGTAGCCATTACTTTGATTGTCTTAGATGCTCTGTTTATTGGGAATATTACTCGCTGTTTCTTTTTCAAAGTGAATTGTGATGAACTACGATCAATGTATCCTCAACTAACCAGTCAACCGCTTGGAAGAAAAGTTCTCGTTTTAAAAGCACAGTTAGCCTGTGCAGTTTTAATGTTAACGACGGCGATTTTATACATTCTCTTCTTCATAACGACTAGTATGAAGGTTCGACGAAGTGCGGGTCGGGTGATCATCGAACGTCATCAAGTACCAACTCAGGTTGTACGAGAAACCCGCCGACCATCACCACCAGTGTGGAAATCAGCATCTCCACCTACGGCGTTCGATCCAAGTGAAGTGGAATGCCCACATTGTGGAACATTGATTAAATTAGCGCAAAGAAAGCGATATTCTTAAATGGGCGTCAAATGAATAAGAGACAGAACTTTCTTTATTTGATTTCTGTAGTCGTAGGAATTTGTTTTGGACAAGGATATAATAGATATAGGAAAATTTTTGTTTTCTTCCCAGATCTTGCTGATGATGCGTTTCGAGAAGACTTGAATTTCTTTTATCTACGACCTAAGTCGAGTATTACGATCAATCAGTAGCCGAAAGATTTCTATCAATATCTAAAGGTAAACTGAAAAGAGGGCATGATTGGTTTAATAAATTCATATGCTGCTAAACTCCGACATGAAATAGAATCTTCAATTTCTTTCTTTGGAAATTCATTCGTTTTAATACATTGAACTGCTCCGTAGTATGTGAAAAACAATCGAAGTGTCATTATGAGTGACTATTTTGTCGAACAACAGCAAAAGGAAAAGTACAAAATTACAGTCTACTGTTTTTATATACAACACGGATTGTTCTATATGCGGCAAGATCTGAGTGACCGAATATAACGATTGCTGTCCTAGTTTCAGACTGTGTTCATAAAATGGAAAGATTTTTGTATAATAGATTTATCCATGACTGATGAATTACTTGAGCCGATTCATAATTTCCTACAGGAAGCGAACCAAATAAGTAATGGCTCGTGTGTTTTCACGCTCAATATGCACACATGACATTTTCCGTATGCAAAGTTCAAAAGACTGTCTTTGTATGAGGTCAAAATCGAAGAGGAAAAGATCGATTCTCTTTATCGTATTTGATAAACATCTTTTAATAAGCTTAGTTATGAGTGAATATGGTCATCTTTGAAAACTTTATTCAAACACATCATCGTGCAAAATTTCGTCCTTCAACCTGTTTTCATTCGATCGTTCTCCACGTGGTAACAACGGTATGCTATGATCTACTCGTTGTGGACCAACAAACCAATGACGCGCGGCAACCAACCAATAACCTCCCGCGATTAGCAATACCGTCATGAAGACTACAATACTGTAGTTCATATTGTCTACCGTTATAGGGCTTTTCGTTGGAAGAAACATTAAGATTGATGTTAAAATCAACCATACCGATGATACAGTCGCAATAGGTAAGCCAAATCGGCCTAGATTGAATTCCCCTGATGGAAATGTTTTTCGTGCTGATGTACAACGAAATAGAATGGGTAATAAGTAAGAGGTTTGAATACCGATGGTTCCAATAGCAACCAAGCTTGTAAACAATTCTGCTGATGCTGACTGAAGTAAGAGAAGAACAGTGTCAGCAACGAAGACCAGCATGATAGTAGCTAAGGGAGTTTTCGTTCCTTGATGAACCCAACGTAAGTAAGATGAATATGGAAAAACACCGTCTCGAGCCATGGAAAATCTATGCAGAAAATAGTAGAGTAAATATTCCTTATTAATGTATAGTCAAATAAAGTTATTCAATACCCCATACGAGTAGTGACTGTCAAGGACGACATTCCACCTAGGTAAAGATTTATCAAAAGAATAATAACTAACGCCAATGCACCACGTCCCGGTACGGCCAATTGGTATGTCGCTACTGCTAGATTCACAGAACTTGTTTCTCCATCGTGATCCTTCATAAATCTTTCAACATTTGGTATAACAATCAAAAGACCCATTAGATAGATAGCGCCGAAAATCGAAGAACAAATACACGTAATAACGATACCTCTTGGTGCTAGTCAGAAAAGGTCTATGCGTAATGAAAATATGCTCTCTATAATATAAAGCTAACCTGATCGAGTTGCACATTGCGTTTCTTCAGATAGATTAGCGCTGGCTACAATAACAATCTTTAATACATCATTTCAAATTTGTTGTACGCTACCTTCATAACCCGAAAATGAGAAGAGTGTCGAAAGAATACTGATCAGACATACATAAACAAATGGAAAACCAGTACCATTATATGTCGAGGTGAATAAATCGTGAATAGTGACTGTTTGACTGCTTGCTGTGTATAGAACAAAAACGATTACGATAGAAGATAGTATTTGAAAGGCGGCTGCGATGTTATTCAACCATCCATTACGATCGACACGCAGAGAGTTTTGTGCACACCACAGAAATAAAATAGTGATGCCGATAGCTGTTCGGATATTGACGCTTAGCGGGGGCCTATCACTGATAATGAAGGCTGAACTGACGATATTCGCAAAGCCTGATGCAAATGTAGCATCACCTAAGAAACAATACAGATCGAAGAACACCATAAGCATCAAATCAATCTTCTACATGCAATGTTTCCAATGAAATTGAGCCAACCACAAATAAACGATGCCAATGGCGCTCGTTGAGCAGATACTAACTGACCACTCCTGATAAACACAAACATTGAGTCAGTATTCATGAAAATTGAAAAACACATATAATAGTATAAATACCAGTGATAAACTGATCCAGCACTTGGATATACCGAGCAAATCTCCGCCAGAGACAAGCCGACCAAAATGGTAAAGACTGACGCCACTATCCAAGAATAAATGGCTACTGCTGAGCCTCCCGTCGTCAAGGTAAAAGTAAAACCAAGTGATATCGATGCTAATACATTCACAGCAGTGAGACAATATGAAAATGACATCAGCGGCGAAAATCCTCGGTAGAGTTCTTGTAAATAGCCCATTTCGTGAAGGTGACGTAAATCAGCATCCTGTTGCTCTTTGTCATAATTATCTGCTATGGTCTCTATAGTCATAGCTGAAATGAAAACAGATATTTCAACAATCTTATCTGCATTGAACGTATTGAACTGTTAAGTCTAGGGCCACACACATAAGAGCCGCGTGGCTTCGAAAACGAAAGAATACTTTGAGAAATATATTATATCAATGTCAATATAAAAATGTCACATGTTGTCAGCAGTAGTAATAACATGTTTGGCTGTTCGATATGCATGAGTTGTTTGTATGCTTTTTAGGCGTATCTTTCGATTCTGTTCTGACATGAATGCAAACATATCCGGTGAATTCTGGTGACATAACTATACTTGCATATTGGCACTTCCCTGATAGAATAGATGACGGTTAGTTTGCAAAATGCAAAACGAAAGTGTCTGTGAAAGTATCGACTAAGAAGAGCATAATCATCGAATGGAAAGAAATGTTTACTCAATGATTGTGTCTCGTACACGTATAGAAACCAATTTCATTATATAATCATAAATATTTCCCACCTGCTCACATACAGTCTTTATTGTAAGTGTCACATAGTGACTATCGCCAATCAACGCACACTCCATATTTTAATACATCCGTTCGGCGATCGGAATTTCAAGGATACTATGTAAAGTTTTGAACAAACCCAAAAAGACACTCTCAGTGTACTTGTGAGACGTTGCAAACTATGTTGAGAAACCAAAGCGATTTCAGAGTCAAATCACATTTTCGTGCTGTTGAATATTCAGCTATCACATCGATTACTCATATATTTAGAGGAAAATAAGTTGAACAAAAAAAAAATAAACAAAACAGCTCGATTAAGTTGTGTCATTTTTCTTTCTTAACTCAAACGCCATTGTAGAATTTGTTGAAGAAAACAACGACCGGATATCATCCATCGATAAATCCTGATCAACATCTGGTCGATCATCCGTTAATGCAATCAGTTCATATTCGTCGATACTTTTACAGGAAATATGTAATTTTTCCAGTGCGTCTTTGATGAGCGTTGCTGCTGAAGCCGTTTGCAGACAACACAATGTAATTGTATGGTTCGAATAGGTAACCGAACAGGATGTTACCTTTGTCGAAGTCAAGTGAAATCGAATTTCAGATTGATTGCAGTCCATTTCTTCCAACGTGATGTCACCGTCGATCTGTGTTTCATCATCTTGAAGAACTAGTTCGTAGTAGATTTCGTCCAAACCAAGTAATCGGCATGAAATGGAACGTAGACGCTCTGCTGTCATCGATGGAGAACAATGAAGTTGAATTGTTTCATCGCTTCCAATATTCTTCACCAACACAGTAACTGGTAAATTATCGTTAATGATACGAAATTGAATCGGCGATTCTGCTTGAAATGATGCCAACGGAATGTTGATTGAAGGCACATATTCATTCCCATATAGAAGGTAACAATGTGTCGTATCCAATTGATTTTGCTTGCACACGTCGCCTAGAGTCGCAGAAGAAACATATCGTTGACATCCGATTATTACCACATCGGAAGTATCGTCTTGACTGACAAGTTCTACAAGGCACGTTTCATTCTCTTTACAAAGTAGAAACTGACTACTGTTAATCGTTGTTAATAACTGATCGTTTTCGAACACCTTCTTTGTCTGGTTGGAAGCTAAACAGTGGTATATCTCATTCGATGTATCTGTTAGTTTCAATAACTGTTCGATAGTTATATTAAGATTCGGTAGAGAAATACGAATTTGTTTCCCATCGTCGTGCTTTGTCATTAGGATCAAACTCATAACGCGAAAAAGGATAGATTCGGCTTCATTGGCACAAAAATCACTGAGAGATCGTTCGAAATCTGTTTGTGTTATGATTTGTTCATTTGTTTCACTTTTCAGCACGAGAACATAATCGTTTGAAGATGTGTTTCCAAGATTTAATTGTTGTAGTAGATCTTGATTTTGTAACATACAAGAGATGCTGATGGACTTTAGTGCAGATGCAGAGTAAGTATTGGTTTCAGTAGAAAAAGTCACTTCGATAAGTGAATTTCGATCGATGACATCAATAATAGCTGTGGATTGAACATCATTCAATGTTGTTGAAATGACTTGATCAGATTCTAGAATCGTTTTTCGTTCTCGTAACACAAATGCATGCGTTGTGACATCGGAATTATCTTTTTCCGAAAGAGTCACTAACCACGCGTCAATCTGCTTCCACTGAGTAGCCGGATGGAATAAGCATATTTGATTTTTATCTAAAGAATACATATTCAACAAATCAAAGTCAATTTTTATTAACCTACTTTGTTTATTTCGTCCATTGACTTCACATAGCGTGCTAGTATTGAACTTTTCTTTCGTGACGGTGATGTTCACTGTTCCATCATTGATTTTACGAGCATTACCGACACGTTCATCATCAAGACAGATTCCGTATTCATCAAAGAAGCAGAGACAATCATCGGATGGTAACAAATTGAGTTTCTGGTCGGTGAGAAATCGATGAATAACCGTCGAGATGTTATTCGAAATCGTCGTCAAATATTCATATAGCGAATTTTCATACTGGAATCGAATGGCGATTAGCGACTGTCTTTCGACGATAGAACATTCCAAGAATGTTTTATAGAGTATGTCATCAGCGGTCTTCGACAGATCGATGCATAGATTCGCTTGATCGAGAATAACAAATTGATTCGAATCGTAGTTTTTGTCGGTGAAGTATTTCTTGATTTTTTCGTAGAACTTCTCACATTTACACATGAACGACGACGGATTTCCGTCACGATTTCTAATCACAAACTTTTTACCATCATTTCTATTCAGCTGGTCTACGACCAATTGCGTTCGATATTGATGAGTCTGTTGGGTCAACTGTGATGATAACAGCGGAACTGATTTCGCGTGCAATTCGATCAATGATGTAAACTGCTCGACTGCTTGTTTGGGCTCCTCGCTCTGTTCATGAGTAACGATTTCCGGCTGAATTGCAGGCAGTATCCATAAATTCGAGTCTGGTTCATTTCTTTTTTCGTCTTCTGTTTGTAAATATTGATGGAAACGGTTCTCATGTTGTTCATTCGTCGATTCACTTTCGCTCCAGATTGTCGTTTGCTTTTCTTCCATAGTTAGTTTTCGTTCTTGTAGAATCGATCGTACACGAATTAAATGCGTAATCACAGCAAAATAATGTTCGCATCGAATATCTTCCGGTATCCATAAAAGAAGGACATTCTCCATTGCTAAATGTTTACACGTTTGTACCAGTGATTGTGAACATTGTTGAAGTAATGTATCTTCGATTGACTTCAAATCGTTGAGAAATTCGGTAAGATGCTGAATTATCGCATGAATTTTGTCGACTTCGTCTTTATAATCGATTTGTAGGATGTTTTTATAAATATTTCCGATAAATTCGTCCTTCAGTGGAACATCAATATGAACTCGAAGTAGATGCGAGACATCGATGTACAACTGTTGACATTCGTTCAATGCATTGTTGTATAAGGTCAAGATTTGATTGATGTAACACAATTGAAAATCTTTGATTTCGTACTGATCTACTCGTTGATCGAATTCGTTCTGGGAGTCGATTTGTTTGATGAATTGATAGAGATGTAAAGATGATTTATCATCTTCGTCATTCTGCAATGTCAAAGCGATTTGTCGGAGAAAGTTATATCCATGATAAAGTTTATCGGAGGACATATCTTTCAAGTAACCCCATTCATTCTCGCATTGTTCAAGCGGAAGTGGCAATTGATATTCTTTGCTTAATTCGACATCGTGAGCATTGGTAGGATTTCGAATGGCGACTCGTTTTGTATGGCACTGATACTTCTGATGAATGTGACGGTAATTGATACGACAAAGAAGAAAGTAGGTACGAAGAATTTGTGACTGAACATAGAGAAAATCGTATGAGAGTGACGAATCGAGGCTAGCGTGAGATAATCGTTCGATCCATAGACAATCTTGTTCGGTTAAGGTAATGACACCAGTATTGTCATGGGCAACTTTCAAAATTGATACCTGACGTAACGTTAATGCGTTGACTAATGCTTTCAATGCATCGAAATTGACATTTTCCTTGCTATTGAACTCCTTCTCAATTAATTCTAACATGTTATTATGATAATCAACCAAAACACTAAAATAAACGCAAATTTTGTACTTGTTTTCTATCGTTTGATAGTTTTACCTGATAATGCGCATAATGATATCTCCTTCGTCATGATTTTCGTTGGTGGCTAAATAACTCACAGGTGTCTCGATTGTAATCTTCGGGAAGCGTTGCGTTTCGTCACAAGCACCCGGCCGAATGAGGCCATTGGTAAATTGATGATACTGGTTAACAGCTTCGATGCCACTGTCGATAATTGATTGATATGATCGTTCTTCATTTTGATGCTGCTGGTAATATTTTTGTCCTCGATCATATAATTCTTTCAGTGTTATGCTGACAAATTCAGTACGTTCGATCAATTGGGTGAATGTCTGATGTATAAGAAGGTAGAATTGACTGAGCTCGTAGATTAATTTGGTTATTTTCAAGAAATCAAATGAATTGAAGATGTCACGTAGGATCTTTAACGTCGGTTGCGAGTACCGTGGATGATACAATGCCGTTTTGAAATCGGTAAATTGACTAACGGCAGGCAAGTGATCGATAAAATTTTGAAGGTCTCGTTGAATTTCCGATTTTAAATTTAGATTGTTAATATACGTCTTATGTTCGGATAATCTTTCGTGAATAAAATAGAATACTTGATTTTGATATTCTGCTTCCGCATGATGTTGGTCAGTCAATGATCGGTAACTAGCTCTAATCCATCCGTTGGTTTGCTCTTGTGTTAGATAGGCCATTCGTTCGAAACAACGATTTAGAAGCAGACAGACATCGGTTTGATTAGTGCGAGTTGAAAGAAAATGAAACGATGATAAGATTCGTGTACAAACAAAGTGACAAACTTTCGCTCGAATATCATCGCCAACAAGTCGATGGGCCATTCGATTGTCCATAATAGCTGAAGTTGATAGAATCGGACCATTTAGATGTTCAACAGCTCGCTCATTCAAGAGCAAATACCATGCCTAACCAATTGTTTCGGGATAGATGAGTTTGTATGAATGAATATAAAAGATGACTTACCATTGCACCGAAGGTCGAAAAGTAGGCGACATAAACTGCAGGAACACTGAGCATACTTGTATGGCCACTGTTGTCAAAGCGCACTAATTCACCATTTTCTGATATGATACAACCACAATCATAATGAACGCCACCGGATAGTATAGGGCTTGATGAAGTTGATCCAAAGCCTAGGTGAAAATTCGCAGACACATCCTTTCATATCAAATGAACGCAATTCTTCTTACCAAAAGTGTGCTGCAAACTCACAGGTTGAAACAAGAACGACCATAGGAAAGATTGCTTTCCACCGAGTAGAATCATCGCCAGTAGATTGACAAGTAAATGTCGCAAGGTTAATTCGAATTCATTTTTCGTCTCCAGTTGAAAGATATTATTGAGAAAATTTTGCGATTTTTGCGAATAACCGATCATAAACTGTTTCGGTTGGAGTAGAGCTTGAAAAACTCGAAATTCTTCGGTTGACAATTGTAAACTAGTCTGAATGACATCCAACAATGGTGTGATGGAATTTAATTGATTCGAGCAATAGAAATCATAGTAAATATGCAAAAGTAACATAGCAGAGATTTCATTAGGTTTAAATCGATTGGTATTTGAATTCAACCGTGATTTTATCCAATCGGAAACGGTTTTCCACGTATTCGTTTGAATGCAAATGTCAATAATATCTCGTAATTCTTGGTATGGCTGATGAAGTTTAGCAAATGTCGATGTTTTCGTATTCGGAGACGATGTAAACTGTATCTGATGATGTAATTGCAAGGAGTGTTTTTGCTCCAAGTCCAGTAGTGAATGGAGATATGTTGCCCATTGAGAATGAGTACGTTGAATCTGTTCTGGTTTTAGTAAATTTAAAAGAAAGTTCCAAGACTGTTTCGAGATAATTGTTGAAAGGAAAAGTCGCAGATTGAGATTTATCTCTCGAGTTTCCTGATTGATTGACAACAGTTCGGTTACAATCGTTGATAGAAAAGGCATGACTTCTTCAAGTTCGTTTTCTTTTCGATTGGGTTGAGAAAGGAGTAGAGCTAGAATTTGAATTCGTAAATAATCTTTTAGTTGGTGGAAAATTCGCTCCACAGCAGACGTCAGACGCCGATTTTCGGTTCGAGGAGCTCGCAATAGCATTCCTTTGTTGATTAGGGCACATGTGATCGGTTCATGTGTCAACCGCCGCTGAATATGAAAGAAATATAGATCAATTAAAGTATTTTTCGGTTGTATGGCACTCGAATCATCAGACACCATACGTGATTGGTACGGCATTTGATAGTTTTCAATCGAATCCGTATTTGTCAAACATTCAAGTACAACTGGAATAACTTCTAAACGATTCCATACATCGAAATCTTGTTTCGTTTTCAATTGACATTTGAGTAATATATCCATTAACTCATCGAATAGAAATTGTTTCATCGGTAATGTAATTTGTTCAGTTGAGTTATTTACATACTTCAAAAGTAACTGGATATCACTCTTCGAATGTTGACTGCTCGATTTCAAAATCGTAAGAATCCATTGCTGAAGATCGATGAAAACAGTGGAATTATCGATTCCATTATTTCGTAAATATCGTTGAATGATATCGGTTATATCCGACAATAAATGTATACAAATCGACGATTCGGCGAAATTCGTTCCTCCGAGTAACATCGCAACTAGTTTTTGCGGTTCGATAATGTTATTATTGAGAAAGATCAAGTATGCTAAGTTCATAAATTCGATCTGATTTTTTATATCCGTTAGTTGCATACTCTGGAGAACTTTTTCCGAGGGATAATATTTAGATACGAATGTGTAAGCGTAAACCCATTCTTGGTTACTTTCATTGGTTAGACATAATTGGCGAAGATTTTGCCATAGATAGTCGAAAATTAAACGAAAAAATCGTTCGCGAATGCTTGAACGCGTTTCATTTTCCATATTAGCGAAGTTCGCATGGAACTGCCGTGAAGAATCAAGACGATCCATGATTCGACAAGCAGAATACATCGAAATCAGATCGCTCTGTTCAGATTCATACGATGTATACACGTGTGCGAATAGCCAAACAAGCTTGTTCGGACAATTTTCCAATGCTTGCTGATCGTTTTCATCGGTAAGTAGTAACCACTTCGCTATAAATTCCACTGTTTGCTGGCGTCGGGTACGATCGTCATTGAAATTCGTTTCTGCTATGGTGCAATAGGTTCGCACGAGATCATTCGAATACGAATGGAGAGTATGTTCACCGATGATATCAACCAAGGTCTTGTCATTCATGATGGAAGTCATTAGATTGTACCGAAAAGTTTCAAAATTATTCGCAGGTGGATTGGCGTAGTAATCATCACGTAAGCGATCATCATGTTCTAAATAGAAATTATATATTAATGAGTTTTATTCGTAGAATAGCAAACCTTGTTGTTCGGTTTGTTTCAGAATGTTGTTCAGTTTAATATTGTCAGCAAGTGATTTGATACGCTTATGCAGTAGATGGTATAGTGGTGTTTCTGGTATGCATGAATAATGAGTGACGAGTTGAAATATTCCTTGTTGGTGATCGCTTTGTTCATCGTTGGCAAATGTTTGATAATCAATTAGACTTAACAGTGAACCATAGTGTTGATGTTCAGTTGATATTTTTGTTAGAGTATCGAGACCGTAGTCATTGATAATGAGTTTAAAGATATTCGAAACGAAGTTAGTAAACGAATGTCGTGTCTGCGATTGTATGGAATCGATTAAACCGGTGAAACGTTTACCGCATAAGATATCTTTGGAAATCTGGTAAATCAGATTGTAAATTTTCTTCGACGAATTCTTCTTTTTCGATAGATAATCATGATAGATATCGACAATATGTCGTTGTAAATGCATCGATTGTTGCAGAATGTTTTTCAGACATTTCACACGTCGTGTCTTATTCGTTTGACGTTGATAAAATTCGTGGGCCAATTCATTCGTAAACATATCGGCGGATAAGTCCGGAAGAATGATATGAAGTCGAGAACAAAAATCCCATAGGCAATCTTCGAACAGGATGTTCAAATCACATAGAACGTCATCGTCGCCTTGGGAAGATTGCGCATCGTGAGTTGAAATAATCTGCAGCATCTTTCGTAAATGAAATGCACTGCCAGGTGCACAAGTATCGAAGAAACAAAACTCCCAATGACGTAAAAATATGGATGGAAAGCATATTTGATGGTAAAGATCTTGCGTGGATGAATGAAAAAGAATGAGAAAATATTTTCGTTCGAGAGGTTGACGAGTATTGCAAGATTGTTCAGTTTCATCGATCAATTGCCGAACGTATGGAATGTGAAGACGCTGTTGTCCAATACGACCGTCGATAACGATCATCAACACGTTTTTCTGATGATCGGCTGCGTAAGTTTGGAATTTATCTTGCAATTCAAGAGAATTTTCCACTGTATTCTAAAGAAAATGTCATTTTTCAAGTTAGAGATCTCGACATTTCAACTAGAATCAATGATATACTTACTAAATTGAGTATTTCGATCTTATCGGCGCGATCATCATTTTCGTTTGTGTGAGTATTGAATAGATCCATTTTCGATTGTTGATTAAGCCCAATGACATATGATGACGTACGTGTAAAGATCATGACTTTTGTTGTTACATGCTGTGCAATACCATCTTCCGAGTTTTCTTTGATCGACGAACTCGAAACGAGTTGATAGATGAAATTTTCAATATTAAAATGTTCCTGTTGTTGAAAGTACAAATGACATAACCATTGCTGTACTTTATCTTCGAATATCGGTAGTTTTAATATGATCGACTCAGGTGAGACAAGCTGAATTAGTTTCGACAGTACCAGTCGGAGAAAACATTGACGAACATCGGCTGGATTTTGTTCGATAAAAGATTACAGTTTGCGTGTCATTTGTGTGTAGCATTGCTGGATGTTCACTAGTGTATATTGATCGTTTTCATTGGTTTGAATCAAAGACAATAAACATGAGTGAAGAGTACTGTCATTCATTCCGTAGAAATACTGTCGACCGAAGTGTTGAACAAATGATTGCACTTTGTCTTCGATACTTCTCAAAAGTAGTTGTTCCTCACGAGGAAGTTTTTCTAAACGAATACGATAGAAATCGCTCACACTCAAGGAGTATTTCTGGAATCGACTGAGAAACGGTGCGGGAATGTCCTTCAATTCACTTCGTTTAATATGAATGATGCATTGGAAATCTTCATGAACAGCAACGTCGATGGTCTTTGGACCGATGGCAACTTTTGAAAAGATCTTTCTCATGTCACCGGTGGCCATAATGGAAAAATTTTGATTGAACACATCGTACAACGAGCCATGTATTCGACTTGTATTCACCATTAGTATCGTTTTACCGGTTTCCATGCATAATTTGATTGTTGATAAGATTTCGACATTGCGTAATTCATTGTGGACATCATCGGCGAAGTCTGACATACGAAACACTGTGGTGCGACTTGGATCCGAATCGAGAATGGCTGTCTGGTAGAGAAGATTGGTTGCACTTTCGTCTTCGGACTCATCGATGATTAATTTATAGCGTCCGTAAAGACGGCGACGTTTCGAATTGAGTTTCATTGAATCTCGAAGAACGGTTGGAATATCGCGAAAGTATTTTTGCGGATTGCGTTCCGGCGGCAAACGAAAATTCGGCGATTTCTCTTGTATGGCTCGGAAAAAGATCTGAACCAGCTCTTCGAATTCATTTCGATTAATTCCATTGAAATTATCTTCTAATGCTCGTAGTAAACTCATCGGCTGTATCGAATTCGTTCGTATTTCTTGCTCGTCCGCTGATGTTGGCAATTCAAATCGCAATTCTCGCAACATATAGATAAAATCTCGATCATGAAAAATCTGCGGAATATTTGCACTACTTAGTACCCGACGATAACCTTGACAAAGACCGTAAATCACGTCTTCAAGTGGTTTTCGAACTTGTGTTTGCTCATGATTTGTTTGCAAGCCAAGACAGCCGTATGCCAAGATCTTTTGATCCTCTTGCGATGGTAATGACCGATAAACACAGATCATTCGATTTGCCTTAGCAGCGTCAAATGCTTTGTTTGCAACAGCAACGAATGCGACCTTGCATTCATCCAGATATGAGTGCAGAACTTTTAAAACCATTTGGTTCTCATCGGGAAGCGATGCTTCGTCGAGAAAAACCACCTAGAAGAGAGAGAGTCTTTGTCAAGGTTTCTCATTTAATTCAACTTACGCATTGCGTTTCGATTCGATTTTGTCGATAGTCATGTTCACGTCTGATCGCTCGATCGAACACATATGCAATATCTTCCGATCGACTGTATTTCGATCCAAGACAGAAGAACGGATCAATAGCAGGCAATCGTTTACAAAATGGCTTCACAGACAACTGCGAACCTTGGAGATTTTGCAGAACAATTTGAAATGAAAGAGTTTTCGATTGACCGGGTGCACCAATAATACACAACGGTGTACGAGTACTAATGCTTACAACAATGGAGAAAATATGTTCACGAATCTGAAATCAAATGAAGACATGATACGGAATGAATACGCGACGAAGTTGAATGTTTGCTTACAGCTTGATTGACAGCAACTCCATGTGGAATAACGAAATTCTCTGTGTTAACGAATCTCTCTAATTCATCTTGAATCGTTTGAGTAAACTGCGGAATGCTCTGCGAGAGAACTTCACTGAGTTCTTCTCTTGATGGTGTTTGGTCGTCTTTTCGTAACATATTATCTTCTTTGGTTGGTAATCGAAAGTAATAGATCAGCGCTAACGATAAGGCAATGCATCGAATTGGTTCCGGCTTGTCATCATCTCCATCATATTTCATTCTCGAAAAGAAATCGATTAGATTGAAGCATCGTTGAATTTCTCGTTGAGATACAGAATTGCTTCCTAAAGAAAAGCAGAGTCATTGATTGAGAATACTTATTTTCAAAGTTTTCTCACCGAGACGTCTTTCACAAAATTCCTGTGCCGCTAAGATTGCGCGTGTGAGTACATCTTGCACATATCGATCGAGTGCGGTTTGGATATTCGAATCCTGTGATGAAGTCACCGTGAATAAAGCGATCTTCTTCCTGACATAGTCTGCCAATGTCGAGGAATCTAAGATTCCATAGGAGACTTTGAGACTTTCTAATGATTGTGGTAATTGATGAACAAGATAGTCTCGACGATGAACTTGTACATTATCATGTCGCTGGTTTTGAGATGTGTTCGCCAGATTCTTCGAAGGATTTATCGCCGCAGTGAAGAATATGTTTTTTGGTAGACTATTGCCGTGCAATGTTCCATCCATAAACATTTCTTTGAACAATCCAAGACACGATGATGTGTTGACTTCATCAAAGAACACAACGAGCTCTATAGTGGGCACTTGTCGTGCTAGTTCAGCGACGGGTGCGAGGAAATCTTCAATTTGTTTTTCAGTCACGCCCGGATGGAGAAGTAAACGATAGAATAATGGTCTAGTTTGACTTCTTAGGAGGAATTCATCGAAAATTTCAATTGCTAACTTGACTGTTGGATTCTGTATTATTTTGAGTAGGTCGGACAAACGAGGACTTGCAAGAATCAATGGTGAGTTTATCAATTCTGATGTGACAAAATCATGAAGAGTACAAATCAGTTTTTTCGTCACATTTCTCGTATGTCGCTTTGTAGTCATTAGGATTGTTTTCCATATCTTTCGTAAAATGAGCTTGTCATACCTGCAGTTTCCCAATGCAGATTTGATCGTTGATAATAAATCACGATCTACTGGTTCGTTTCGAACTGCAATCGCATCTTCGGCATTATTTTGATCAGTACATGGGAATGCGCCAAAGCCAGATAGATCGTCATTCTCATCATCGTCGTCGTCGTCATCTTCTCGTCCTTGGTCATTCGACGGATTCTGCAGTTTCAATGCGATTCTTCGAAGAAGTATATTCAACAAATTCGGCTTTTTCTCTATGATACCAATGCAAATCTCCTTTAACAACCATAAACTGATTCGCTCCGGAATTCGCATCGAAAGTCGATTGTCTAGTTTGCCATACGTGATATTTGCATTGAGTAGTGCAGAATAGAATTGCAAAAGGAATGTTTTCCCAACACCTGTTTCACCTTCGAGAATCAGCGCGAGTTTAGTTAGTTTTCTTTCATGGATATGAAATAGTTTATATGCGAAGTTCTCGGTTAAAATAAACTTTTTTTCGTGCATTAAATCAACGAACGCTTCGACAGGTATATCGATTAACCATGCGAGACATTTGATATAATAGTCTGTAGACTGCGTCGCCGGATCATTGAAATTGAATAGGTACTGTAAGAACCACGGAACATCCTCCCAGTTGTTGTGTAGTAAATTTAAGGAAAAATTTGAGTCATAAACAAGGTACACTTTCGGATAGTCATTGGAAGAAAAATCAATTTGTGTCAGCGATCGAGCTTCGTCAATCATTTGCTTCATTGCAATCGAGCCGAGCCGTTCGATCTCCATATTGTAGCAGTAGTACGAATTCGTAAAAAATCGAACGCGACGATAGAGAAATTTCGTAAAAGACAAATCGACTATCTTATTTCGCGGCAGGTTCGGCGCATGTTCACTGATGCAATTGTAAATATGAGTACGACATTCATTGTGGTCAGTGAGTGGATCGAATTGAATGGGCGTGGTCTTTCCAGACCGTGATTCTCGACAGAGTTGGTCAATAGTTTCATTTTGATAAGCTTTAAGAAATCTGGCTACAAGTTCTTCTTCTTCTCCGATGAATAATTCATAATTTTGATTTGTAACTTCTTCTAATGTATTCGGGGATATGATTGCGAGTAAAGGAAGGATTTGATTGAAATTCTCTTTGATACTTAGGTTACATTTACTGATATACGGAACTTCGATGATAAACTTCCAATGTTTGTTTGTTGAAAGCGAAAATGTCAAACCAGTAGTCACGTCATGCAATGTCCGACAGAGAAACAACGAAAAGAGAATACGATTGAGTTGTTCAAATGGTGCATGGATTGAAAGATTGAAACACATTGTTAGTTGAACATGTGATGTTTGCGATTCGAATGCTAAAAATGATCGAATCAATGATGAGACATTGATTTTATCATTGATACTGATACATAATGTATTCTCGTCTTTATATTTCGTCTTAATGTAATGTGTTTTTCCTAAAGAGAAGAAAAGCTTTACAAATCGAGTCTAGGTTGATATTTATCCTACCGCTTCCAGCTGCTCCACAAACAATCTGAATTTGTGGTAAGACAACATTATTCTGTCGTAATTGTGCATGCATCTGCGTTGGATTTCGATGTTTTGGTAAGATAATATATTGTTGTAGACCTTTTCGACCTGTAATTAACTCTCGGGAGAAGTAATAAACCGATCCGTGAGATTTGCTTTCTTTCGTTAGAGAATTCTGTTCATTTAATAACAATTCGCGGAGTCGATGATGCATTCCATCGATGTCCATGACGACAAATGTTAGAGACGAAAAGTTGCGTACACGAGAAAAGAATAGACGAATGTCGTCTTCAGTGCATACGGAACACCAAAGAATCTGATAAGAAGATGGTAAACGATCATGAAAAACATCCACCAGAAGACAGCATGTTTTCACATCCAAATCGTTGTCGAGTTTTCGCCGATCCGCACTTTGCTGTTCGACTGAGCTTAGACTAACTAAAAATTGTTGGCTTTCAGTCTTTGCAGATAATTCTTTTCCACTATGAAATAAATCTTTGAAAAATCTGCCGAGCTGCTTCAGACTTGCCTCGATCGATGTGCCTTGTTCGATTTGATATTTGTGATATAGATCAGCGATGTTGTTCATAGACGAGTCATAATCGCTGAGTCGAATCGATTGTAGATAATGACTTAGACAATGAATGGCTAAATTAACATGTCGGTCGTTGAGATTGACACCAGTTTGTGAAAGGTAGAGTTTGTCGAGAAACTTTCGTTGAATGGAATTCGGTGAAGGGGATGTTGTTAATAGAATGATCATGATCATGAGTTGCCGGTTGGAAAACAATTTCAAAAGGCGATTTTCATACCGGGATGCGTCTAGAATTTTTATCCATAGATCATAGGTTGTTTCTAAGTTTCGATAGATCAATTCGAAATCATTGGTTCGACTTCGAATTAGACTCTCGAATTCTTCCTGTTGTTGATGATTGACATGATCATTTCTCATATTGGACAGAACTTTCTTAATTCTACCGAATGTATCATAGATTGGATAATGTTTTTGTTGCAGTTGAAACTCGGGATGACCGTTGATTTCTAGTTTAATTAGAATTGAATGGATTTTTTCGATGGTTTGAAATAATTTCAGTTGTTCACTCAGTAAAATCTTCTTTAAAATCATATTTTCTGGTAGATCAACTTGACAGAATGTGAGCTGACGCTTATGATCATCAATATCATCTGAGGATAGCATTACTCGTTGAACTTCTTGTTCTGTCGGCATATTCTCATCTTCGCCCTCTTCTTTGTCGTCGTCGTCGTCGTCCGTTTCGTTACTAACCATCTTCTCAACTGCATATTCTATTTTAAGCTCCGATTGTTCGTTCAGCAAACGTCGAAGGTCTATATGAACTACACCAGTTTTATAGAGGTACTCCATCGTAATCAGAGCATTATCTAACATCGTCGTGCCTTCTGCCGACAGCCACATCGTTACGATTTGTATATTATCACTCACAACTAGAATAGAGGAGGTTAGATTGGTAATCCTGGATGGCTGACTTACGTTTGATATGTTTCAAAGAACTCTCATCGATGTTTGATAGTTGAGCAATACTTGCAACAAATTCATCGAGACTGGCAACTTGCTGTACAAATGGTTTGCACAGCGCATAAGTGATGATCCAAGAATTAAGAATCATACTATTACGTTCTTGTAATTGAAATTGCGTAGTTAAATTATCTCGCAATTCTTGGAATCGACGTAAGCCGTGATTGTTGCAATATAAATCGGCATTCTTCATCAATTCGACTACGTTTGCACATTCAACGATGATTTTAATCAACTGCAAATGATGGTGCGTCAATCGACGAAAGCGTTCGTTCAGTTCTTTATAGATTTCAGGAATTTCTTTCAGAGAACAATCTTCTTTGATGGTCATTTCGGACAGATTAGAAATGGATTGATCATTTTCTTTGTTATTTGATACAATCTTGAACGTACGTACACAACTGACTATTCCACTGAGATGACTATAGTATTGATATGTTCGTAGCCATTCACAAACTTGTGCAATTTCCTGGTCATTGATTGTGTCCGTGTTTTGTGCTACTGCTTGATTTGTGAATAGCTTCTTCACTTCGTCGCCGACATTAATATTTTTATCGTGAAAAAGTGTTTTCAGACAGTCCATCTCTTGCAAGGTGGTGTCTCCACGTAGAAGTTTATCAATGAATGAAAATACTCGAGTAATCAGTTGACTTAAGTCTTTCTCTTTACACAATTGAGTTGGATTGTTGAAATATCTTTTATACTGCACATCGAAAATACCGTGAAACAGATGACATGTGGGAATAGTGTGCTGTTCCACAGAGTACCACAAGACGCGGGAAGCATGACCATTGCGATTATTGATTGTTATTTCCAATTGACCGGGATCTTGTGTTTCGAATTCACCGTAAAGGTAGTTTTGATGAATATGAACATCTTTCTGATCGTATAGTTCATAGACTTGATTTGAAGGATTTTGTACTCGATACACTATGTTTATGTTGCACGGATGCTCCATACAAGCGAGCGACCAGCGAACACGTCGGCGCTCATTAATATTCACATGTTTTTCGCCGTGATTTTTGTCCTTCACAGTAAATGTATTATTTGGTTGCGAACGTTTCACTTTTTCAATGTAAGTTTTATATTCATCTCGATGGCTCAGTGAACTGTTGCAAATAATACGGAATGGCTCTAAATAATCGAATAAGCCGCATAAACGGTATAGATCGGTGAATGAACTAAACATTTTCAGTATTTGTTGAACCGTCATTTTCATCTTTAGTACAGTAGTTTCCGAACCCTGTCGAATATTGTATATATCATTGAATAACTGTTCGGCACCTTCCATTTTCCAGGTTTTGAAGCGTTCGATTACATATTGAAAAATATCGAGGAACTTGTTAAACCATTGTATCCACGCCTTGACTTGCTCGATAAAACGAGAAAAGTATTGATCTTTGACATCCGTTGAAGTTATGTCGATGTCGTCTGGTTTTGGAATGGACATAATCTTTTCGATCTGAGAGTTCATCACAGGAAATTTGAAACGTTGAGGATCTTCTGAAGTTAAAATACTGCTCAAATCGAGTTGAGGAAGGAATTGGTAAGCAATCGATTTATTAGGTAATTCTAAATAGACCTTGCATGTTCCTACGAAATGAAAGACACAGTATATTCCCATACGATCCTTTACTAATACTTACCTTGCAACAATAGAACGTTTTTGATGGATTGTTTCGCATTTTCAACAAATTCATCTACTAATCTCGTGTCTATTCGATCCGGTGTTTTCGCTCGGATCTCTAAGCTGTACTGGAGTATCGCTTCAATGTTTGAAACAGATAATACAGCTTTCATTTGTTTCGAAATTACCAACTCGAATACATTCTTAACGAAAATAATTGTCAACGTGTCATTCTCGTCGAATGTGTCGTGTTTCATATTGAGGAACCATTTATTCAAAACAGCAAGAACTTCGGTTGATTTGACAGATTCTATCTTGTTAAGACTTAGCCATATCAATCTTGACCAAATATGAATTGACCAACTATTGTTGTTATGACTGTCACATAAAGTTTGGTAATCGTAACATGACATTTTCAAACTTTCTTGAGAAATACTTAAAATATGATCAGTTAGCCATTCGTCTGGAATGATGTTAATAACATCATATCTTTCACATAAGATTTTATTTAGTTTATTTAATTTATCGAAAATACCTTTGATTCTTCTTGGTATCCAGGTGGTACTCTTATCTGATTTGAACAATAAATGTCGAATGACAAGCGAACAAGATCGGTTGACAGGTTCAGTTGTGGATGGCGGAAGAAGGGTCATATCCAATAATTCACTTAATATTGTTTCAGAAAACTTGTGGAAATATACATCTTCGTGAAGTTGTTTGTTGAGAAATGCAAAGGTCACTTCTTCAAGTATTTTCATAAGATACGGTCGATTTTCTTCCTTGACTTGTTCTAAAGATTTTTTTGCTATTTCATGACTGCGCATAAATTCGTAGGCTGATTCATTTTGGGTTCGCTGTATCAAAACTTTAGTCAAATGATTTTGTATTATTTCATTCATATCACCACATTTACATATGAGTATAAATTTTTCCCATGAATCGTAAAGATCTCCACCAGACATAAATATTGGTAAGTATACGCCGTACAGTTCCTCTCGTTTACTCAGCATAGATAGCAGTGAAACAACATGCGACCATTCATATAACCGGGAATACATTCTTTCCTGAAAAACGGGTTTGTATTCCAAAAAAAATCCTTTATGATCCAAACTCAGTTGCTCTAACATTTCCATAAAAGATTCGAAGGGCGATGTTGAACTATTCTTCTCTGGGTGGAGTTTTCGGGCAAGATATGCAAAGCCTGATTCGTTGAGCGGACACTGTTCAAATGCTCGTTTGTGTTGAAGATAGAATTCAATAGTCTCCTTCAAAGACATTTTCCATACTTGAACTTGTGATAGAGTTCGAGTCCATAACATAGGACCACCCAATTCACCGATTAATGGTAATGACTGAAAATATAATTTGCAAAGACATAAGAATATAGCTAACGTTTGTGTGTCATTGATTTCTTTCACTGATGATAAATGTCCACCAATTTCGATTTTCGTGACTATGTCTCTATTTATCACAGCTAGGTTAGGCTCTATCCCGCGTGTAGAGGTAAATAAATGAATCATTTTTTCTTGAAAACAGTTCCGCAAAGGTTTTATGTGATCTTGGGATATGCTCGCTTGACGAATATATTCTTTTACGCGACGGTATATATAAAAGTACGCGCTGATTCGTCTCGGGAATAGAGCCGAAAATTCGGGTGTATCCAGGCTTTCTTTTGTGCATTGAATAATAATATCAATATCAGCTGAAAAGCGTTCATTAACAACCAACCGATTTGACTCGTCATACGCTTCAAAACGCGCATAGACTAGGTCAAAGAATTCTTGTTCTCCGGCAGGATCCATAAATAATTGTAACAATAGAGTTACAGCTTTTGATGGTTTTTTCTCTGCACTGTATACATCTTGCAACCGCTTGAGAATTTTACCAATAATATCCATCTTTATCAATGAGCTGACGTTTTCACTCTGAAGTAAACGATAAGTAATATTCGAAGAATACTGAAAAACATGGATGAAAATTTTCACACAATTAATTCAAAATAAATTAATATCCTCGTACGTCCGTTATCGAATACTCTCCCGTATCGTTCGCTTTCTAAATATTTCTCACATAACTTCAAAAGATAAGGAAAAAAACACTTTCTCCAACATCAACTATTCTAATTTTATCATCGCAATGAATAAGAGTCGGCTCCTAATTTTACCCAGTACTATGAAAACTCGCGTTCTTATATAACAGAGAAACCATCTAGTTATAGGCGGATCTGATATGGAAGGCTTCATCAAAAGCGAGAATAATCTCAATTCTTGTACTACTGAATATTTCAATCGATACAATAGGAAAGAAACCGTTGCATCAGATTGAATTGAAAACAAGTAAAGCTGCCATCTTTACTAAGAAATAATAGAAAAAGTTTGCTTACCAGAACTCAAGGGTTTGAAAAAAATACGCGCAGGTGAGAACAATGCAAAGAAAATGCGTTAGGTGAATGTTATTTTTGTTCTGTCTGCAGCCCGTCTATATGAAGGAGTCTCAGACGCTGTTTATCTACATTTCGCCATTTTGCTCCCATAAGCTAGAAAACGTTTTTCGTCGTCCGCAGTGACTGCTTTATTTACTGGGAAAAAATACGTCGATATTCTGTTTTTATATGGTTCCGGCTTCCACCAATCAAAGAAAAATCAAAGCAGAACATAAATTTTCAGTACATGATATTGTTTAAGAAGAATATCTTAACCTTCAGTTTTTATTATTGTCTGCAATCTGAACAAAACTGTTCGTAGTAATGATCATGTTCAGACAGATAGTAATTGTCCATGATACAAATCACTTGTTGCAATCCCAGCGACTATAGATCACCTCACGTACCTCTGATTCATTGTTCATACTGACGAAAACATCGCACATTGTATGATAGGAGAATTGGATGGAGTGTTATTGTCTATCATTATTCAAATTTGAAGCAAATCGATCACGAAATACAAAAAATCAATGTCAGTTTCTTGTTCGTTCTGTCCTTCGATCAATTTTTCTCCTCTTAACACGTGCCCTTTTACGAAAGGTATCTTTTGCTATCATTTGTCATCTGTATAATCTTCATTCACTAGTAAGAAAAGCAAAGTATGACTTCAGCATTCATTATTTTTGGTATTGTTGTCATTTGTGTTGTAATTGTTGCTTGCACGCTCATTCTCCTAGTAAGTCACATACACAAACATGAATATACTAAAGAACATTTCCTTCTAGGGTCTTTTTTTCTGGCCGTTAGTTGAAGAGTATCGAAAGAAGAAACAACAATCGCCGGCATTTACCTATGTCAATCTTGGATACGATTGAGTGCAAATCTTGTTCGACCTTTCCTAGTCAAGATAATTTTCCATAGACTGATGCGAATAACTTCATATTTTATTTTGAATAAACAAACGAGAAAAAAATATTCAATCAAAAGACACAAACAACTTATCTTACATCAACGATTGTAATACTCAGCCATAAGCATACATTTTCATTCTAATACAATCACAGTTCATACAGATTTGCGTTGCTGTTTCTCTCTCTTACGTAACTAATACTAAAAATCGAATAAAATAACTTTATAAAGGACGACTGGAGTTCGTTGTGTCAGACATGAGTGACGGTAATCCATAAGGATTGTTCGTAGAAAAATGTGGCCAGTCCTGTTCCGATAAACGACGAACTTGTAGTTCAGGTTGGGAAGACATCGTTCGAACTGAAATACGTTGATGATTGTCGTCGGCAGATGAATCGATGGACTCAGCGTAGGGCCCATCGAAGACTAGTGAGGATAACGATGGACGTAAGTAGTGATCTTGCTCACGAGCAAGAACATCAACGCGTCTCGACGACTGATTGGAAATCTTATGTTGATATTGTTTTACAGATCTATAGAAAAAGTCCGATGTTCGAAAACCGATCTAAAGATGCATCTCCGATGGATCCTACCGTTTTCGAAAGCATACATAACAGAGTAAGCATAAGATTAACCATGTAGCTAAGATAGCGATAATAATGAGTAAGATAACCCACCAATCAAGCTGAAAAAAAAGAACAAAATTAGCATCGAAATAAATGAAATATTGACAATGGTTGTTACCCCATAGATATGCCCGTCAGATCGTGAACCAAATGGAAAGAATGAAATTTTACCGCCGGGTGGTAAAGGGTCGTTAATATTTATTGGTATATCACGAATCTGAACTAAGGTTTCTAAGCCAGTTGTATTAAATATATTCGAACAGATCTGTTCCGACGGTGGTGAATAATCACCAATATCGTTCGATTCCAAGCCAATCAAATAGTCAAGTCTGATTTGATCAGAACTAGAGAACAGACAAAGATTAAGAATATTCATGTTCTGATGAAACGAACCTCGACAGAATTGTGTTCATTGCCGGCACAGATAACTGATTTGTTGAGAAAAGATGGCTATTTGCAGTAGACCAACTACGTCTCAATGCTTGACTAACGATCGATAGCATTGTCGAATTGAACGGTTTGCTTTTGACGTAGACTGCATAGCGTTTGTATGGAATATCGGTGTAGATATTCGGTAAACGAATCGAACTTGACGATGGTGGAATCAGCTGCATTGGATCCAAGTTAATTGTGTAGATTAAACGTGTTAAAGTTTGACTAAAAGCAAGAGCATATAATACGACAAAGATAAACAAACGCCGTTTACTTCTTATTTGTCAAGTAAGATGAATCAATGGAAAATTCGGATGATATGTTAACTGGGTAATTATCTAAATGAAAAAGTCGAGAAAGTCGAAGATTTCTCATAAGAAAGAACACAATTACTGTTCGATTTTCTCCAAGCAGCTGTCAACGCATCAAAGATTTCACGATGGGACGGGCGTGGTTCAATAAGATATATCGAGTGAATAGGATATGATGTACAATTAGTGAAAGATTGTCCAACTATGACATCAGTAAGTGATGAGTGATTAGGAATCTGGTAATCAAGTCGAACAGATCGTTCTCTGAAAGAAAAATAATAATAAGATTCACATGAATAGGATCTTTTTTGTTCATTACCCATTCGAACAAATGTATTGAGTTTGTTTTTGCAATGTGATCGTGAAACTTGTGCTGTCATTTGTTCGTAACCGTTTAAGGTATTCGGAAAGAGATGCAGATTGAGCAAGAAAAGTCGATCGATCGAGATACTGACGCTGAATACCGAAATGCTTCGCTTGATACGCTTCCATATCCGGGTAATACAACGAAAAGTCACATCGAGTCAACAGTTGTGTTCCGTTGATGAACTGGAAAGAAGAACAACGATTATCATACAAAATCAGTGTGAATATCATCTCTATCCTACAGTTAGATAAAAGCGCGTTTGATCGGAATCAATTGATTCCATTTGAATGATTTTTGCTTGACCATATTCTGCAAAAGCGAGTAGAAATATATTTGAAGACAAACAAGAAATGAGAACATACGCGGATTGTATGCTGTTAGTTGATTTTCGATATTGTGTCGAATAGAATCTGTTATTGGCAACGGCCTGTTAACGATATATTCGTGAGTATCCTCACGTGCGATCGAAATTTGATCAGTTGAACTTAAATGATACGTATGTACATTTATCGCGGAGAAGACAAACTGAATAGAAAGCGAAGAGATGTAAAAAAAAAAAGGGAGTTCAACTTGAAGAGATTCATACTTTGAGCTGATCTTGAATGTGTTCTTGAGGAACGATTCGATCGGGTAAAATCATATAATATACTCGTGTAATTATTGACATGTCCAATCCAAATCTTACTTCGGTCGACATGGAAGAAGCTAAATACGACGAAAGTAACCATTCTGTCGCATTGGAATATTCTTCGATGTCTTACCTTTACCAGATATTTTCATCTTCTGCAATGCTAAACTAATCAATGTGTCGAATTTATCATGTTCAAGTTGAGCTGTCGAATGCATTCCTCTCAAATCAATAAATGATGGTATGTATCCATCAGGTACTTTTTCTAAATAATTGTTCTGCATATTGCATAAGGTATCTGTCGTTTGCATTATGTTCGAATCAAAACATGTGTTCAAAACCGAACTATGATTGTCAGTTGTAACGATATAAGTGATTGTCGTATAAAATTGTCTACAATAAAGGTATAGAATAATTCGTCAGGTTTTTCGTGAAATTACCTTGATGAATAGGCAAGATATTCTTGTAATTTGATGATAAAAATCTTCACATTAGCCAATCCTAGCTTCGCGGAATTTTGCCAGTAGTCTTGCAGGATTCTCTGTGCTACGGATGGACTGATTTTGCCTGAAAATGTGATATGTTGTATGTCTCGTTGGTTGATCAGATCAACTGGAATTTGGTTTGATATGGTATTCAATGGTTGTTGAATATGACTGAATTGTGCTACAGACAGAGTTACGGCTGATAGATATCTGCCATCGAGTTCGTGATCGTCATGAAAAACGAATGAGTACACCCGACGAACTGATTGCTTCGAAGTGAGATTTCGATAGAGATCTTCATAGAGAATTTCGACATGATTTGCAACGATCGAATCTGAAAAGAAGTAGTTGAATTTCGAAAGATTATCTTCCGATTTGAATTACTTTGTTGATTGTATATGTTGAGAATTCGTCTTTCCAAGTAATCACGGTCATTTTCTGATAGAGGATTGGCGTATACGAATGAATAAGATTTCGACAATCGATAAACACGAGTAGTCAATCGTTGTAATTGATTTTGCACAAAAATTTCGTAGAGTTGATCGTTTAATTCGAATGAACTATCCAACCACGTACCATTCACATCTTGTAGAAATATATTTGCTAAATGATATAGTTGTCTAAAACCGAACAATGAAATCGAGTTAGATCGTTGGAATACATAAAAAGAAAGCAACTTACCCATATTGATCAACAGCATCGTCACTGTCAAACACGGCGACACTTATTGTGTAAATACCTGCTTGTTGTAATGCATTATTCAATCGTTTTTCCAATCTAAATGAATTGATTATTATTCGACATGTCATTCGAAAAGCGACTTACATCGGTACTGTGGAACATGGTACATGAAAGTCACGAATACTATATTCCAATGGGAGTATATATGCGTCTCTTGAACAGAGTAGTTTATCATTTTCTTGTTGAATCGCAGACAAAAGAATGGAATTCATCGATAGATTCGATGTGATTCCATTGATGGTTACTAAGAAATAGGCTACATTGGCCGGTTGACTAAAAGCACACAAATTCTTCAGTACATTATGTACTTTACAAGAAAATGAAATAATTTACCCGGATGTTGTTACACCTTCCCGAACACCTTTCAGCATAATGTTAACATTCAATTGACCAGTGGCGATGGAAATAGATTTTGTAATCGAATTGATATAAGACGAGATCTCATGAAATGGAACACATAGTTTCAATTGTAACAGAAGATCTAATGGTACGTATGGCACACATTGTTGATAGGAACGATAAGGTATCATATTCAAGATATCGTTTAGTGATGAGAACGGCTCGATATTTGAGCCGAGGATTAGCGAAGGGCCACTTGTTATGATAAATTCAATTCGTGTCATCATCGCGCCAGCAATAGTGATGTAATGTGTTACAGTCAGTGGAACAGCGACATAAGGCTCTATTGTAAGAAAAACTTCGATCGAATATTTGTCTGTTTGGAAAAACTTACGTATTGATGCCAGAGACATACGTCGAGTGGAGTAATAAGAGCCGATCGTTTGCATTAGGAATTGAACATTTCGATCCGTCGCTGATGGAAAATGTCCACAGATATCAATTGAATAAGGTTCGGCTGATATTGATGGATTGCTAATTGCCCCACACATGGCAGCATAATGCGCGTTGGTTGGTTGTTGAATTGGTGTATGTAGATCAATGGCGGGAAGAATCGCGTAGTTAAAATTGTAAACAATCACTTCCGATCTAGGAAATAATGTGTCGTTTCGGTATGACTAAAGTTGTTCGAACTTACTGATTATTGAATACAGTTTGTTGTGAGACAAGATCGATCGAACGTGTTTGATTATTGAGCAGAAGATTTGTTGCCGAGATTTTGCATATTGTCGAATAGGTTTCTGATGATGAACTAGAAACCAATCGGTGATTTGCTGACTCATTGAATGAAACATAGAGTGCTTCATGCTCAGCATTAATTCCAAAATGTGCACCGATCGATGGATCAAGATTTACTCGAGTCTTATTATTCGATATCAACCATTGCCATCGTCGAGATTTCGGATCATAGGTTCCGCTCGTCCAAAAATCTGAAATAATAATGTGCCGTCAAAACTGATGCGTTTATGAGTAGATGGAGAAACCAACCTCGTGTTAATCCATGAGAAGCTAAAGCTGGCACCAAGTGTTCTTCTAATTCGTCAATTGATTGAAACCAGACAAGTTGTGTTCTCTGCTGCTCGCATTCTTGAATTGCTTGCTGTTGAGTTTTGAGAAAGTTTTGTTGATTTATTCGATAACAGTATGGATAAAGTAATGTTGGAGTAACAAGAGCAAACGATGATGGACACACTAGAAAAATAAAGTTTTTGTCATCAATTTATTTCTCAGATAGAATTGTTCACCTAATAAAACATTGAGATTGTTCCACACTTGATCAATACATTTGTAAACACTTTCCCATGATGCTCCTAAAGACTTATTGTGTGATTACCGTGTGAAAAAGAACTACTTCTTACCTTGAAGACGATTGGTAGGAATCATAATTTGTCCTGAATAAGTTCGATCAGTAGGTATAACAGGTATTTGACAGAGAGGGCCAGTAAATGTTGGCGGACATTGACACGAACAATGACACTGAGTTACATTGATTACTTGAATACCATTATTTTGACAGGTCGTTAACGAGCAGATATCTAACGGAGTCTCACAACGTGATCCTTAAAGAGACGCCAATAAAAATAGATAAGACAGTTTTAGTGCGGAGATAAAGTTGATATTACCGGTGAATCCACATGGACATTGACATTGAAGAACATTGCTTTGAACAGAACAAATACCGTTATTGAAACAACTATTTTTAAGGCAATGCGGCTCGCCACAATCAGTTCCTACAGAAGAGAACAGTCGATAGTGATGCTGATTAATTTCATAAATGATATATGAAATTACCAGAATATCCTGCGGGACAAGCACAAACAAAGAGACCTTTCCCAAGATTCGTGCAGACTCCATCATTCATACCTATAATAGGAAATTTAACTACTATCGAAATGCTTAGTTATCAATCACTACTTACAAGGATTTGTATCGCAAACGTCCAGTGATGTGTCACATGTCGTACCTAAACTCATAAGAAATATGAACTTGAAGAATGAGAACATTTCCTTACCAGTATATCCAGGATGGCATATGCATTGAAATGTTGTTTCATTTTTATTTTGACATGTACCTCGTCGGCATGGATTGGATCCACAAGCAGAGACAAATTCGCAACTAAACAACTTATTTTGTCCCTGTGGTTATCATCTTCTCGAACTTACTAGATTCCATAACGTCCGGCAGGACATAAACACATTTCTTCGCCTGTTTTTTGATTAACCACACAAGTGGCATTTCCATGGCAGGAATCCTTTGAACACGATGTTCGTCGTTCCGTACATTTCAAACCCATATAACCTGGTGGACATACACATGTATAATTTGTCAATGATAATGTTAAACACGTCGAATTATTCAAACATGGATTTGAATCACATGGAAGCAATGGTGTGTCACAATGTACACCTGTGATGCCATCTGAGCATTTACATTGATACTCGTTATTCGGAAGATCTACACAAGTGCCTGTTCGGCATGGATTTAATGAACAACGCCGTAGTGGAGTTTCACAATGTAAACCTAGAAGAATTTCATAGGAAATGGGTATTTGTCTATCTCGTGTACGAACCAGTGTAGAAGGCTGGACAGTGACATTGCCAATACGGATAGGTTTCGTTGTGCATGCAAGTTCCACCATTTATACACGGCACTGATCGGCATGGTTCGAACTGTTCGCAGTTTTGACCGTAAAAGCCTGCTTTACAGAAACATGAATAAGAACCATGTGTATTCAAACAACGTCCGCCATTGCTACAGATTCCTGATATTGTTCGACATTCGTTGATATCAGTACAGCTAAAGTCAAAAATAAAACTTCAGTTTCAATTTTTTTTCACACATCAGGATGGATACATACACTCCCATAAGAAACTGAAATCCCGGTTGACAGTCACACGTATACGAGTAGCTTCCATTTGCAATACAATTTCCATTTGCACAAGGATTCTTTTCGCAAACATTGATTTCACAAAACTTGCCATAATACGATTCTGGACATTGACATTCACAAGTAATCGGTGATGCTTTAATTGCTCGACCTTTTCCACACGAATGATTCAAACATGGATCTACTTCAATTTCACAATTTTCGCCCTGATAGCCGATCGGACACGAACATGAGTAGCTCGATGCACTTGTTTGCAAACACGAACCACCGTTTCGACAAGGATCACCGAAGCATAGATCAATCGGTATCGAACAAGTCGAGCCTTGAAAACCATCAGCACAAACACATGTAAAGTTTTGATGCATGGGTGTCGACATGCATTGAGATGATGGTCCACGACATGGATAACTTAAACAAGGATCGGACATGAATTCACAATTGCTTCCATAAAACGGCCATGGACATTGACAAATATAGTAAAACGGTGCTGGTTCAGAACATCGGCCGCCATTTTGACACGGTTGGCTGTGGCAAACTTCAATACTCAATTCACAATTCTTTCCTGTAAATCCGTTTGGACATAGACAAGTGTATGTCGACACATCAGTGGTTATACATGTTCCTAAATTATGGCATGGCTGAGATGCACACGGTGCATATGGATATTGACATTGAACACCTGTAAACAGTGATGGACATTGGCACACAGCCGATGGTGGATTCGTCGGTAGGTTAACACATGTGCCATTATTTAGACAAATCAGTGATGTACATTGATTGATTAATACTTCACAATGAATTCCGGCATAACCTGATTGACAAACACACTGATAAGTGTTCAAACCTTGCACACAGACACCATTATTTGAACAAGGATTAGAACTACATGTGTTGATTAATTCCGAGCAATTTCTTCCTTGAGCACCCGGCGAACATTGACAATGGTAACCGTCCAGAGCATCTAATATACATTGTCCATATAAGCATGGTGATGGTGAGCATAAATCAACAGATATATCACATTGTTTTCCGGTATAACCTTGATAACAATCGCACACATAATCGTCAAGTGTATCAATTGTTCGACATTGTCCATATAGGCAAGGACACGAACCGCAAGCACCATTAGATAATTGAGTATCACAACGAAGTCCACTATAGCCAGATGGACACGTGCAGTTGGCTACACCTGGACTAAGATAATGGCATTGACCACGTTTACAGTATGATTCATTCAAACATGGATTGATGGGAGTATCACATCGATTGCCTGTATAACCATTTGAACAAATGCATGAACAACTTGTTGAACTCGTTACTAATGGTATACCATATTTGCATGTGGTCGATGAGCAGTTACTGATAGGTATCTGACAAATTATTCCTGTATGAGTTGGTGGACACAGGCAACGGAATGATGTTAATTGCGATATACACGTTCCGTGATTTTGACATGGATTCGATGAGCACCAGTTCATTTCCACTTCACACCGAAGTCCAGCATAGCCTTTTTCGCATAAGCATTGATAACTAAGTCCATTGTTGGTATTACGACAAAAGCCGTTGTTCAAACAAGGATTGGATATACATGGCTGAATCTCGTTGGTACAATTAATTCCATTATAGCCAGGTTGACATAAACATTGATAGCCATTTAACGTGTCTAGACAAACACCATTATTTTGACAGGGCATTCCTAAGCAAAATGAATCTCGAAGTTGACAAAATTCCCCATGAAAAGACATTGGACATGAACAATTGTGTAGACCAGGTGCAACATCATGGCAAGTACCACCGTTCAAGCATGGAGATGATTGACATGATTGAACACGGATGACACATGTTCGACCTTGAAATCCGTACGGGCATTGACAAGCAAACGAAGTTGCTTGATTAATACATGTGCCATTATTAAAACACGGTTTCGGTAAACAATAATCAACAATTGAATCACATCGTTGTCCGGTATAGCCAGGAAAGCAATTGCATTGATAAGAATTAAGTAATGGTATGCATGTGCCATTCAAACATGGCGCACTTAGACATGTATTGATTTGATTTTGACACGATGAACCGGTGTAACCTGGCAAACACGAGCAAATGCCTGTTGTTGAACTTGTTCGAATGCATGTGCCGTTGTTTAGACAATAAATTGATAAGCATGGATCAATAATTGCTTCACAATGCGAGCCTGTATAGTCTTTCAATGACAAAAAAAATAAAAATCTCATTAGTCATTATCAAATTCGTCGTTTTCTCTTACCTGTCGCACAAAGACACTGATATTCATTCAATTTCGATTGCAAACATATACCATTATTTTGGCATGGCATTGATTCACATTCATTTATATCTTTTTCGCAACGATTACCTGTCAGACCCGGTGGACATAAACATTGATAGTTATTTCCATTAATCATACATGTACCATTGTTCAGACAAGGACCGGAATGACATTGATAACCACCGTACTGGCATTGATTGCCTGAATATCCATTGGCACATGTGCAATTGAATGTACTGATCGTTGATTTACTACAAATTCCGTTGTTTAAACACGGTAGACTATCGCACGGATTGATTTCAATTTCACAATCGAAACCGGTATAACCTGGTGAACATGTACAATAATAGAATCCATTTGGCATTGTATGGCATGCTCCGTGAACACATGGATTACGATGGCAAGCATTGATCTGCAGTTCACACTTTTGTCCGGTATAACCTGACAAGCAAGCACATTGAAAATTGTCATCGAGTGCCAGTGAACATGTGCTGTTATTGCTGAAAAAGTGAAGAAGAATTAGGTATTTGTTCGAGAAAAAGAAGTTCGTCTACTAACAAACAAGGATTTGTTACACATGGTCTTGATAGAATTTCTTCGCAGTTCTTTCCATGAAATTCAGGTGTACAATGACATTGGTAGGAATTAATCAGTGGTTGACATGTGCCGTTATTTCGACATGGTAATTGTTCACAATGATTGATTTCGTGCTACGAGAAGAACAATAATATAAATCAGTTGTCAAAAAGAAATCCAATTGCACTTACATCACATAGAACTCCATCATAACCATCATAGCATTGGCAGAAGAATCCATTGATGTTATCCAAACATCTTCCGTGTTTACAAGGTTGGGACGAGCAATCATCGACGTTTACTTCACACATCTGTCCAGCAAAGCCAGGCGAACATTCACAGGTGTATCCAAATGGTTTGACGTCGAGATTTGTCACACAGGTACCCCGATTAGCACAATTGGAATGATTTAAGCATGGATCCATACGTTCAGAACAGGTCAAACCAGCATACCAAGGCGGACAAATACACATGAAATTATCTAGACCATCAATGCAAGTTCCACCGTTCATACAATGATTTGATGAACATTTGTTGACTTGTATTTCACAATGAACACCTGTGTACGATGACGAGGGACAGATACAATCGTAACCGTTCAACTAAATTAAATTACAGAATACAATTGTTAGAGATTGCCTCATTATCGTTTACCTTGTTAACACACAATCCTTTAAGACATGGTGAACTATCGCATAAATTCTTTTGCAATTGACAATTCGATCCAGTGAAACCATCTTGACATTGGCATGTATAGTTCCATACCGCATCAATACACGTACCATTATTTAAACATGGATTCGATAGACATTCGTTGGATGTTTTCTCGCAATTGACACCCGTATAATCATCCAAGCAGACGCAACGATAAGCATCAATCAATGGAATACATAAACCGTTATTCATGCACGGATTGCTTGAACAATAATTGATCATTGATGAACAAGTCGATCCCTGTAGAAGAAATACTCATAATCATGATTGATATGCAGGTGAAAATCTTACTGTATATCCTTGCGGACAGTCACATTTGAAATTGTTAATTAACGTGCGACAAATTCCACCATTTAAACATGGACTCGATTGGCATTGATCTATTTGACTTTCACAGTAGTGACCAGTGAAGCCTACGGGAAATTCTTGTTATTAACAAGCGAAAGAAAGCATCCTCTTCTCCCTACCTGGATTACATATACATGAAAAGTTGTTGAATCCGTCAATACATCGTCCAGAATTCAAACATGGATTGACGGGTTCACATTCGTTTCGTTCATTCTCACATTGAATTCCTAAACAATCAAAAATTTGTATCTCTGGCAACTTAAAAAGCTCATTTTCTCATTCTATTACCAGTAAAACCATTCGGACACAAACAGACATATTTATCGATTAATGACCGGCAAGTTCCATGATTTTTGCACGGTTTCGCTTCACATTGATCTATAATTGTCTCGCAAAACGATCCGGTGATACCATTTGGACAGGTGCATTGCGGCCCTGATTCCGTATTCGAACACATTCCGCCATTAACACACTAAACCGCATTTGAAAGAGAAAAAGGACAAAGACTGCAGGCTAGAGAAGAAAATTTTGTCTTACCGGTTGTGATTGACAATAATCAACGATTAGTTCGCAGTTTTCTCCATGAAATCCTCTCGAACAGACGCATGTCAAATTCGTGCCATTGTTTACACATTGTCCACCATTTAAACATTGAATTCCTACGCATTTGTCTTGTAACTTTTCACAATTAGCACCTGTGTATACCAATGGGCAAATACATTGATAACTATTCTGGAAATCAATGCATACTCCACCATGTAAGCACTAGAACAACGAACAATAGATGGTGATTAACAAAAGGAAGATGAAAAAAAAACCTTACTGGATCAGATAGACATTCGTTAATATTGATTTCACAATGTCGTCCAGAATATCCAGGTTTACACACACAATGAAACGAGGAGACACCTGTTGCCACACAACGTTCAACACCTTCGATCGAACATGGATTGGTTAAACAAATATCAATTAATTGATCACATCCTGGGCCTGTATATCCTGGTGCACAGCAACAGCTAAATCTCGATGATAAACTTGTACAATTCCCATGTGATCCGCAAGGTTTCGATGTACATTGATCGACCGGTACTGCACACGTCTCACCCGTATATCCTGTATTGCATTGACATGTATACGACGAAAGAGACGGTATACAACTTCCATGCAAACATGGAAAGCTTAAACAGGGATTAATCACCTGTTCACACTGTTTGCCAGTATAAAATGGTGGACAAATACAATGAAAATTCTCATTGTCATCGAAGGAATCTCGACATATGCCACCGTTCATGCAAGGCAAACTATTGCATTGACTAATTCTTGTTTGACATCGTAAATCAGTATAACCAGATGAACATAAGCATACGAAACTATTCACTTGATCGATACAGGTACCATTATTGTAACAAGGTGCCGCTTGACAATCATCAATATTCACTTCACAGAAAACACCAGTAAAACCAGCTTGACAATGGCACGTTGGTAAACTACCATAGTTATTAACACAAACACCGTTGTTCAAACAAGGGTATGTTTCGCATTGATCAATAGCTACCAAACAACTTTCACCCGTTAACCAAGGCGGACACAAGCATTGATATGAACCAGGTTGATCAATACAAGTCGCATTTGGATGGCATGACAATGGGTACGCACACTCATTGATATTCACTTCGCAAAGATTTCCTGTCCAACCATATGGACATAGACACGTGTACGATTCAACTTGATTGATACACGTACCTGAAAGAATAATCATCGATTCCTTATAGAAATTCTCTTCGTATTGATAGTAAATACTTACCATTATTCTGACACGGCATACTTGAACATAGATCAATTTCTGTTTGACAATGATCACCAATAAAACCTGTTAAGCAATCACAATGATATTTATTTACACCATCAATACATCGACCGGCATGTAAACACGGATGCGATAAACATTCATCGATATTCTCTCGACATTCAACACCAGTCCAACCTGGTTCACAAGTACAAGATTTCGTTAATGGTGTCAACACTTGACATTTGCCATGTAAACATGGACTATTCATACACGGATTCAATTCAATTTCACAATGACGCCCTGAACAACAAAAATGAATTTTCTTCTTCATTCTGAAAGCAGAGCAAAAGAAAGCAACTTCATCTGTTTATCTTACCAATAAATCCGACTCGACATGTACAATTGAAATCAAACGAATTTCCATTTGTTATCACCGATGAGCACGAGATAGAGTTCGACGCTATGCATGGATTGCTCAAACATGGATCAATGGGAATACTGCAATCCGCACCTTGGTAATCTTCAGTACATTGACAATAATAACTACCGATTGTGTTGATGCATGAGCCGCCGTTTTTACAAGGTTCTTTTTCTAGTAAACATTCATTGATATCTTCGAGACACTGCGGAGGATTAGCGAAGCCTGTCGGACAATGAATTCTCGTGTTATTCGAACAAGTCAATGGATTTGAACACGAACTAATTCGAGTTGAACATGTTAGTCCAGTAAAGTCTGGTAAACATGTACAAATAAAACCTGTCGCTATACTCGCACAAATACCGCCGTTTTCACAAGGTTGTGACAGACAATAATTGATTTTAATATGACAAAATTGTCCCGTATAACCGGGATAACAAATACAACTGAACGAACTGGTATTTGTCAATAGTTGACAAATGCCATTTTGACATGGTGAATATTGACACGGATTTTGATTAATTTCACATAATGAACCTGTATAAACAGGACTTGAACATAAACATTTATATCCCGTAGACGTCGACAAACATAAAGCATTGTTTTCACAAGGATTATTCGAACATGGATCAATAGATATTTCACATAGACGTCCTTTGATATTGTCACATTTAGTCATTATATTCAATAATGGACATGCTTTCTTACCTGAATAACCGACGGGACAGCAACACGAACCATTAAAACACGATCCACCATTTAAACATCCATTGGAATTAGGACACTCCGTATCAAAGATTGGAGCAATTAATTTTTGTGTACAGATGTTGATCGGACCCCAGCCATACGAGCAGACTTTTTCACCAGCTGCATTGCAATCGAAATGTCCTTGAGAGCATGAATTAGGCGCCGAACAGTGAACGGTGCAATTCGGACCGTAGAATGTCGACGGACATTGCTGTCGATCTTGACAATATAGACCCGTATAACTAAAACAAACATCATTTTAAGGAATGAAAATCATCTTTTGACCTCCTCTTCTCCTACCCCGCTGGGCAATTGCAAACGAAATAATAACTACGAGATGCTGGATCATACGATGACTGGCACGAACCACCATTTAAACATGTAATATCAGGTTTACATGTTGAAAGGTATTGACAGTTCGTACCTGTGAAACCTACAAGATTTTCTTTACACATCAGATAGGAAAAAAAACAATCGAATAACAAACCAAAAGGACAACAGCAAGTTGTTGACTGATCATGTCGACAGAACCCACCGTTTTGACAAATTAAACCTTCAAAAGAACATGTTGAAACTCGATCGCATTGAATGATCGCAATGTTACCTGATGACGATGAACATGTCATCGATGTATTTCGTATTGAACATTCACTTCCATACCAACCAGATGAACAGATTTTGTTGCCTGTAATCGGGTGACATGTGTACGAACTTGTGCAATCGTCATTTGGAATACATTGAACGGAACATTGTTTACCATAGAATGTCGCTCGACAATAACTTTTCAATCCGAGAATGATTCTGATAAAGGAAAACAAATAAAACAATCTAATCCGTCATTAGAATGGCTGAATCACATACTGATTGATATTTGAGATGTTCTTCGACATATCAATTAATGTCAATTGTTGAAAGAGTCCATCCGATATATCAATACGAAATGTCGTATGAAATTGATTGAGTAACATACTTATATTATTATAAAAAACGAAGATTTTCACTTCGATCGAATTCTATCCGAGAGACAAAGAAAACGGCAAAGTTCCGAGAAATGAAATACGACTCAAGAACATACGTCATTGATGGACGGTAGATCGAATTGTAATGGGAAAAAATTGGTTGCATTAGTCGGCGAGTAATAATTCAATAATCTCGTGCTATTCGCTTTGATTTCGAAAGATTTCTTTCCCAATGGACACGAAGTCCAGTTCGATTGTAATTCACTAAAGATTTCAATAAAAATACCTTTTGGCGATGTAGACGTTTATATTTGCTTTTGAAATTTCTCATTTTTTTGTCTCGAGGGTTCTATTCCTCTCTCCTTTCGTTTGCATGAGCAATCTAAACTGATACCAGGACATCGAGTGTTATGCCAGACAAGTGGCATCACCTTTTATCGCTCATACACACATATGTATAAGCAAATAACAGAACACAAAAATCAATTATATATATTGAGAATTTCTCGCATTCAATGACTATACCTATTGACAAAATCCAAACAAACAATTGTATATAAATTACAGGATATCGACATTGGACAGAAATTTGCAAAAGGAAATGAACCATCACAACATTGACCATTGGTAGTGATACCTGTTGGATTGTGAAATTGAAGTAGATCAACAAGTAAAATCGATGATGATTCTTGACATTCAATCTAGTTTTTATAAGAAGAAGAAAAAAAAGAAGAGGCAATTGTGAATTTTTTCACTCAATTTAAATCAGTTGAGCATGCACGGGGGAGAATTTTCCTTTTCTCGCGTCTTGATCGTTCAAATAAGCTTTCATTTTCTTATCTTATCCGGACAAGTACCGGTATATACACTTCATCATCATCGATGAACTAACGATGCACAGACGCATAAGTACTTAGGTCGAGAGACACCAAATGCTCAACTTTGACTTTTTGTGACAAGTTGAAAGAGAACAAGAAAAGATTTATGATTTCACTTGAAGATTAATGCAAATAGGGAGACGTGGACATGTTCAAAACTTTACCTGTTGATTATTGAATAATAATAATAATAATAAAACGATTAAAAACATATTCTTCCCCATGTGAACCAGTCTGAAATAAAAGAAAAAAATGTGTCAAATTCTCATATATGTTGTCAAACATCGCAAAATACACAAGATGATAATGTTTGTCGTCGTATTCATTCCTTGAAAAGAAGAGAAAAAGAGAGAAAACGAATATTGATTCTTCCTCCTACATGTTCATGCTCACATACTCGACCTATATAATTATTAGATATTAAGAACTGAATGAATAGGTGAGACAGAGAAAATCGTACAAGTTTGTCACGTCGCTCTATGTTAGTTGTGTAGTAATCTGTTAGACCAACGTTAAAAAAATGTAGAACTACAGCAATAGTAGTAACAATGACGAAAGAGAAAAAAAAAGAACGCCTTCTCACCCTTTAGTTATCCTATAGAGTTGTATATGTCAGGAGGCGGTGACAAGGGTATATAGTTCGATCAATGAATGGATGGTAAATTGAGAGAGAGAGCGAGGAAAAGAGAGGAACTAAAAGATGCTATCACGTCAAGAAGTTGGATTTTGATTGTAAATGAACGATTTTTCTCTCCTTCTCTCTCTCTCTCTCTCTTCTTATTTATCTGAGAGAATTCTTTCTCCCTGTCTGAAGAGACGAATTTGTTTGTGTTACTTCTCTTGCACCGTATTGAACTTTTTCTTCTCTCTGTATTCATCTATTGCAGTGACACGCATGCACGATATTTTGTTCGATTCTGTAATGTCCCATACAGTGGCACTCAACGCCCACACGTATATTCATATACCGAGTAAATCGTCGAATGTCTGTATCAAAAAGAGAAGGAGAGAAAAGTCTGAATGGAGACATATGCCACACCTCGTTTTCAGTTCTTGTTATGCTCAATTGTTTACTGCCTATAGCTATTTGCATGCGTCATTCATTGTTTCATTGTTTCATTGTCGCCGACATCAGTCTATATGAAGATCAACAATATCTGACTGTAAAAACGGCAAATCAATTCAGACAAGTCCATTAATAGAATTGACTTCAAATTAGTCAATAGTGTTACGTGAGAATGAGACATTTACATTTGCAGAGCAATAAAACGAAACGAAATGTAGAGTTTGATTGATTTACATATGTGAAAAACACAATTAAAGATGAGAAAGATGTATTTGTCCAGGTACACGTTTCATGATGGTCTGTTGAGTCACATCATTTGCACTCCGATTACAGTTCAACTTGACAAGTATTGTATTGACTATCCTATTCAGTTGATCGAAAACGGATTATATAACTTGTGCTTCTTATCATCGAGAAAACGACGCCAATGATTGTTACTTTACATGGAGAGACACAATCGATTCGTTCGAGATGATTATCTCATTATTTATTGCCAATTCTGTCTTCATACTTTGCATGGAAGATTTGTTTTTATGATCTTAGTGAAATCTGAAACGTATATTTGATGATATTATGCCGTGTTCAATCGCTATTACATGCGATCTTTTTTTTATAGGCTATTTAGTCTTTTGGCACCTCATTCTCATGCATTGATTGTTCAATAGCGATTTCTATTAAAGAAAGAGAAGGATGCTTCATTTGTTAGTGCAACATTTCGACAACGAAATCATTCACATTGATAAATGTGCTTTTTCTTCTTCTTTGAGATCTTAATTTAATGCAAGCTATTTGATGTTGTTGTTCGCCTTGTTCGTTCTCTGTTGAAAGTCTTCAGGTCATATGGGTTCATTCTTCTTTGCATGTATACGATCAACAGTGTTCACGATTTGATTCTAGTCTGAATAAATACAGATCGACGATTGAAAGACACATATTTTACCTGCAAACAAAACAATTCCATATTTAATTATCGAGAGATAGCCAATTGTGTATATACGGATGCCTTACTGTACTGTAGGTAGGATGAAAGATCAGAGTGATTTTTATTCTTTCAAGACGAAATTCTTGTTTATCTACCGCGTACCTTTGCATTGAAAGAAGTTGATTGAATGTGATTTGTCGTGAAAAAATTTTCTTCTAATTTAGTATCTTTTTTTTGCAATATTAATGTCTGAATTCAAAACAAAGTTTATTATCCTTTTGGATGAAACATTAAACCAGTTCTGATTCCACGTTCGAGCGATAGAACAGTCCTATCACGAGCAACACACCCTATTCGCCCTCAGTGCATCAGTAAGATATCATGCGCCTTCGCTACCAATATAATTATTGGATAAATCAAGTGCCTTGAGTGCCTAAAATGATGCCCGAGATGAACGCATTGCGACTTTGAAGAACGAACAGTAAAATTACCGAGTTTATATGCAACGCCTCACCAAATATTGTGCTCCTCTGTATGGAATATAATATTGAGATTCTAAAATATTTTGTTTGCGGTAGAAATTAGGCGCTTATGAGTGTGATGAGTTCCGATCATGAAGATATTTTGAACTGTGCGTCGAGAACTGAAAATGCGATCTGTTGTATGGGAAGGAGAGGATTGTTAGGAATGATATTCAGTTAACCTAGGTATTTCCAAGTAGGGCAAAGCGAAATGGTAGTGTTCGACGTTTATACAGGAGAATAATGAATAGACTATCATCAGCTGAAGTTCATATGTGTTTTTAACATAATTTAGTCAGAGCACAGGAGAAATATCGACCTTCAACTGTACGCGTACGTCGTTTTATTACCAAGATGTTCAAAATTATCAAAGATAGAGTCTCCATCAGCGAATATACAATTTCCTTGGCATTTGATAATCAACTTCATAATCAATATGCCATTAGCATTCGTTTCAATCAGGTACATATGTCGACTGAGAATCAGAAAAAAACGACTGGAATTTTAAAAGAAATTTTGTGAAAAAACCGTCTTCACTGGATCATTACGTACGTGTTTGTCAAAACATCGTTAAAGAACATCAAATGGCTCTATATCTGGCATAAATTCTTACTATGCATGTCCTCTTCCTTTGGCGACTCGAGTCTCTCAAAAGCAGATTTCACTAATGTGCGTGCAGAAGTTCAGCAGTTTTTAGTTTGTAGAAACTTGCTCGTCAACATGATTAATACTATATGAGAAATCACTGTATATTTAATTAGTCGTTGACATTCATGGCACGACTATGACAGAAAAGGTTTACATTTACGCACTCAAAGATTTCCTTTTGATTGATATATACAGAGTCCATAGTTAGACAAAAAATCACGACGATATTTTCCGTTCTTGTTGACAGGGAAGAGATGACTTCTTGAATGTGTTGTGTACACATATCAGCTTTATTATTCGTACTAATCGATTACATCTGCTTTTCTTTGTTGATCTAACAAATAAAGATGGCATTAATCAGTTTTTCTCCAACAAGTTCTATTTATTGGGCAGATCTATTCGATAGCTTTGTGTTTATTTCCAAACAAGATCAATCATAGTTTCCTGACCAATTTCGCGCTGGTTGCTCATTCTATGCTAATGTGAATGTCTTTTTCCAAATCTTTCATTGATCACACGGTTATTTGACCGAAAATGGGTTGTTGCGAAAGTTTACCTACAGTTGCATCCCTAACCAAATTCAGACGACGAACGACGTCACTCACACATGCTGACATAACACAACTTCAAATCATATTTGCCGGTATACCCGAACATAGTCGGCAAGTCATTCTTAATCTTCCGGCACGTCAATTATTAAACCTCTATCAATATCACATGATGGCTCTATATCATGGTCTGCAAAAAGAATGGCAACTCGCTATCTATTGTGAACAACGAGTTATTAAAGGCCTCCAAGCGTTATTGCCTACAGACAAAGATCACTATATCTTCTTTAATTTCTATAGCGTCTTATCTGCTTCATTCTTGGCACTTGGTGCACTTCAGAAAGCGATCGAAGTACTTCATATTGCTTTAGCTATACTATTAAAACACACACCTACGGATTACAAGACAATAAGCGTCCATTATTACCATTTAGCTAATGCGTACAAAGCTCTACATAATTCGAGAGCGTCAGCACAGTATTTAACCAAAGCGGTTGAAGCAGCACGATTAAGGAGTGATTCGTCTCGAACATATGCTGCTGTTCTCGAAACTGATCTTTGACGGAATTGACTGCAATATTGTCTTTCCGATTGTAGATAGAAATCATTGATTTGGTTCATTTTTTTCACTAATAATGAAATTTGGCAAAAACTAAAGATGACACTTAACAAGTAGAATTGGTTTCGATCAATTCCACTTTCGAATATTCAAATACGATCTGTTTAGTCTTTCATTGACTATGCATATTCTTCATTCTTCTTCAATCAAAAGTACACAAATTGCTAAGATCGAACATTCATGAAATCCCTTTTAAAAATCTTTCTTCAAGTATGGTATGGTTATTCCAAATGTATACTCTAAAGTTAATCAGGGATGATAATGCCTAGTCGTTCGTCGGCCTCCTCCAGTCAGTCGCTCACGGCTGGGCGTTGTCTCTATAGTTAACGAGATACAAATACACTGACGAGTATACCTTTTGCAGACCTATTTGCCGTAAAATTCTATCGAAAGGTATCACGTGTCGTAGCTCATAAGACAGCTATGATATTAAATAGATACTATTTTCTTTCTGATTTCTTGAATCGCAAATGCGATAATGTAAAATATGCTAAATCTTTTGATGTAAGGGCCTAAGCCACTATCTTCGGACACATCATATCCAGAAATAGCGTTTCATCCACTACCTTTTATACAAGATTTTAGAAAAGATATAGAAAAATATCTGTTTTAGAAAAAGAAAGGAAGAAGACGGCTCTGAGTGACCAAGGACAAACTAACAACGAATTCGAGTTCTACGATCTCGATAACCTTACTAGTACTCAGTCTGTGGCTGCTGTCGGTAAATTTCATTGATCTATGAAATGCTGATTTCTGATTGAATAGGACAGACAGACACAGACAAACCTTAAACTTTTTGAGCTCACGATTTAACCGTTGTATAACTCTTTCTTTCAGAAAAGGGAATAAAATTGATATCAGAAGTCTAGCTCCACCTTTTGGCTTTAGAGAAGTACATCAATATCATACTTAGACAGTATCGACAAGCTCAAATATAAAATGAGATTCATAATAATTACAACGCGAAACATTGCTTATAATAGTAAAAAAATAATAAAAAGATTTCTAGATTACACCTTAATTAAAATGGATCCTGATTTAAATAAATTATTAATTATATAGAGAGAAGAATCTATTGCTTATTCTCGCGGATTTGGATGAAATTGTAAGGGAGAGATTCTTTCTTCACACATTCACACCGTCGCCTTCAAGTATTCAATCTTTAATTTTAATTAATCAAGCTCTATTATCTTACATCCGTTCTCAACATAACCCCAATTTAGTATTATAGCGAAGTTTTGTTTTTCCTTTTGTATCGCTTGAATAAATCAGAATGATTCATTAATGTAAAGCCATGTGTCGAATTCTTATTCTTTTTCGTTTATTTTATCTTAGAAAAAGAAACAACAACTATGTGTGGATAAAAGCAAAACCTATATTGAATAAAGGTAGAGTTGATGATTGAAGAAATGAATAGATTTGATAATAACACAAAGCAGATAACGTATTTTTTACCGTATCGGAATTTTTCTTTTATTCAGCGTACGCAAACTGAAAAAAAAACATATGGTCAATTCATTTTTGAACCGGATGAATTTCAAAGCGCATCCCAAATCAAGTGAGCGATGACGCTCAAGAAGTGACAACTAGTTATGTCAGATTTTTAATGATAGATCGTATTTTTTACGTTCAACATGAGAACGCCCAAAAATACAAAGGTAACCAAAGCAAATGCCGATCGATGTGAAATGCTATTGAATGATAGTGAAGATCTTCAAATACAAGACGACGACAATGACAATGATTTGAACTTTGCATCGTCTCATGCTCAAGCTTATGAAATACTGGATGATGCAATTCGTGTTCTAGATCACATGCTTTCACAACAGAAATCGAATTAATTTCATTGATCATCATTTACTCTATCGTTCCAATAGATGCAATTATTACATCAAAATAAATCACAGTCTACATTCTAACTGCTGCCACAAAATTTTTTTTCTGAAACGAGGAGGGGAGTATACACCGTTCTCGTCGCCTTCGAGGGCGGTACATTCTTTGAACGTTTTGTAAAAGAATTGGAAGTTCACTTTTGTGAAAATTTCCAAAAATGATGTGTAGTGAGCAACATTGTTATGGACTTTTCAGCCCTTTGCTAGTACTTTGGAACAAAAAAGTTTTTTAGCAAAAGATGCGCTACAAAACTGCAAAATTTATTCTAGTCTCTCTAAAAGAAATTGCATAAAAGAAGCAAAAACTAAAAGAACAGCACGAAAAACTCGTCAATTTCATGTATTATGTTTGAGCTTTTTGTTTGTGGCATGTGTAATAAATAAAGACAGTATAGAGTTTTGTAGAGCAACTTTCGCTTTATCGGTTAGTATAAAATTGTAATAGCTTCAGTTAAATTTTATTGGTCAAATTTCAAAAAAACAAAAAATACGAAAACGAATCAGCTTTGATAATTAAAAGATAAAAAGAATTTAAAAAGTACTAGAAGACTGTCCAAAAATTCTAAAATCTTGGGTTTCTCCCTAACTTTTCATGCTCTTTTAAACTGGCATGCTCATTCGGAATTCTTTTTTGTCGAAAACCGGTTAGAATAGTGATTTCAAAAAGTCTCTCTTAACAGTTCGATTTGACAGAGACATAGTTCGACTTGTTGAGAGATTTACCAGAATGTAAACAAAAAAGTTCGTGTTTAAACTGACTGAAACTTTCGCTTATTGTGAAACCCATCGATTTCGATTGAGTTGGAGTTTATTTCTGTTCACGTATTCCACAACAGAATGCACATTTGGGAGACCACCGGAGATCTGCAGCGCTCTTAGAAATAAACTGTTAATGCTAATCGGATAAAAACTCACTCAAGAACTGTACGCAAGAATAACTGTAATAAACCGGAAAAAAATGTCATTGAGCAATTTTTGCGTTTTGTTTTTCTGTAGTATAGACTTTTATTAGATTTTGTTCCCTTTTATACTCGACGTTTTTCGATCTTGGGCAGACGTGTCAAAATAGAACTCGGCCTGCACTATCGACTGATCAAAAAGAAAGAAAGAAGTATTGAATTATTTTAGTGCACGGTTCGAAACAAAAATGTGAGACGCGACTTTTCACGTTCAGTGTATTTGAAGCGTGAATGGTGAATATTTATTTGATTTACAAAGAAAAATACGATACACGTCGTATGAGAATGCTAAAGTTTTGTGAAAGTCTCGTGCGGTCTCTACCGCTTTTTATGCAAAAAATCGGGTGAAATAAGTAATACAGCACGAAAGAAAATAAACATTTTTTGCTCAGATTGTGACAAATTTTATTGTCTTGGTTGTTTCAGTGAGAATTGTCATGCCATCAATTATATAGTTCAAACAACACTTAAACAAAGCGGATAATACTTCATACATAAATTCATGGCTAAAACAAAAACAAAGGGGAAAAGTGTCTATTCTCTTCATTTTTTTAAATGGAACGCGTCCCACCGGTAGACCTATCACCGACAAAGGGTTAATACTTTTAAAAAGTCATTGATTTTGATACTACTGTTCGATTCCAAACATATCTGCTAATACCTCTCTGAATAGCCGTCGGAAATCTGTCACGCGATGCTTCGATTCTTTTCTTGTTATACGAATTCAGATTTCATTTCAAACATTCTTTATAATAGTAAGTGAACCAAAATGGAAAAAAAAACAAATGAAACAAAACAATAATCAAAATAGGAAATTAGCAGGTTTGTAAGAAAACTTGTAAACTATCGGTACCATTGTTCGCTACGGCAAAATCCAGCTTTTTATCATTGTTGAAGTCACCAATGACAACAGCAAATGGTTTCGATCCATACTCTAACTGAATTGGCACTGTATTTGTAAATATATGGTCACGATAACCACCAAATAGAACCAGATTGCTGCTACCATAATTCGCAACTATAAGGTCAGAGATGGAATCATTGTCGAAATCACCAGTTCCTATCGATAATGGATAAGAGCCAGACCAATATGTTGTTTGATTTCCAAAAGAGCCATTGCCATAACCAAGGAAAATGCCGATATTATCAGAGGCATAATTAGCTACGACAATATCTAGATAGGTATCGTTATTGAAGTCACCAGCGGCTAGAGCAGATGGAGATGAGTACGAACCGGTGGAATATATCGCTGGACTCCCAAAAGACATATTACAATATCCTAGAAAGATACTTATATCGTTAGTTCCAAAATTGGCTACACCGACATCGGAACAACCATCATTATTAAAATCGTTGACAACCAACGATCGTGGTCGAGAACCATTCCTAGTTGAAAGTGTCATTTGATTTACAAACACTTCATTGGTGCTTCCAATTAATACGCTGACATCATTGCTATCAACGTTACCGACAACTAAATCTACTATATTGTCGTTGTTGAAATCTCCAACAGCTACCGACTGTGGCCAAAAACCAGCTGAATACCTCATGTAATCTCGGAAAGAACCATTACCGTATCCAAGTAGGACACTTACATCATTCCCGTCTCTATCAGCGACGACGATATCAATTTGGCGGTCGTTGTTGAAATCCCCAACAGCTATGGAGACGGGTGTGGGGCCAGTTAAATATTTCAGATGATCTTGAAAAGAGCCATTACCATAGCCCAAAAAAACACTTACAAATCCAAAATCATTGCAGGCAACGATATCTAGCCGCGCGTCGTTATTGCAATCACAAACAGCTACGGATTTTGGTTCAGTGTCAGTTAAATATGGCATTGGATCTTGAAATGAGCCATTGCCGTATCCAAGTAGGACAACGACATTTTGGTTACCCCAATTAGCGAGAACGACATCTTGCCTAGTGTCGTTGTTGAAATCGCCTATAGCTATAGATCTTGGCCTAAAACCGTTGCCTAAATCAGAATTAATCATATCTGATGATCTAGAAAAGACTGTCTGTGCCAATTCAGGTTGAAAAGAGCCATTACCATATCCAAGTAAAACACTAATATCGTTGGTCCACATATTAACGACAATAACGTCTAGTTGCATATCATTGTTAAAATCATCAACAGCTATCGAGAATGGCCCACTATTAGTTGAAAATTTCATCTGATCTTGAAAAGAGCCATTGCCATATCCAAGTAGAACACTCACATCATCTTCACCATAGTTGGCCACAACAATATCCAGTTGACCGTCGTTGTTGAAATCTCCAACAGCTACAGACAGTGGTTCGTTGCCAGTTGCGTACGTCATCTGATCTTGAAAAGAGACATTACCATATCCAAGTAGAACACTCACATCATTGTTATTGAGGTTGGCCACAACAATATCCAGTCGATGGTCGTTATTGAAATCGCCGATAGCCACAGATATCGGTGAAGTGCCAGATACATATCTTAACTGCTCTTGAAAAGTAGCACTATTGAATGTTACGAGAATATCCACATCATCACTATCATCGTATCCAACAACAATTTCTGATCGCCTGTCATTATTGAAATCACCATCAGCAATGACCGTCGCATACAAAAGAGAGCTGTTTCCGTAGTTTAATTGACGTACAAATGTTCCCTTTCCATTTCCAACCAAAATGTCTACAGATTTCGTAGCATGATCAGACACAGCAATGTCAAGATAATTATCACCCTGAAAATTGGCAATGGCTATCGCGGATGGATGAGAATTTGGTCCAGTGCTAAGTATGAGCTCCTTTCCAAAGCTGCCGTTGCCGTGTCCAAATAGGATACCTATATCGTCGGTACCGTAATTAGCCACAACGATATCCAACTGAGTATCATTATTTATGTCGGTAACTGAGACACATCGTAAACCAGCAGCACCGCCAGATGCGTAGGATACCTCGAGCAGAAGAGCGCCTCTATTATACTGAAGTAGTACACTCACATCATAACTATCTATATTGGGCACAACAAGATCAAGCCGACTATCGTTGTTAAAATCACCAACAGCTACAGACTGTGGAGAAGAGCCAGTCGTATATCTTATCTGATTTTGAAAAGACCCATTACCATATCCAAGTAGGACACTTACGTCATTGCTATCTTGATTAACTGTCACAATATCCAGTCGAGTATCATTATTGAAGTCTCCAATAGCTACAAACACTGGATGGAACCCAGTCGAATATGTGATTGGATTTTGAAAGGAACCATTTCCATACCCGAGCAGGACACTCATATCATTACTACCGAACTTGATGGTAACGATATCTGCTTGATTATCGTTGTTAAAATCGCCAACAGCTACTGACTGCGGCCTATAACCAACTGGATACCTAATTGTTTCAGCTTGTAAAGAACCATTACCATATCCAAGTAGAACACTCACATCATCTTCACCATAGTTGGCCACAACAATATCCAGTTGACCGTCGTTATTGAAATCGCCAACAGCTACAGCCAATGGTCCGTTGCCAGTTTCGTACGTCATCTGATCTTGAAAAGAGCCATTACCATATCCTAGTAGAACACTCACATCATTGCCACCATAGTTGACCACAACAATATCCAGTTGACCGTCCTTATTGAAATCGCCAACAGCTACAGCCCATGGTTCGTCGCCAGTCGCGTACATCATCTGATCTTGAAAAGAGCCATTACCATATCCAAGTAGAACACTTACATCATCGCCACCATAGTTGGCCACAACAATATCCAGTCGGCCGTCCTTATTGAAATCGCCAACAGCTACAGCTAATGGTCCGTTGCCAGTTGCGTACGTCATCTGATCTTGAAAAGAGCCATTACCATATCCAAGTAGAACACTCACATCATTACCACGATAGTTGGCCATAACAATATCCAGTCGACCGTCGTTATTGAAATCGGCACAAGCTATAGAGAGTAACGCAGAGCCAGTCGAATATCTCGTTTGGTTTGAAAAGCCCTCATAAGTACCGAAGAGACTATCTATGGCGCCAGTATCATCGGACACGATAACAAGATCTAAACGATAGTCTTTGTTTAGATCAGCTAAAGCTAATGACACCGATGAAACAGATCCGGTCGAATACATCTTCGAAATAATAAAAGTACCGTTTCTAGTTCCGAGCAGTACAGCTATATTGTTAGCGCCGTCATTAGTGATAACTAAATCCAATAGGTTGTCTTGATTTAAATCCCCAACAGCAATTGAATTTGGAGAAGCGTTCGTAATATTATATGGTAGTTGACTAGTAAATATTCCATTTCCATTACCGAGCAATACGCCTACATTATTGGTTCCATAATTCGCGATGGCAAGATCTAACATGGTATCGTCATTGAAGTGACCAACCACAATCGAATTTGGACTAGATCCAACACCGGTTGAAAATATTCTTTGACTTTCTAAAGTATGATTGTCGCTAAAAAGGAATACACAAATATTGTCTGTACCAGAATTGGCAGTAACGAAATCTAGGTTATTGTCGCTATTAAAATCTCCAACAGCGACTGCGAGTGGTATAGAATCGTAGCCCGTTGTATATACGATCGGGTAGGAGAATGTTCCATCTCGATTTCCGTAAAATAGATATATGCTATTCGTTCCATAGTTTACAGTAAAAATGTCAAGTTGCGTATCTTGATTGAAATCAGCTAAAGTAATCGCGATTGGACGAGATACTCCAGTTGACAGCTCAGCTTGCTTTGTGAAAGCATCGTCGTGGAATCCTTTTAATAAAAGAATATTGTGCGTGCCAAAATTCGCCACAACAATATCTGGTCTATAATCGTTATCAAGATCACCAATAGCGACCATGCATGGAGCAGAACCTATACCAGTTGAAAACGTGCGTGGATCTGCAAATAAACCTTGATGGTTTCCAAGATAGATAGCTATATTGTTAACGATTCGATTGGCAACAACCATATCGAACCAAGTGTCATTATTTAAATCTGCCAATGCGACAAAACGTGGTCCATATTTATATTGAATAGGATTCGGTGTTGTTTGTTGGAAGTTGAGCACACATTTTTTTACTAAACCGCATAAGAATAATTAGATATAGACTTTTAAGCTATTCAAATTCAATTGTCTCAGTTGTAGTTTATTAGACTGACATAAATCGAACAATACAGTTCATTAAAAGTAGTTCGATAATTGCATAGATAAACTTACTACAGACAGCTATATAGTATTTGGTTTAACTGAAATACGCAGTCCGATCGATGTAAGGACTAGAACAACATTGACTGGTACTATACTGTAAGATGAAATAAAGACAAATAAAAATTTATGAATGATCTTAAAACTCTGTTCTCCGGTTTTAACGTATAGACGAAAACATTGTACAAACTGCAACACGAGTAATGATTAAGTCCGACCGTAGGATCAGAATTAGTTTCTTGTCTATTTCAACTATGTTCCTCGATGGTATGTCATCAACCAGAAATTGTATACAACTTTGAAAGCTTCTATTTCTAGCGAAGTCAAATGAATGATAGTACTGTTATATCGCCACACTAGCGTCTCGATAGTAATGAGTGCTCAGGATTAGTAATTAGCAGTATCATTCAGAAACAACTTTTATCATGAATATTTCAGAACGACCAATTGGCAACGCAATAATTCTTTATTGCTTCTTTCCGATCAAGAGTAAAGCTACTGTTTTTTTCTGGTTTTATCTGCAATGATCTACAGTCCCTTTGTGTGCAATCATTCCTAGACGAATAAAATCTGCCTCTAGTATATACTTGATTATTGTAATAGTCTGGAAACTTTATTGAACATATATGTATCCTCCTCAAGTATTCGCTTTCTAACCATGACTCATATACTCAGCAAAAGTTCAAACAATTTAGGTTCCAAAGACGGTTAGCACAATTTTCTAAAAGTTTTAGACTATTACATTAATTATACGCTCCATATGAAAGCAAAATATACGGTAGCATTAATGTGATTTAGTTTTTCAATTGACAATTGTCTAACAGGTCGAGAATCAGCGCAATAGATATAACATAGAAAGAACTGCTACGAAATCGTCTTCTCCCTTTCGCTTTCGAATATAGTAAGAATGTTCACTAGATAATAACTATTGCCCAAAATAAGCTACTGTATTATCAAGTCTAAGATAACTAGGCAAAATAAAAAAAAAAGTAGTTATAATTCTGTTCTTATACTATGATGTGCTTCGAACCTATTAAGTCAGACATAAGAACAAACTGAGTTTTCTTTTTTTGCAAATGTGTTATATTTCTAGAAACACTAGTGTATGTGCGATTTTCCGTTTTGTTAGATACGAAAAATGGTATCCAGACAGGGCAATACCTGGTTCTTTGGGGACAGTGTAGCAAACTACCAATATGCCGAGGAGTGCTGCTAGGCCACAGAAGATAAAAGATATAACGGCAGGTCTACTTATTAACTTCAATATCAGGATGAGTCCATTTGTCCTAAAAAGCAGTGATATATAAAGATGATATTTCATATGATCAAAGAATATACGAAGGCTCTGGAGTGGTGAATGTTATTACTGGATCAGTGATATCACTGTGAACGCTCATTTTCTTATTTGTATTGATGATGGCAGAAGTTTTTGTTTCTGGTGAAAAATCAGCAATGGTTTGTGAATTATTGTTTATAACAGCCAGTTCAGTCTATAAACAGACAGAAATCACTAGCAATAGTTTTCAGACAAATATAAATAGTCTATATGTCTACGATTTAAGTGTTCTTGATGCTGTCTGATTACCGACATATAGTTTCGTGTATCGGGAATGCAAAAGTTATTTTAAATTTATTCAAATTTATATTGTTTTATGAACAAAAATAAAGTATAATGTCTAATAAGAAATTAGCTCAGAAATAAAATATATGACCGATCAAATTAAGTCTATTCCATAAAGTTCGATGAGCTTTATCTAGTGAACATTCTCTTTATTGCAAAGACTTGTAGTATACATAAAGAATACAGATCCCAGCGCATTATACACTCAATTCTGTCACTTAATATGTTATTAAAAAGCTTTCCTATGGTGCGAGCTAAATTCACTTAAAAGCACATCTCATTACCATGTTACATGCAAATCTTAATGCAAGACACTATAATGGTCAATCTCAATCTCTGAGTCGGGATTATCGGGACCACGATTTTTTAGTCCCGAGACATCTGGTCCCGATGATCTCTAACTACGGAAGAAGAGTTCACCAATGAAGAAAATATCTCAAGGTATGTCAGTTTGCTATGATAGAGATACCATTGGGGGTTTTCGCTAGAAAAAAGGGAAGATAAGGAGGTTACTTATGCGGATCAACTCATTTCTCATTGAACAACGGCTTAGCGAGGGTCGATCAATCCATGAAAATCTTTATGAATGCTCTTCTGGGAAAGAACATCGGAATCTTTTAGTTGCTTCTCCCAAAAAAATCTATAGGGTGGATTAAATGTGCGATGCCAGAATCTGCAGAGACTTTCTCTCATAATTAAATGTCGAGCTTATGTAGAAAGTATGCATTATTTACAGAATCGCCTTACTTGCTGTTCCTACGTAATTTATTTTTATAGGTACCTTTTATCTAGTATTCGATAGGCTCAAAGACTTTGGCAGATTCTCATGACTAATTCTCCGTCGGAGAGAGAGAGAATTCATATACATGTGTTGTATTGTATTAAATTTCTTTAAAGTTCTTATATATTTGTATTTCAGACTGAAGCACGACCTTGGTTTCCCATTGATACTCACATCGATTTTGAACAGAACAGTGCAGAAAATTTTTAGGATCTGTGCTATCTCAAGGGAGGAGTTTGAGCCACATTGCGTCTCATATGGAGTCCTGCTGCAGAGAAAGTGTGAAATACTTGATTCAACTTTGAAAGTCAGCCCATAAAAGAAGTGTTGAAAGGTAGAAGATATGTTTGCTACTTCGAATTGTTGTCATAAGCTGATGAGATTTATCCTTGTTTACAAAAACGAAAATAGGATATTGTTCCTTGAGAAGAAACTGCAACGCGAAAATCTATCATTTAAGACCGTGCATAACATACAAGCGATGTAGTTGTGTTTACCTTAAAATATTATTTCGCTAGATTCAAAGTCGAAAATGAATGTATAATATATATGTAATACGTGTATATCTAAACGGAGCGATAAATAAACTGAAATTACGAGGAATATAAGTTTTTATTTCTTTCCCACTGCAGTGATCAATCATGCATATACTGATAGTTTTATTGTTAGAGAAATATAAGTAAACGATTAGACGAAAGGTATTTTCTCGTGATGTGTGCAGCGAACTGTGTCTATAAACAACCTATAGAATGGTAGGTGCCGAATATATGTTTCATCAGGGTGGATTACTGTTCTCCTTTCATTTTTTCCGCCCTTATGTACCTATAAACAACCTATGGGCGTTAGGACAGACTGTCGCACGGACAAAATGCTGCAATACATTGTGACTTGATATAGGAAGCAAATTGAATATTCTTTAAATATGCATATTTTTCGCAAAATATTTATAACACAAGGATGTACCTCAAACTGCTATCACCATACACTAAAGTCTTGTCACATATTAATCTTCTCAGTTTTCTGAAACCTTGCAATGTGTGGCTATTATAGGTTTTGTTTTGTTCAACATATTTCACAAAATTCGACCTAAAACTTCTGTGACGTGTGATAGAAACGTTTCAGTTGTATAAAGATTTCGAGTTGCTTCACTGTCTAGTTATCAGGTTTCCTTCGAAATTGGTATTTTTCTACTAATCCGTGTTTCCCATTATCACCCTCTATTGAAAATCAGAGTGAAGCTAGCACGAAGAAACGATGTGTTAACTAAAAAATGTTTTACTAAGTATGTCCCGTCCATGAAAATTACACCATTCGTCTCAGAATTTAATTTTGCATCGAATGGTGGTACTTTTATTCGCGGGGCAAATTTTGGAAAAATTTTGATCTGTATCTTTTTTCCTTTCCTTTAGGTCTATTTATAAACCGAATAGGATTTTCCCAAAGTTTGTCCCGTGAATAAAAGCACCACCATTCGATGCAAAATTAAATTCTGAGACGAATGGTGTAATTTTCATGGACGGGACATACTTAGTAAAAAAGTTTTTAGCTAACACATCGTTTGTTCGTGCTAGCTTCACACTGATACATATTTTCTCCATAATGTTCTGCGATACAAATGCAGTGCATCCTCTTTTGTGTTTTTCTCTTTGTCTGAACAGCACAATCGCTCATCACACAACTGGTAGAGCTACTTTAACAAGTAAAACATTTACTCTTTTCATCTGTGTTAGTTCTTTCTGGTCGTGCGGCGTATTTTGAAAATTAAATCGGTTTTGATATTGGGAGCGACCTTGATCCTCTATGTGTCTATTGAATTAAGGACATTATACGAAAGAAAGCTTTGCAGCAAAGTTTTCTTTGGTTTCCTTTTTCGCAATTTTCTTGTTTTTAAATCTTCGAAAGAAGAACTCAGTGAACATAACCATTAAAGAATACAAAATTATTTTGCTTTGCAAGCTTCTTCAGTCGATATTAGACGAAAATCAACAAAATTGTAATTTCTCGATTTCTGACGCTTTGTTATACAATTATTTCTTGCTATTTTAGTGGCTCAAGATATACTCCACTTTTTCAAAAAAATCCTCGTCTTTTAAACACTGTCATTGGGATACCAGCCTAATCTATGAAACCTATTACACATTTGAGAGGACATTGTGCATGTTTTTTTAAATAGTTCTTGCTAGGGGTAAGATAGAAAGCCGCGCTTTTTATCATTGAAGAACATAAATTAAAACTCATCAAAACATAGAAGACAAAAACTTTTAACTCGGATTTATGGGAAATTTTACGATTATAATGGCTGAACAAACGAGTATTTTCGAAGCAAGCACCATTTGTCCACAGATAAACCGAAAAAACAGGTTATTTGAAGAGATTGCTTGTAACCTGAAGCGAAATTGTCGGATGTAATGCTTAGGGTGCTCGAATCAGTAAAAGTTTATAGCATAATCTTATATAAGATTCCGTAGCTTGTCGACCGATTACTATAGCCTATTCCACTTAGTACGAAGTTTGAGCAATAATTATAAAGCAACATCCTACTCTATTCAAGATGTATATGATTTGCCATTCATATTATATGAAATAAAAGTCAACAAATTTGTATAAATCGATCTAATAGACAAATCTCTTTCTCATAATGATGAAAGCACGACTATCTGGCTTTTTCATACAAAATGTTATTCAAAAAATAGCCACTCGTCTTTTTTTTTTCGAGTCGATATTGTTGGAATAAATGACACATGCGTATGCTTTTTCAACGGATAAGGAAAAATGTACAAGTGATCACATAGAAGTATTGTTCACTTTAAGAGGATGGTTATTTTCTACATAATAAATCTGTTTCACTTTCTTTTCTGCGCAAGATCCGTGCTGTCAGACAGCGCAAACTATCACTAAATACTTTCTAACGTTTTAAATTTTGATTCGTTCGGAAGTAAATCCTCATATGATTGCACCGTTCGATGAAATATTTGATCACACAAAATCGTTTTTCATGTCTTCGGTCGAGTTTGCTAAAGGTAAAATCTATGGTGTTCTACGGGCACGTGTTGTTGCCGATAACGGCGAAGATCATTCACATAGAACCGATGAAAGTCATTACAATTTGATCTCTGTCGACGATGGTCAAGGTCAAACAACTGAACAGTATCAAATCAATATCGATATTCAATCACTTCAATCTGCCAATGTTAAATGTATTTCCATTGATCCATTTAACAATCCTTCGATCCAATTTTCGAGTGTTCCTATCGGCTTTACCGCTCTACCAACAGCTGATAGTGATAGTCTGGCATTGGATCTTATTCGACGGCCTATATTTGATTTGAATCTGTTAACTCAATCTGAACCATTAACTGCCGATCAGATTGCAGATCGACTTGATGGTTATTTTAAACACGACAAACCGAATGTGATCGTATTCGGAACGAAATATGATGATCAACATGTTGCCACCGAACAACATTACGGTCTACAACGTGCAATGAAAGAAAAGAAACCGTCGCGTGGTATTGATGATATTCATATGAATCAGATTGTTGGAAAGGATGGGCATGCTTATCAAGATGGAGCGTTATTTATTCAAAAAGAGAACGAAGAAAACTCCTACGTTGCGTTGTTTTTCTGTTTTGCTAGTCAATGTAAAACAAATGCAGAAGAAAATTAAATAAAAAGATCAATTAATCAGTTGACGACATATTCATTGTAGATATTTGAGTGAGAACCGTCAGAAATTCATCGAAGGATAATAGGTGATCTAAGTCATATGTGATTTTGGTTAATTATCGACAAGAATAACTTACCTTTATCGTGATCAGCAAAATCTATCATGTTTTTGGCTTCTTCAGCAGTTATAGGTAGTTGTAAAGTATTCATTATGGTTAATAACTCATTAACATCGATCATTCCATCTATTCAAAAGATTATTCTTCGATATGCAATTGAAAGAGTGTGTGGTTTACCTTTGTTAATATCAAAATATTCAAACGCTATTTTCAAATCGAGACGATGAAGAGCTTCGTCTTCTAAGCGTAGTTTTTCTTCATATTCAAGTACGAGTAATGCGAAATGTTCGAAATCCAGCAAACCAGATGTACCGTTCAGCTGATGTTCAGTCAGAAAATCTTGATAGAGAATGTCCTTTCGTGTATCGTGCTCGAGGGCTATGAAAGCATCAGCAAGACGCTCAATCGAAACTAAATCAAGGTACTTATTTGCAGCAAACGGTTCGATCATCTTACTCGGTTGAAAATTACCGATGGTGTTAAAAATCTGACGCATTGATTTGAGTTTATCGGGCGAAATTGTCCGTTTGTTTTTCGAGAATTCGATTAGTTTTGTCGATTTCTTTAGCAGAACATCATTATTATCGAATAATTGAGTACTTGATGCTACATTATCTTTTCCAATCGATCGAACAGAACTACGTCGAGTCGAACTATGACTGTATCCATTTGTTACAGCCGATTGACTGTTCGTTCGTTTCATTGACGTCAAATGAGATAGAAACAGTCTCACTTTAATTAACTGTGAAAGCGACACATGATCTAAAAGGCTGAATAGTACAATTACGCAGACATGTAAGTCTATCCTATCAGCCTTGTCAATTGCTTGTAAAAACAGTTTGAAACAATAATTATTAGACGAATAATCTCTGCCAGATGAGACAAGCAAAACTATTTAGATCGATTAGAAAAGAGTACATTTTTTCACGGGTTAGCTACTTTCGGGAGTATTTTTTCCTGAATCATTATGATCATTCTTTGCAGCAGCAGCGGCGCATCGATACTTTGTGTGTTTTTCTTTTTCAATCAATGGACATCTGTGACCACCTATCATCAGCAGCAATGATGGTACACTTCCCTTCCTTCTCCTTCGTCGACATGAAAAAGAAAATCACAATCTCATTTTTTCTCTCTTCATCATCATCATCATCATTTAAATACAGCGATGGGTGATCAAACGTCAGTTGTTGCCAGCAGTTAACAAATGGGACAATGAATTTCTTTTCATGTGTATCTACTCCGACGAAGTATAAATACGGATGAAGTTCATGCGCATTTTTTCACCAGTTACAAGAAGAAATGACGAACCGGTACGACGTTTTGATTGTTGCTCAGAGAGTCTGTCAATATAAGAGTGACTCTGTGGCAGCAGTCAAAATCTTCCACGGTTATTGCTCCTCGATTCGATGTTCTGTTTTGTATTTTCTTCTTTTCTATATAATCGATTATTAAATAAATCAATCAGCTTCTGTTTGGGTAAAGATTAGGCTATGATAATATGACATTTAGCATTTTGAAGGTCCTTCGAGCGGCGGCTTCGGATTAATTCGTGTTTGATTTATTAAACAGATGACACGATCAAGATTAATTTAACTTCGTGTTGCATCAGTTATATAATCTGAAAATCTTATGAAATAAATAATTGTCTATTTGATCTATACATTTGCTCGACATACTGCAGTATGTTACAGATGTTTCTGATGTAAAAAGTTATTCCTATACAAATTGCCGCTTGTCCATGACCTCAGTTCTAAGGCTAGAAAGATTCTTTTTCATAAGACACTTATCCCTCATCTATTACCAACATTGATTTCTTCATCTAATAAACTAAATTGCCTATTTAGTGTTTGGTCAGTATACAAAGGTTATGACACATCGGAGAGCAAGCAAATGCCTCGATTGTCATTTTATTCGTCTTTTCCCGTGTCTGCCTGTCTGCCTGTCTGTCCGCCCGTCAGATTCAATCGTACATTAACCGTAGTATACACAAATACATACGCATAGTTTACTAGAGTACGATGGTGCTCGCGTAATCTGTCGAGAGAGAGACAGAGAAGGGGAAGGAGAGATATCGTTGATAAAGAAGGGGGTACCAATCAGCCTTATCTCTTCTCTTTTCTGTATACTTGCCTAGTTCCACGGACGAGGGGGAAAGAAACAAGAGAGAGAGAGAGAGAGAGAAGAAAATTCTCGGGGTAAAGACTTCTTTTTGCCACGATCATTTTTGCTAATCCAACAATAACATATACACACAGCGGACAACTTGCATTTATTCAGAAAGCACGCATTCAAATGGCATCGAAATCATATTTCTTACTTTTGATCACTATTATTTCATGTCAACAACTCCTTCTCATTCAAGTAAGTCAATCTATTCGATAGTGAAGATTCACAGAGCTTCTCATGAAGACAATCGCATTCCTTGGCGTAGATAGAGGTCAGCCAGCCATACTAACATCGAGGGACAAAGTCTGCGCTGATGATATCTCCCAATTAAATGATAAATATATTTCTGTCATCGGCAGAAACAACACTAATCAGATACAAACAAAATATACCGACGCAATAATGTCTACGTTAGCTTGAAATATGTCATCATTATCTAGTGTACCAAAAAAAGAAACGCGACAACCAATGACTTTCCTACACGAAAATGTTAAGTAAATACATCTCGGTTGTTGATAGCTATCCACCTCTAAATCGTTTATCACGAGAAGTTCTTTCTTTTGGAATGCGAATGAAAAACCGCAAAGAATTTTAAACACGATTTTTCTTGAGATAATTGCTATTTATGTGATTACATCATAGATACGGAGAAGTTCTTGAAATATGAAAGAGCGAAGGATTGATATGTCAAGGAGCATTCCTCATTGTTTTTATCAATGTCTCCTACCGTTCTTGATTCTTTTTGCTTTAGGCAGAATCGGAAACAAAGGTTGAAGTACAAAACGAAGCCGTTAAAATCGACGAAAACAAACCTTTGAATGACTTTCAAGGTAAAGTTTCCTATCGATTTGATTGTTCTAAAACATTTTCGTGATAATAATCGTAGATCGGTGTGCCAGTACCAAATGCCGTGATGGTGAAACGTGCGTTCTCAACAAGGATGGCGATGCCGAATGTGGTTGTATTCCACAGTGTGAAGATCCTAAAGATGAACGTTTAATGGTATGACAAAGAAAATCTATTCCATTCGATGTATAACGTACGTATCAATTAGGTTTGCACAAAAGCCAACCATACCTATACGTCTGACTGCGAATTTTTCCAAATGCAATGCTGGTGCCGTAAGAAAGATGAACGCTGCACCCGACCAGAGGCAGTAACAGATGTCATCGACTATTTCGGACGATGTCAAAGTGAGAATTCTGAAAAAGTTCCGATTCACTTCGAATGGTTCTTTCGTCATCGCAATAGATATTGGTGTCTGCACTGAATTTGAATTGGATGTGTTCCCCAAACGTATGAACATTTGGCTCGGTGAAATCCTCGATGCATTGGTACGTACGAAATTCATTGGGAACATTTCAAACAGTTGCTTTTGCCTCAATTTCAGTTTGTTCGAAAGGATCTCGATACTAAGTATGCTGTTTTGGTCGATGAAGCACGCAAAATGAAACTATCCAATACTGAAAAATGGTGGCGCAATGCTGTACTCTGGGAATTCTGTGAACTCGACCAAACTCATGATAAGTAAGTTACAAAATCTTCCTTTTCTCAAATATAACTAGCACTTGTTCGTTACTTAAAGCGCCGTTAACAACGAAGAATTAGCTCGTTTTGTTCGATCACTCAAAGTTCTCGAACATTGCATTCAACCATTCTTAGATCATTGCGATACTGATAATGATAACAAGATCTCTTCGGAAGAATGGGGTACATGCCTTGGTCTTGATAAAGGTATGAATAGAATCTCTCTTTCTTTGTTCTCAACTGATTAATTGATCTTTGCTTTTAGACGATATGGCTTTCTTGAAAACGTTCTGTTCACATTAAATCAAACGTATTGGATTTCTCATTGGAACAGTATACCGATTCTAAAACTTATGCGTATGCTTTGTGTGGCTTCTTTTTTTTTTGAGTGTGATTATAGAAATATTCATTTATTAAATATATATGACCGTCTGAACGAATGTATTTATTATCAAGAAGATATAACCTTCGATTAGTACTGCTGTCTGCTTTCCCACCATTCGATCAACCGACAGGCAGACCGATGAAATATTTTCTTAAGTTTATTCTCCTTTTCTCCATTGACGATGAAAATCCAGCAGAAAAAATATGACGTAGATAACAAAAAAAAAGAAATAACAACAACAACAATAACTAGAACAACAACAATAATAATAATAATCATAAGAACCGAGAAGAAAAAATGACTATAGGCGTAAATAGATGTATGAAAAAGAAGAAAGGGTTTTTATCGTCATATCAACTTAAGTTTTTTATGTTGACAATGAGATTGGATGTAGAGAAAAGGCTTAAAAGAATCCAGTGGCTACATACTATGAATAGATGCAGAGAGGGAGAGAGAAAAAAAGTAATGTCTTCATTTAAAATCATTGCCCATGAATTTTACTGTTTTTGTTTCAAATTGACTTCACTGATAATCGAGATGCCCCCACTTGATCCATGAGATTTATTCCAATCGGTGACGCATAATGTACCTGTTGATAAAAATGTAATGGAATAGGGCTCTTGGATTGATTTACATTTGTATTCTTCGACATTCGAATCTTTATCAATAGAGACCAAACGATGATTGAGTTTATCGGGTATCAAGCATTTTTTATCGTTATCAACATAGATCGAATACGATTGTAAGCTTTGAGGAATGTTGTATGACGATTTCGGTGTTGCACTCGAGTTATCATACTCATCGAGATTACATTTGTCTTGACGATGTGTTAAAACAAACGATGTATCATTTCCTAAGAAATAAGCAGCATACGGATAGACTTTTTGATACAGTTGAGGTGTTGTTTGAAGTAAATGATCTTGAGCTGCATCGTGAAACGACCAAACACCAATCTCAGCAAGATTATTATCAAGAAACACGATACGTTCACCGGATGGATCGCATGCTAGAAGACAAATAAGAACCGATCGATTTCTTGTATATATGAACATAATCTCGACGTTTGACAGTGCTCAAAGAGTGTGGCCTTCGATTATTAGATTGAATTGGAAAATAATGTAATAAACTAGTAACCCAATCCTCAAATATGGAATAGAAACGTTTGTTGATCTCAGTGTCATCACACATGATATCTCAATGATGAATAGGACCTTGCGAGAAAACTGTTTTCTTGTTAATAGATCCGACTGTGTAAATAAACTATTGAGATTTAGGTTAACCAGAACATTTGCAAAGACAACGTACCGGCGTAAACACCTCGTTCTTGAACGTATTGAATGTTCCACGGATAGAATCCACGAATTTTACTTCTGATGACGACTTTGTTTGTATTTAAATCTAGGATGACAGCTTCTTTTCTTGTGGCAACCACAGCTTGCGAGGCTGATCCAGTCGAATGATGAATGACTGCTTTCGGTGTTGGTAAATCTTTGAAAATTTGATGAACAACGCCGTTGATATCCAGAAGAAAGACTGAATCACGATCGAAGTTCGCTACTAATAAACGATCATCTGGTAATGCACAGATGCCTGTTGGTGCGCCAAATTTGCCATTTTCGCGGTCAAAACTACATGAAAGTTCCGAGATAAAATAGTCATGTTTATATTTCTTCAGATTGTAGACTAATTCGGTTTTGATTTTGCTTTCCGAAGCATCATTTGCGGATGTTTTCGTTGCTTCAAATGATGGTGTGAATGGCGGAGCATCAGACTAAGAATAAAACATCAAGATTTCATTTTTATCCATCAATCACGTACTCGCATGGTTACTTTCGACGAAACATTCAATGTTTGTAATTGATCAGCCACTTGCTCCACATTCTAATGTTAAAAATATCACATATAGGAATACAAAAAGAAAAACAACAACAGGTATAGAACAAAGGATTACCGATGATGACGATGATGGTTGAAATGAACTTTGTAATTGTCTTTCGGTATACCCATCATTTGAATTTGCTTGTTGTTTAGAAACATCAGTTGTTGATGTCTTTTGATTTTCAGTGACTGTGCTCGACATGACTATCTAACTGTAAATAGAATCACACACACACACAAGAATATAAATAATGAATTCAATAAATGATGATCCATACAACGAAAAGCAGCGAATCTAGTGACCTCAATAAAGTTTTTTTCGCGTATTTTCGTTCTGTTCCCATCAAAAACACTCTGGAGCGATCATTTCAAACAAAGGTTATATTTTATTAGAAATTTTTAATTAAGCTAATGAAAGATTATTTCATTGGTCGACTATTTCGCCAATGAAAAAAGTTCTGCTTATTATTTTCCTTCCGATGTCTAAGAATCTTTTTTTTCCTTCCAGAAATATATTAAAATGTTTCCGAATGCAGGAGAAACTGAACCAACTCGTACTCCCCTTCCAATCGCAGCTCCTGTTTCCAACTGGAGCGTGGCTCTATACCGAAAAGCTGAGCCTATTGTACCATTAAATCCTACAGATATCTCACAAGGACCTGCTCCTCAACAAGTTTACGGTTCATTCTATGTTCAACTTCAGCAACAAGCTTGTGCTACTTCGCCAAGTCGATCAGATGTTCTCTATTTTCGATATCGGCCGCAGCAACAAAGGAATAATGCCGATTCTTACGTACTACCGTTTACTATCACTCAATTATCTGATATGAAACTGTCAGCGGAGAGTGCGCCACTAACGTCAACCACAACAGCTTCTACAAGAGCTAATAATCTTGAGCAACAGTCGAGTGAGTAATCAATGTTATTTCTCAAAAGAACAAACGAACATGTTCATGTGTGTGAGTCATGCGAGACATAGTGTAATAGGCTTACAGTAAAAACAAAGTAGATTACATATGTAAGCGTACCAATTACTAAAAGCATAAGAAAACTTCTAAAGTCTATACGAACACTATACGCAGGCTATTTCGACAATATGTCTAAAAAATGAATGCATATGTTTTTCAAAACAGGTGCGAACGACGCGTCAGAGAATCCACCAACGCTGCTTCTTCGTGCAAAAGCTTTTCTTGGTGTACTGGTATTGAACAGTTCAGCGAACAGTGTTACTGCAAATAGTTTGTATTGAAAATTTTCCTTTTCAACAAATAAATCGTATTTATTTAGCTGCTGGAATCACTCGACCTTTCTTGATCTTCGCTACCGAAGAAGTATTTATTGGACAATTATTCGACGCATATATTTTTCGTACGCAAAGCGAAAATGAAAATGAAAGTCAATACTCGCAGCTATTTGTTTTCTATTACTAGGTATTTCACAAATAGCTACCATTTCTTTAAGAGATAATCCTGAAGATGAAGTATTTGTTTCGGGCATCAAGTAAGAAGAAGACAAAAAAAGATATCGAGGGTGTGTGCATGTCTTATTTGTTTATTCAGGAAACTTTTTCAAGGACGTTGTTTTTACTATGCGGTTTATAGCAAACCACAGTTGGACACCGCGAAATCATTTTTTAAAAAACCATATGATATCACATTATGCGCTCAGCGGATGGTTCAAGGACATGATTCCGATATTCGATTTTTCTGGTTTGTAGACATTTCGATAGAATTGAGTTGATCAAGAGAAATCTAAAATATTTAGGAATCGCGGTTTGTGCTTACCATTGCTTAAGTTTAATATCGATATTCGCTATTGGATACCGAAAATTATGTGCGGAGGTATTGAAACATATCGAAATCCAGGTGAGGATATCGAATTATGGCTGATATCACGGTACGTTTGGACGGTATACTCCTTTGTTCTGTTAAAAATTAAAGAACGTCCGATTCAGATTGAGTTGCGAACGAGCAGGAACACGTTTTAATGTTCGTGGAGTCAATGACGATGGCGCCGTTGCAAATTTTGTGGAAACAGAGCAGGTATTTTTCGATGAAACCGAATCCAGATGATAGATGTTCTCCTCCTTGTCAACAGATTGTTTTTCTTCCTGGACAAAGTAATTATTCATCGTTTGTGATTGTTCGTGGCTCAATTCCACTTTTTTGGCATCAACCACGCTTTCAAGTATGAAGCTTCTTTCAATACTCGTCCCCTGCATTCATTTGTCTGGCTTCTTTCTAGGTTGGCGCACATCGTATCACAATCTCACGCAGTGAAGCATTGAGTTTCAAATCATTTTTCGAGTAAGTTTATGCATGATTTTCATCACAAGAGTTCTCTTCTTTCTCTTGCAGGCATTTCAAGCACCTCTATCGCCATCACGGCCGTGTTTTAATCATAAATTTAATTGAACAGCGCGATGATGAGAAGCGTGTTGGCGAAGAATACCGAAATCTCTTCGAACTCTTAGTTAAAACATATCAATCGAAACAGAAGAAAGCGAAAGTGTCACTTGGTTATCTCACCGAGAAAGACTTCGTCTGGTTCGACTATCACGAGCATGCTCGTCAGTTGAAAGGCTTAACACCTGAGCAAATCATTGATCGAATGTTAATACAAAATACTCAACACTCAATTCGGTCTGAACTTCAACGACAAAGCATATTCACATATGTTGATGGAGCAACAAAAAGTCTTCAACAAGGAGTTTTTCGTATCAATTGTATCGATTGCTTGGATCGTACAAACAACGTGCAATTAACGTTGGGCATGGTCATTTGTACCATGCAAATAGAAAGTTTACAGAAAAAAGTCGATGTTAATAATCTAGTCAATCATTTAAAAGAAATGTGGATTAATAACGGTGATCACATTAGTCGAATTTATACCGGAACTGGAGCCATTGGACAAAGGAGTAAAGTAAGTCGACAAGTTTTACCCGCAGGGATAAGTCTTTCATCATTTATTTGTTTTTTTTTTCTTTCTCGCTTTGAAAAGGCCAAAGATATTCAACGTAGTTTCGGTCGAGCTATACAAAACAGTTTACGCGATGATGAAAAACAACAGTCAATTCAAACGCTGATCTATTCTTATGCTAAAGATTCATATTTACACGAACGCTCGGTTGCTGCTCTTGCAACTCCATATGTTATTGGTAAATCTTGTGTTTGCTCAGATGAATGTAGTGTTTGATTGTTTTGTTGGATTTAGCTGACGGGATTATTCTTAGTGAAATGTTTCGCATTCGAGAACGATACACCAGAAAAGAGAAGATTCGTATTTCATTGGGTACGTGGAATATCAATGGAGATAAAAATCCCGCCCTAGACGATGAATATCCATCAATTTTGGATGCATGGATATTAAATGGGCCGGATAATTTATCTGCAAAGGACCAAAACATGACAAATGGTGATGTCATTCAAACTATTGGTAAAACATCGAAATTACCGAAGAGTATAGAAAACAATGATTTGATCTTCTAGGCTATGCTAGTCCTGACTACAAGAAGACGATGCCAGATATCTTAGCGATCGGTTTTCAGGAAATTTGCGATTTAACGGCATCAAATATGGTTTGGCAAAGGTAATTGCTATATAACTTCGTTGAGCGACTTCATCGAAATAATGTATTTGATTAGTTCTGTTAACGCTACTCGTTGGGTTGATAACGTCGAAGCTCATTTCAAAAAATCCTATCCAAATGATGAGTATATCCTGTTGGGCAACGATCAACTTGTTGGAGTATGTTTAGCAATTTTTATTCGACGTGACCTGGCGCCATTCGTCAAGTACGCATTTCTCGCACCCTACTACCTTCCTTTCACAATCATTATGTTCTAGAAATATCGCGGTGGATTCAGTTAAAACCGGAATGGGCGGGAAAATAGGGAACAAAGGATGCGTAAGAATGTCATTTTCTTTCTACTACCGAAGTTTTAGACGATCATTTTGTCACTTAGGTTGCGATTCGTCTTGTGCTGTACAATACATCGATTTGTTTTGTATGTGCGCATTTTACTGCTGGACAAAGTCAAGTCACGGAGCGCAATTCCGATTATAAATCTATTATGGAGAAACTATCGTTTCAACCACCTTCACGAGCTGTTTGGCACGATCATATATTTTTCCTGGGTGATTTCAATTATCGCTTAACAATTCCACGTGCACAAGTCGAACTCTTGATGAAAAACAATTCATATGAGCAATTGCTCGAATACGATCAGTTGAAAAAAGAACATGCAGAAGAACGAGTGAGATCTCCTTTCAAGATGATTTGACGAATTGCAATTTTCAACTTTCGTTAAAGGTTTTCCGAGAGTTTGTAGAAGGTCCAATTAACTTTCCTCCAACATACAAATATGATATTGGATCTGATAATTATGATACAAGCGAAAAAGCGCGTACACCATCGTACACGGATCGTATTCTTTGGCGAAGTATCTTTCCAAATGTTCAAACAAAACAGTTATATTACGGTCGTGCCGAAGTTAAAACATCGGACCATCGTCCTGTCAGTGCAATATTCGACGTCGAAGTTGAGATATGTGATGAGGCTAAAATGTATCAAGAGTTCGTCAATGTCTACGAACGACTCAAACCATCAAATGCACAGCTGATGTATCATTTGAAAAGTGAAACAAATCTGCGAAGAATTCAATTGGTCGAAGAGTTTGACATGTATGTTAGAAGAAAGTACGGATTGGATGTAACCATCGTCGATCGATTGTAAATGAATATTTTGTTTGTTACTAAATACCATATATCGTTAAATATCATTTAGTTTTACAACACATCATAAACAAGTTCTATTGAATATGTTTTTTGAAAATGGCGAACAAGCACGTCAAGTTTTAGAACCGAAAACTGATCAAGTAGGGTGAAAGTTTCAGACAAAAAGAACAGACTCTCATTCATTCAATTCTTAGCTTTCAAACGGCTTGACTTTCAGTAAACATTTAGTGACTTTGAATGAAGAGTTTGCTTTGAATCAGAAAATCAACCTTCTTTTCTCTGATGTCAACGAAACAATGTACCCCGAATCAACTGCTTAGTAAGTAGACTTTTAAGGTCAACCCACTCAACGCTCTATTTGCGTTCGTCGTGTAGCGAGCTCGGTTCATACCAACAACCATCGCGTGATGCACTTTCAACCTTGCAAGATGTGACCGTAGCTGGAGTTGGTAAGATTTACATGTTTTTCGTTTTCCGTTACATTCAAATATCTAGCGCGCACTGTGTCTGATTTGATGAAATCAATCGCTGTGGATCATGCATCTTCGATGTCAACGATAAAGAAAAAATATGGCCGCGTATCAATAATTAGTTTCGATCCCTCTAAATTTGCTGGGAGTAAGGAGAGTAGATCAGTGGGAAAAAAACACTTTTGCTTATTAATTCTCTAATCTGGAGATGGTCTACGTACATTTATTAACATCTGCATAAGAATAACAAGTCAACCAATGAAAATCTCTATTGTATTATGTTCTGCCCTTCTAGTTGCCGACGGAGGTGAATCAATCAGTACTACAACAGCAACAAAAGATGAACAACGAGAACCTGAACATGACATACAAGCATTGGAGGCTATTCGAGATGCTCAACGCGCTTACGAACAACGGCGGCGCACGTATGGCGACATTTTTGAAAACGTGTCAGATTCGGATTCTGACGAAATCAAAGATCACGATGAGAAAAAAGATTCGAAATCATCACATAGTGATAGCGATGCACCAACATCAACGGATTCGGATTCACCATATGGTTCCGACTCCGAATCCAGTTCATCCTATGATGAATACTATGCTAAAAGGCAAATACCTAAGAAAAAAGTCCATCGACACTATAAAGGTCCATTGAAATCGTATATCGAGGAACGGATTGGTAATTGGCCGAAATATCGCTACAAGAAATACAAACGGCACAACATGAAAAAGCAGGGTATACAAATTAATTATGGTAACATTCATACGAAAGAAATCAAGCACTCGTTGAAAGAAGAAAAACACGAGAGAAAAAAAGAAGACAGTCGTCCAGTAACAGTGACGAACATGATGGAAGACGTGGTGAAGCAAACGCCTTTTCTTTCTCTGGATCCAACACACCCAATCGTACCGACAGACCTAAACAAGAACTTGGCTCTATCTCGAAATTCGTCAGAAAATGATGCAGATCACACAAAACCAACGTCAACGTTTGAAAAAATGAAACAAAAAATCAAGAAATCATTCAAACGAAAACATAAAGTGTCTGCTCAACATGCCACGGATGACGAAGAACAAATGGCAGCAAACAGCGAAGCTGCTAGTTATACTAGCGCCGGTGAAGAAACAAACAAATCAAATCGATCACTTGATAAACTGTAACCTCTTGAATCTGAATACCAAACAATTGTAATTCCGACATATAAAAATTGATCGAAACGAAATCGACTCGATAACATCCTATTGACATTCGACACCTCTGTACATTTGCAAGACAAATGCATGTCACATCCATTCTACATTTAATCTCGCTTGATGACATTCCCTATTCGAAAGAGAACATACGCCTATTTATTATTTTGTCGATCACAATTCTTTTCGATCAATTTTTCTATTTCCTTTTTACTTAATGCAATGGCGTTTTGTTTTTCGTTTCTTATATCATACTAGTCGCGCAAAACCATGTTTTTTATGCTAATATAATACATACGCACACACATACATATTGTATATATATATATTTGTACCTTGAATAAATCAATATGATGAGCTAATATTTTTTTTCCTTCGTTTTAGTTGCTGATGAAGAATCGATTTTAGCCGGCGCAGCGGACACCGATGAAAATCAACGGGAATACAATGTTGGCGAACTGATTTCATTTGCATCATTTGATTATCCGACTGAGCCGAGTTGTCAAGGTCAAACGGCGAATGTAAAAGTTAACTTTCTATTCGATATTCATAAGAATTCAGTTTTCATTTTAGATATCGTCAAATAACGATTGTTTTGATCCGTTTAATCTCTATGGGACATCGTCAACGGCTAACAATGCGGAAATGAGTAAGAATCATCGCTTTCAAAAGACAAGATGCTCTTTCTATGATCGATTGACTAGATAACAATGAGAATTGGGCTGATTTTGACCATTATTCAACGGCTACAAGTTCCTCATTCCATGTTGATCCATTTGCATCGACTTCACAACCGATACGAGATACACATTCGCCCTTGAACATGTTCTCATCAACGTTTGCAAATAACAATCTCTTCGCTCAGACACAACCTCAGCTAATTCCTGCTCGGGTGCCTTTGCCAACGCCTTCTGCTATTTCGGCATTGCAAAACTTGAATTTAAATCCAGCAGCGAAGAAAACAGATTTACTTACCGATCTGCTAGATTTTACTGTACCACCTCCACCGGAAAGTCCCAAATTCGATCCATACGCTTAAATGTCTCTAGTCAATATTTATTCTCTATGTTGTCTCTCCTGTGATATATGTTTAGTGTCTACCTTGCGTCAATTTACTAATCGAATCTCGATGCACGAAAGAGTCAAATCAACAATTTTTTTTGTTCGATATCTTTTACCAATTTTATTTATTACACTTTTTCTGTCAATGTATCCGTGTACTAGTCATTCCATATCAATGAACTTTCTTTTCATTGTAGATGAAATTCGACGCATTTCTTGCCACGGTCGGCGATTGGGGTAAATTTCAGAAAGTGAAATATACTCTGATATGTCTAACGTATATGTTGCCACCAATTATGGTGTACACGTATACGTTCACTGCTGCGACACCTAACTTTCGATGTCAGAATCCCGATCTATTGCAAACAGATAGTTACAATAATGACTCGAATTACAATTATAATAAGAAATATCAACCAACAGAAGCTCAATGTAATAAGGAACAAAAGCATGTATCAATTAGAGAATGTCAACGATGTTATAGACAAAGCTTAGCAGATGATCGAGATGGCTTAAACAAATTAGAAAGTTGTAATAAATATACTTACGAGAAACTTTATTACGAAAAAACATTGGTTGAAGAAGTAAAGATTTACCTTTTAAAGTTGTATGTACAGACTTGTTTCTTTTCAGTGGAGTATGATTTGTGATCGAGTTACCTATCGCTCAGTCGTTCAGATGATTTTCTTCGTTGGTTACATGGTTGGCTCAATAGTGTTCGGCATGCTGGCTGACAAGTAAGACTACATATGTGGTAGTTCTATGTACATTTCTATGTATTCGATAGGTACGGCCGTCGCCCGATCATGAGTGTTAGTTTTATTTTAATGACTTTCTCGGGATTTTTATGTGCGTTCGGTCCACAAGAATCATTTGGATTTTGGCCTTCGTACCTTATTTTTATTATCGCACGATTTTTATTGGCTTGTTCGACGCGAGGTATATCTGTTTCTGGTTTTGTCCTTGGCTCTGAAATCGGTAAGAACGTGAAGTATTTCAAGTGAACGACTGACAGGTTCATTTTACTTCTAGTCGGTCCAAGTAAACGCTTATTGACTGGAATTGTTATTGAATACTTTTTCGCTTTTGGTCAGTTATTTCTTGTTGCTTTTGCATATTTTATCCGCACATGGAGAACATTAACATGGGCAATTTCGATTTTTACTATTCCTTTCATGTTCTTTTACTTGTAAGTATAGAACTACTTCGATTCAATGAAAGAAAAAACTTCTTGTTTAGTATTTTACCGGAGAGTCCTCGTTGGCTTGTTAGTAAAGGACGTTTTGAGGATGCTGAGAAAATCCTACGCAAAATAGCGCATGATAACAAACAACCATTTAGTGAATCTGCTTTCCGCGAGATGAAGGAAGAACAAGAGCAAGTATGTTTTGCAAAATCTGTTCATTGTTTGTTCAATATATTCAATTAATCGTCTGATCTAATAGAATATGTCGAGTAAGCAACATCAAGGTGGTGTTATGACTCTATTTCGATCGAGAATCATGCTGATTATCAGTGTTAACCTCTTCTTTCAATGGTAAATCTCGTTCTGATCTGCAAACGACCTCCATCTATTCTTTTAGGCTCGTACAAAATCTTGTATTTTACGGTGTCTCGCAAAATACCGGTAAACTTTTCCAAAAACTATGTCAATCACGATTACGACGATCTTTCTTTAGGGTCTTGGAAGTTAAATCCATATCTCTCATTCACTGTCAGTGCGCTAGTCGAATTAGCCGCATACGTTGTCGTTCACCTCATTCTCGATCGTATTGGTCGTAAGAAACCCTATTGTATGTTCGCAGTTCTATTTGGTATCGTTGCACTTCTTGCTATACCCATTCAGAAGTACACGACTAAAGATAGCACAGGTTTGTCCCTAGCGACGGAAAGTTTTCTCCCGGAATGCAATTTTGTCTTTGAAATACTTTAGTACAAGTGGTTTGGATGAATATTATCAATGTTGCATTGAAATTTCTCGCGTCGGCATCCTATGCTATCATTTACATCTATGCTAATGAACTATTTCCAACAAATGTTCGAAATACAGGTATGGGTATCTGCTCTATGGTTGCTCGTGTCGGTGCGATTATTGGTACGTTCTGCAACGATTATTTAGTAAGTCAATCCATGAAACGACTGTCGAATGTTTTACTTCCTGATCTGATTTAGACACGTATTTGGCTCTACTTACCCATAGTTCTCTATGGTATTGTTTCACTTGTGGCTGCTATATTAGCTTTAATGTTTCCGGAAACATTAAACAAACCATTACCACAAACGGTCGGTGAAGTCGAACGCATGGGTGTAATGGGGTAAGTAGATGAAAACATTCATCTGACTGCTAACTTCATCTATTCTCTTCTTCTATTTATTAGTTTACGATCTAAACAACCGTTGAGTGTTATTGGTGAAGGTGAAGCTTTGACAGGAAAAACTGAAGATGACATTCTAAAGGCAAATCTAGCACAGGCGGATCATTATGACGATAAATTGTAACTCACGGCGTGAATTTCTACTTAATCTCATCTTAATACATTTTTCCTGTTCATATGGTTTGATGTTTTTGTGTTTCTTTTTTTAAAAATTAGTAGTGATTATCGCAAATTATTCTGCTCTTTTTTTTTTCTTTTTTGGTTTTTCGTGTTGTGCTTCACATAAAGAGAAAAAAAAACGAATATATTTCGACCGATAAACTATCACAGTATGAGACCAGCGTATGGCATTCGATTGGTTCGATACATCTGTTCTGTCGCTTGATATTAGCATTAATTGTATTTACTTGTTGAAAAAAATACCGCCGCATTAGATTTCAATATCAAGTTGACATTCGATCTGTATCAATGAACATTATTCGATCGTTTGCATTTGTTTATCTGCTGATCGAACAAATAAAGTTCAATATAATCGAACTTTGATCGTAAGAACAAAAGCTTGTTTTGCATATGTATGGCATACAATTATATGTGGTATATGCCAACTGTTATTTGATTTTTTTCCTTTCGCTACGAAAAAAAAACATCTTTAACCGAACGCGTGGGCTATGGGTCGTGTTGCGATTCAATCTTCTACTCGAACATTTCGGTTTTTCAATGATTGAAGATTAAGAGAGAAAAAAATACAGCGTACTGTTTGTTGACGAAGAAGCCACACGTGAACGGCGAGAATTAATAAGACAGCGAAGACCGAAAATCGCCACTATTTCTTGTGTTCGACGAGAAATCTCAGATACCGACGTGTGGTTATCATTATCGAATTTACTCTCGATTTTGTAGTTCGGTTTTGCTATTGCGGTAAGCGCCCTACGACGTCATACATTCTTCGTTTCTTTATCGTGATATATATATTTGTTTTTTGCTTTAAAAACGAAATTTATTCTTTTGATAGAATAAGAAAGCAAACACATTGTACATGAGTTTGCTTTCAAAAAAGAGAAAAGAACCATTGATAGATTTTTCTTTCAATATTTGTAACTATGTAGAAGAAAAAAAATCAATGAATGCAACATATAAAAAAATCATTCGTCATGCTAATTTTCATTTTTGAGTTTTACAAAAGGTTATAAACACACACACTCACGAATTTTACCTTTCGTATATGTGTACGTCTTATCTGCACTTAAAGAAAGAGAAAGAGAGAAAAAAAAAGATGAGATGTCTCAAATGCTCTTTCCACACCAAGCCGAAAACGAGACTCTTATTTTTTTTTTTGCACCTATTACTTATATTTGTATATATATTTCTCTCTTGTCAGGAAGAAGTGTAGCTAGTCAAAAGAAAAATAATGGAAGAGAAAATGCCGCCGACCACTGATGGTGGAAATGGTATTTTGTTATTATTCTTGTTCGACGACGCAATACAGCATAAAAGTGTACTTCACACTTAAGAGAAAAAAAAGGAGGAGAAGACGAGATTTGTTTTCTTGTTCGCTGTCTTTCTCCTTCTCTTTCTTTCTTTTTAATAAGAAAATAAAACAGACAAACAAAACGACTGCCTAGTTTTGTAGCTGACGGCAAACACCTGAGAACAAGTGTGAGATTGCATTTCATCATTAGCGTAGTTTTCTCTCTCTCTTCCTTTGTGGTAAGTACTAATCTGGCTTAGGTTATCAATTCATTTGATGAAAGCATATAGGCGAGAAAGAAACATTGATGATCTGTAAATGAATTGATCACATAATATACATTGTTTACTTATGTTGGATAGGATTGAAAATGTCTATGTTCTTTTTCTAGTTACTATCGGCTTATTTACTTTTCATCTCCTATTTTTGAAATGGGACATTAAAAACAACAAGACACACATACATCACGTTAACTAGTAGACAGAACAAAGTTTTTTTTTTCTAACAATGACAATCCGTCAACAATATGCAAATGAAGAATTGGTTCATAAACTTCGTTCGATGCTGAATGACTTGCCAACACTTCGAACACGTGCGATGAAAAAATTAGAACATTGGCGGGAAGCAGCCATTAAACGACTTCTAGCTCGACAACGTGAATTAGAGAAGACTCTTTTAGATAAATTCGAACGACTCGAATTTGATACTCAACTATTCGTGGAAAAGACCGAACGAAAGCGTGCGCAAAACCAACGACGTTGGCAAAGCGAACCATTAGATTACTTAAACAAAAGTGAAATCGACCGTATATCTACAAGTTTACGTTCGATACGAGAAGAATTAGAACAATCGAAGTTAATATTAGCCGGAAATCTTACAAATGATAACATAGGTGAACTGCCATCGGAAACCGTTCGACACGAGAAATTAGCGGAAACATCAGCGCGCTATGCAGATCATATATCACCGAAAACAGCTGTACATAAAAATTATAATTCATCTTCAACTGATAACGACCTTAATTTAGAATTAAAACGTGTTCTAGAGATATGTACCAGTCCTCAATGTTCATCGACGTCATTGTCGGCCGATGAGGTAACGATTCTATTCTAACCATTCTTATCTCTAACATCTGAATATCTCGATTTTCACCGCGTTGTTGTTGTTGTGGTTGTTATTTTTTTCGTTCTTAACCACAACAACGTTAGAGATTTGGTTTCGATAAACGAAAGACTCTATTCGCATGATTAATAATAAGTCAAAATCATTTTTCGAGCACTTTAACTAATCAAATATGAAAGCAAGTGCGCAGTCAGTCGAAAAATCCAAAGAAAATATTGAGTATTTGATAATGGGCTTAGGTGTATTTCGATTACGAAGAGTAAAGTTTACTTATGCCTTGATTTTTATATATCTTTAGCAAACGCCTTTACAATCCCTCGATAGTGTCGAGCACTGCAATGATGCGAAAGCGAAACAAACAATGCCGACAAAAACAGGTACAACATACTCACAGAAACGCCCAGATGATAGAAGTCGTCGACATGCACGTATCATAACAAACGTTCTATCGGAACAACAAGAAAACGAAATATCATCGCCAACGGCGTCATCAACAGCCACTACAACAACAACTGCATCGAATAATAATCATGAAACGTTTCCGCTTGAATCATTTGATGATTCCATGAGGCGTTTTCAACGATTACGCGAAGTACAACAAAATCTACGTTATAAATACGATGAACCATCACCTCCGCTGGCGAAAGTGGGAGTAATTACTCAGCCGATCAACATACCGATCGAACGTATCATTACGCCGACATCCTCGAACGAGAACAATGTTAGTCATCAGCAACGTCAACGTGACCATGATGTCAATACGAGCAACAGAACACGTGATCGAAAGTATCGTTCGAAAACGTTGGAAGGAAATCAATTACGTGCGGTGGATAATCAAATCTATGGATGTTCAACATCGTCATTAGCGTCAAAAGCGATACAAGATACACGTAATCGAGGTGATTTACATCGGCATCGCTCGCACCGCTTATCATTTCGTCGTTCGACGGATGATGTTCGAAGTGCACAACTACATCTACGACGACATCTCGATGTCAATGACTCAAATTTGAACGATATATGGTTAGAAATTGGACAAGAACATTGGACGAACTTGTTAGAAAATGGTTGGAGACCAACGACAGGCACGGCAGGAGTCAATCTTGTTTCATTTGCTGATTCAGGTATGAGACAAGTTCAGTGGTGATTTATCGAAGAGAAAACATTTCTTCATGCATTTAGATGATTATGGTTCGAGTAAACAAACAACAGACGAGAATTCAGTAGTTGACCTTTATGAACAAATAACACGAAACGAATACATATCCCTATTCGAGAAATTGGGCTTTAGTTACGGACGAACAATTGATTTAGGAAATGAATTTTGGCGCTTTCTAGAAATTAGTGGCAGTCAACATCTATGTCTGTATCACCAGCTTAACAAACAATTTATCTTATTCAAACCAGATACTTCTCTTTTATCATTCCAATGGCCATATGATGGCATCATTGATATATCATGGTCCAAATCTAACAATACCTGGGTAGTAGCAACACAAACACAAATAGTGAGCGTTGTTTTGATCGTTCGAATGAAGTATTCGATCTTGACTTTCTCCTTCTAGACAATATGCAATCGTTCATTCAGCAAAGTTCTACAGACAGTGAACATCAATGGCGATTGGCCAAAACGTATCACATCATGTCGATCGTCTATATTTCACACTTACAAACTTCCGGCATCATCAAATGCAAAAACATTTATTTCAGCTTACAGTCGTTCATCTTACAAAGATCGTCCACAATTTCTTCTTGAGCGTTACGATTACAAATTGAAATCGATATGTAAACATATTCTCGAATCGTCCACCATCTGGGACATCGAAGCAGACGATCTAACCGATCATTTAGCTGTTCTATGCGATTTTGCTCTACTTATATTCGACTATCAACTGAACTTATTACGTCAAATTGAAGTAACTGGTTTCAAAGTAAGTACAGATCATTTTGGCGGTTGGTTAATTGCGGATTATAATGCATCGTGTATATGGCAAATACGACGAAATGAATATTTAAAAGCGATTAAAATCTTGAACGTCGAACGGCCATGGTCAGTTATTCTTGATCGAACAAATTGGACATTAGTAACACTGAGTGAAACAACAAATCGCGCAAAACGTTTATTATTCTATACAATGAAAAATATTCCCGAAACGCTTCTGCAAACTGATTTATCTTGCGCACAGTCTCAATTGTCAATGTCTTCATCATCATCGATATCCGAATCGTTACTATAGAATCGAAATGTTGTCTGTTTCTTTGTAATAATGAAAATTTCTTTATCTTTTTCTTATTCTTCTCTTTTTCTCTCTTGATGCTTTCTTTATTTTGCCATTCTTGTAACTGTTTCTAACTAATTCTATATCGAAAAACGTTTTTTCTTCTAGTTTATATCCGCCACGAAATGTAAGGAAGTAAAAATTCTTCCTTTTTCTTCTTTAACCGTGATTCTAGTACATAGAATAAGCAGTTGTGTTTATTTTGATTTATTCTGTATGAATTAAAAAACGACTATTTTTTAATCTGACTTTGTTTGAGCATTTCTTCGTTAGTAGAATAAGACGATCGCATCGAATCATTCAAGTTAATATATATTCAATATTTATAAAGCTTTCTAGGACAAAAAAATGTGCGAAACAGAAACAAATGAAAAACACAGAAAGGATCTATTCTTTTTCACATGATGGCGCATCTACTTGCATAACGATTTCCACGACATCGTCGTTGGAATCGTCCATGGGTTGAGAAGATCGTTCTTCTTTGGATTCGGCTTTGAATCGTTTTCTTGGATATAGTTTCATATGAAAGTCTTTCACACACGAGGAGATATGTTCGAACTTCCTCTTCATCAGTTGGTATTGATCATTCAACTCTTTGTATTTGGCTTCGAAGTGCTGCTCGCGAGAACTAAGTTTTGCGTTCAATATGGCGTTTTCTGTTTGGCATTTACCTTTAAAAAGAAAAGATCGTTTTTCTAGAAATACGGCAATTTCCGGCTTTTCTCTCACCTAAATCAATTTGTGCTTGTTCGAGACAATCTTTCACGATTTGAATTTCAAGTAAATGATTGGCATGTCGATTTTCTTGATTGTGGCAATCAATGGGCTCATCTTTGATTTTATCTTTTGGTATCGTTGTCGATGTTTCAGATAATTGTTTCAATCGAGTTTCATAGGATTCAACTGAAACTGCATGCTCTTGTTTTAATTTGTTTGTTAATGCTTGCTCTGCTTCTTGAAAATCCAAACAAAACGTTCGAAGTGAAGATCTCAATGCTTTTCCTACCGAATTTTTCGCGTAGAACTTGAAAGGTATCATAGGCCGTCCTCGAATATGTCTGGGCTTCGACTAGAGACTTTTGAAGGTTGGCTATGTCATGCTTCAAAGCTTGATTTTCTTGAACTAATTGCTCGTAAGAGGGAGCGGCTGGATTGTTTGGAGAATTCTGCTTTTGTTGACTGATTGGCATTAGATTTGGCGTCGCGGGTGTACGAGATGATGACGATGATGATGATGAGTTGGGACGATCTTCATGATAAAAGCGCATAGCTACGTGAGTACCATTGATAATGTGATTACGATGACTGATGATAGAAGTGACACTGGATACTTCGGCAAATTTCACTAAAGCATCTAAAATAGAAAATCATACTCATCAGTAACACGCTAGAGAATGTCATCGTCTTCGAAGAACAGAGACAACGAGACATTCCGTAACAGACGAAATCGATTCAACTAGCGAACTTACAAAGGTCTTTCTTTGGTGTTTGTGAGGACGATTTAATAAAACATCGAAGAACTGTACCAAACTTTTGACAATAAGAAGTTAATACTGATTCGGACAAGTTATGTAGTTTCGTGATAACTACTGTTGACTCGCGATCAAAGAACATCGTATCTATTGAAGAAAAACGAAAACAATTGCGATTTTAAAAACAACGAACATGCCAATGAATCATCTGTATATATCCATACAAAGAAGAAGAGAAGATATTATAAACGATTGTCGTTCTCTCCAGACGCATAGCACGCGACTATTAGATTAAACTGAATTCTCTACGATCGATCGAATCGATAGAGAATATGAACAAGGAAACATCGCTGTTCGCTTGAAAGGATGATTAGAAAGGTCAATATATATATTATTTATGTGATTAACGGTTCATTCAAGTTAAATATTCTTCTTTTCTTGTCGCTAAGTCGGCAGAACAGACGATGAGGATGTGATAGTATGTTGCGTGACACCGTAAACAAAGCAATTTTCGAATGAGTTGATAATAAGATGCTAGCTTTTCCCCGTTTTTTTTTTCGAATGCTACTCATGTTTGTTGATCGACGATGAGCGGCATCTATTCAAACCAAATTTCGTTGTTCAATTGCAAACTGTCAGTTTATTTTTCGAAAATACACGTGTGATTACAAAAAAATTAGTTAAATCTGCTTTATTAAAACGCAAAAAAAATACAAATCACATCCTATGAAAATATAAGAAGAAAAACGAACGAAGACATGCATACAAATCTCTTTTTTCTACACACAAACAATTTTTGTGTTATCGACTGAGTCTCTGTTATGTTATGCGAATCCACTACCACCTGTATTGAGCATATGTGGTAGTATTGGTCTTGGTGCATGAGGTTGAGTAAATGGTGACGGGCTCATTGGTGAGCTGCTCGTAAGATGAAGTGGTGCTGGGTTGCCTAACGTAGTTGTCGTTGGTGAACCTATCGAACTTGTGCTAGCTAGTGGCCTATGGGAACATAGCTATATAGTAACTTATTTCGATGTACAAATATATCGTTCTTACCGAAGTGGAATGCCTCGTACCGGCCCACGCACTATTGGATTGTGAACAGGAGCAGTTAAATTGGTTGAACTTGGTACGACGGTTCCAACAGGTCCCGTTGGAAACTGAGATGAGGTAGAAGAAATCGGTGCTAATTTTACACCTCGAGAATTTCTTGAATGAAAACGATCTGAGGGAGTCACTCCAGGCGCTTGGCCATCGCCTTTGGTTGAGCCCTTAACAGCAGTACGACTGACACGTCTTTTTTCTGTTCCGCCACCACCACCTCGGCAATATCTGTATAGAAGAACTGCAGCAATCAGAGCAGCCAATAGTATTAAAAAGCCAACTATTCCAACCACCAAACCAACAATGAGTCCAGTACGGTTTGAATCGGAGCTATTTTGATCACTAGATTGAAGACCGGAACCGCCCTACAAAATGACAGAATAAATCATAGAAGAACGTAGACGATATGGAACAATACGAATACGCCCTATTACTAATGTTTCTATAGATTATGTTAGTAGGGTAAGGTGTCGGTAAGGGTTGAGTGGAAAGAAAATACACACGCAAAATTAATTAGGTGAAGAAACCAACAAATGAATATGCTGTTATCAAAATTCAATATATTATGTTTCTGAAATGTTACTGATAACTGTTCACATTCTACCTGTGCGCTACCACTTACGTTCGTGCTACTCGTATTGGATACTGATGCGGAAGTTGTTGTTGTTGTCGTTCCGTTACCTCCTGTAGCAGCGGTGGTAGCAGTAGTTGTTGTCGTTCCGTTACCTCCTGCAGCAGCGGTGGTAGCAGTAGTTGTTGTTGTTCCATTACCTCCTGTAGCAGCGGTGGTAGCAGTAGTTGTTGTCGTTCCGTTACCTCCTGTAGCAGCGGTGGTAGCAGTAGTTGTTGTTGTTCCATTACCTCCTGTAGCAGCGGTGGTAGTAGTATTTGTTGTTGTTCCGTTACCTCCTGTAGCAGCGGTGGTAGTAGTATTTGTTGTTGTTCCGTTACCTCCTGTAGCAGCGGTGGTAGTTGTTGTTGTTGTCGTTGTAGTAGTATTTGTTGAAGTCTACATATACGATTGAGTAGTAAAAAGCGAAAGAATCTTAAAATTGCGTTTCATATATAGCCGACAACATGGGAGAGATATGTAGACACGTTTCCATTTTGTTTTGTTTTTCGAAAACAAGTGAAAAGAAGTACAGTGAGACATAACATGCAAAGATGTATAAGAAACCGAGAAATTTTAGAAGATTTAGGCGCAGATAGAAATATGGCAACATTAAAGTGATTAAATAGACATGCAAAGTACAATCATAGTCGTTTTCGCGATATATTCCCTTTGTGTTAGACTTACTAAGAAAGTTCTATCAAAAACTTTTGGGTAAAAGTGTAACATACCGTGTTAGAACACAATCCATTTGAAAAACTGGCGCTACTTGGGCAAGTGGCAACTGTTAGATTTCTAAAGCTAGCTGTATCCGCTTCATTTGCACATGGATACGAATCTGTAATAGACATTCCCTGGGCTTGGTATAACTGCTTTAAATTGATTGAACTGCAATTACAATTGAGTTGAATGTTAGTAGCCGCATCAAGGCTGGTGAGTATACTACTCAATGTTTGGAAGTCATTACATAAACCGTATGCGATCACTGTAGAGTCATCAATGATAACCGTACTGTCTGTCACAGATTCGGGAAGCATAATAGTTGCTGTTGAGCTTGTTTGATTGACCAGCGTTGAATTTTGCGGGTTAAGAATATTCGTGACATTTATTGGATTGTTATCCAGATTGATAGTTATATTTTTTCGTGTATAGATGAAGAAATCAAGGTAAGTGATGGAGTTATTTCGTAGATCGAGATAATTCAAAGAAGTCGGTGTTGGAGTAAGAACCGAATACGGTATCATTGTTAACATATTTGACGACAAGTCTAATGATGTCAAGTTTTTGAAATTACCGTTCGAGATGCTGACAGACGTTAACATATTGTGTGATAACGATACTTTGGTAAAGTAGTCGAGACACGGAAATGTTGCGTCGCTGAGTGCTGTAAATGCTTGGTAACTTAAATCAATTTGTCGAGATGGTAAGGAGCAGAGATAAGTCGGAAGTGACGAAGCTGCCGGCATGAATGTCACACGAGTCACGCTACTCATCGATGTGTTTGAGAGTAATGCAGCAGGTATCCGAGATGCGTTGTTGGATGTATCGATGGTACATTGAATATTCACTGTAGTCAGATTTGTAAAAGTAAAGAAACACGTGCCAGGATTCATATCGACAGTTGCATAATGTGGATAAGCCGACTAAAATTTACCAAGCGAAACAAGAACGTGCTGAATTAGACATTGGAGAACTAAGAAAACCTACCGCGTTGAATGATGGTGCTGACATATTGGTTTTAACTGTAAGTGCAGTCTCGCCACTTTCGTTTATTCTGCAAAATCGAGGATATGTTTGAGTAAACGGAGCAGTGGAAATCCTATCGAATAAAGAATTGGCACAGGAAGAATTGAAGAGTCTTGTGTATGTATTGTTTTGCGAGCTATTGGAACACATGGTATTCAGTACTGGATAAATGTTACTACCGCTTAGAACAGGCGTGGCTTGCTTCAAGAAATAAAGCTGAGCGCAACTGCAATCAATTACCGTCGTGCCAAAGTCGAGAAAGCCGAGTTTTTTGGTAAAATACGGTTCCGGTGGGTTGTCATTATCTTCGAAATACCATTGAATAACTTCGTCACATTGATTATACATTTCATAGACAACATCGGTAAAGTTTATTGTTGGCCCATTGCCGGTTAACGACACTTTCCCTGTCATACTTCGAGTAGTAATCGAAGAGTAAAGATATTTATTGGTAATTGAAGTGATTTGATTGTAGCTGAAATCGGCATTTGTCTTCACGTCCAAAGTCCACAACTCAACAGCTGTTAGTTGATTGTAAGCAAAATTGATAATCTCCAATGTTGAAATATCAGAAAAAGCATTGGCTGGTACCTCCGTAAGGTTATTATGTTGAAAGTAAAGATTCTTTAAAGTTGGTGTGTTGTATATCAAATATGATGGAAACATAGTGATTTGATTGTAACTAAGGTCCAGTGTAACTAAACTTGAAAAGCATTCACTCAAATATCCCGTTGGATCGACGTTGTTAATTTGATTATTTGCAAAAATAACTGTCTAGAATAAGCGAGCAAAGTATACGACGCAGAAGTATTCAGTTTACTTACTATCAAATTTGGCATCATACAAATATTTGGAGGTATGGATGTAAATGGACCTTGTAGGAACTGACTGGCATTTGCGGGATTTGGTAAGCCTTGTGCAATGAATACGGTAATGTTTTCCAATTGATCGCTAGTAAAATTGGACAGTTGAAGCATTGGATTACTGACATTTTGTGGACATGTGAACGTCATCGTTTGTCCAATGATAGTTTTATTACATTCATGTGTGCCTAAACATGTCTATGTGGTGGAAGAAGAAAGTAGTTTAATCGATTGAAAAGCGCGGAAGAAATGAAATACTTACTTGCCATAAGAATGGCATTATCAACAAAATGAAAGCGTAATTCATTGTGTTTTCTCGTCTATTCGATTGTCTTTTACATAATACAAATGTTCACCGGATAGCAAAATCTAGAATTAATCAGCAAAGACTCATGTCGATCTTTGTCGAGAAGGAAAACGAATTAATATACAGTTTTTATTTCTCAAAAGGATTTGAAAATGACTAGTCATGATTGATTGACAGGAGCAATCTTTTGAAACGTAGTCTGCAATTATTTAAATACATGTATGATGCATTCAATTTCATACAAGTTTAAAAAAAGAAAAAAAAAGCCGAAGGAGGGGGAAAGAGAAAGAAAATTACGCTTCTAGCAACAACCATGGAGACGATCGCGATTCTTCGATTACGTTTAGTTTGTTTTCAAATGTGTATCTCACACGGCAACGAACTATGATGAAGCAACCGTCAGATATGCTCTCTTGGTTCCTAAGAATGTATCATTTGAAACTGTTGCCGTTGAAATGATTAATAATCGTATCTAACGAGAAAAAATGTCCTGTTTTTTGTTGTCTTTGGAATTTTAAGTATATTTGTACTTTCTCTCTCTACTCCAGTTGGCTATGTCAATAATTAAGTTTGCTTTCAAGCAAAATTTCCAATGAGTTCAAAGACCATACTCTGTTGAAATTTCATTAAGCAACATCCATTGCGCTTCATCAGAGGCAGCGGATGAATGCATGGAAAAACAGTGCAGTGTGAATTGTATCACGAATTGGCTTTACATGATGATACTTACTTGAACAAGAAGCAAAATAATTCGAAACAACATATTTTCGTCATAACAAGAGAATAACATTTTTCAGAACACATGGAAACTAAATAGTCACAGAAGTCATGACAGCAAAAACATTCCTACGTTTGTTTGTTCTCGCACTCATCATCTAATACCTTTCTTTAGGAAAAAAATGCCTCTCGTGTATAGAAGTGTGCTTTTTGAAGAAAAAAAAAAGAATTTCTTTTGTTGTTACCGTTCGAAACATCGATTTTTACTCTCGATTTGTTATCTAAGATAAATAAAAAGAAAGAATGCGACCAAGTACAATTAAATTGATCAATTTGCCGGAATCTTGAACGAAGCACGCTTCTACTCGTAATTTTCTAGTTCAGCTCCACCTCTCTCGAACGATTTCATTCATATGAAACAATGAAAAACACAGTATACAAAATTCCAACTGAAACACATAATCAGATTAAACAATAATAGAAGATCGTACAATAATAATAATAAGAAAGAAGTCCTAGAATTGACATGCTTGTTTACATATATGTAAATAAGTTCGTCCGTGATTTCGCTGGAATAATAATACATCAAGATGCATTCAATCAAGGAAATTTGTAGAATTCCATTAACGTATCAGATAAGCTCAGCGTTCAGACGTTCGTTTCGTTTCTTTAGCAACCATAGTTAACTTTTTATTGTGTAAACGTATCATTGCTTTCAATCCCACCGTTAGTGTGATGACGAACTATCTGAACACTACTTAGAATTTTATCTCTATAAACTGAAATATGCCATCAGTCCGTCCTTCTACATCCTTCAGGCTCAGGTAAATAACAAATTATTGACACAATGTAGAAGAATAGGTTATTCATCCTTTCTCACATTATTCTCGCTTAATTTTACCAGTCTGCTGCGTATGTGCGTGTTTTTTCACTTTCTAATTGCATGATGTTAGTGTGTTGTTTACGAGAACGAGTTATTTATCGATATAAGTAGGAGTATAAACAGTGGCAAAAAACAAGAAAGTGAATACAGGTAAGAATCATTCCTATTCGTATATTATGCACGATCAATGGTATTTCGGAGTATGTTAATTACGTCGTTAGATTTCATTTCGACGAGTACGAGCTGTTTTTCTTTAGAGTGAACAGATTCCAGATGGACTGTATTTGATCGAAGTTCTCCAGTCGGGCAAATTTGTCACGTTTTCACCGGAACGTTCGACATTAGTGCAGCAAGATCAAAATCTTGAAGTAAATGTACAGATTGTTTACTAATTCAAAACTTTGTTTCCCTTTCAAAATGCAATAGAACGATGGTGAATCACAAATCTTTGAAATTCAGCATATTGGCTACCGAGATTTTATCATTCGACATCATGTAACCGGTTTTGTGCTTACTGTTCATAAGTACTTATTTCTCGCCTCATTTACACACAGTGGAAATTGATTTTTTTTGTTTAATAGCGGTTCACCATCACCGTGTGCGCCAGTTGTACTTTGCCGTTATTTAGGAGCTCGTACACCATATCAAACAGTCAATTTCGAACGATCGAATGATCAATCAAATGACATGTTAATATACATTAAACATACACGTATGGTCCTTGATATCGATGGTGGGAGTCAAAATTCGAACGCTCGTCTCCTTCAAGTTCCATTGAAAAAACACAATGCCGATCAGACCGCTCAACGATTTCGTTTACATCGTGTTAGTGAGAAAATCTCGCAGCAATTAACGCCGACAATTCCAACTGAATTCTTTCGTTAATTTGCAACTTTTCTTTTTTCGCACTGTCAGATGAATACGTTGTTAAATATCCTGGTGCTTGATGTATTTTAATTTTTATAAGAAAAAAAAAAGAGAAGAAAAGATGAAAAGAAACTACTTGTTCGATTAAGCTTTATTAATAATGAAGACATCGTTGGGTTTCACTTGTTGTTTGCCTATACCTGGAAGGAATTCAGATGAATACTTAAATGGTAAACTACCTTTTGTTTGCTGTTTTGTGTTCATGTTTGATGGTGGCCGACTAGTAACTGTAACTCGTCGAATGGTTTCGTCACTTGTCGTCGAGGATGTTGATGATGAAGACGAAGATGATGACAGAGATGAATGTGATTCTTGTTTTTTCGTTGGGCTGGCTTTCTTCTCGGAATTCGTTGTTGGCTCGTCTTGACTTGCTCGTTTCGAAGTCTTCTGTGAAGGACGATGATTGAACAAACGACTCCAACTTAAATTCTGCATGTAGGAATCGAACGATGACGAATTGTAAAGATTCGGATGGAGTGGTTGACGATGCTTTCCTTTTGGTTTGCTTTTGCTCATGTAAGGAACGATCGCGTAATTGAATGGTTGAGGAGGTAAAGCAGCACGTGTTGAAGGAGGAGGATTACGATATGGTGATGGACCATAGTAGGGAGACTTTTGTGTAAGTACCAACTGGTCTTTGGCAGGAAGAGCTTGATGAGGCATACGGATTTGAGGCATCATTGGTGACACTTGCTGATATGGTACGGCCATTACCAAACAGTTCGGAGGTAATGGAGTTCCATTGATAATAGCTTGGACGGCTTGAGACATCGCCGCTTGAATGTAAGGAGTAGGCGTTGGGTACGGATAGTTCATAGTTAGTTGAGAGTGCAATTCAAATGAATGAGAAAGTTCTTCGATCTTTCGTTGTCTGTTTTATGTGTTCACACGTTTTTTAAACACCTCTGAAATGAGAAAATGTCCAATAGATATTGAAATGTGTTCTATACCTTTTTTAAAATTCTCATCATGATCAACGCAAGGCTGCGATTTAATCTCTCACCCTCAAACTTGTCAATGTACAGTGGACAACTATCCCTCTCTCCTACAACTATAGCGAATCTCAACGTCGTAGATCTACGAATATCAACGAGAAAAAAAGAATCTATCGAAAGCATTTGGAACTCTTTTTTCCTTTACTTCAGGTATTCTCCCTATTCAATGAACGATAGGTCATGCCTCATTTCCTTCGCTTAAGTGTACGTACACCCTACCTTGACTTCTCTCGTTCTTTCTTGCGCTTCTGCTCATGTATTCAGTTAACCTTCGAGAAATTTTTCTTTTCTTTCGATAATTGTTATCTATCATAACGTTGAAAATTGCACCGAACGGCAATCGAATAACGTTCATATATAAAAAAAAAAAACAGTATCTTGTCATCACCATTCGTATGACGTGAAATCTTGATAGAGAATGCGTATGAACAACTATATGTACATATTAATTAGATATCAGATGTGTCATTTCGAAAAATCAAAAACGACGTAACAGTTGCTGATGGTTTCGATATATTCTTCCAAAAGAAACGCTTCTAACGTCTAGAACATATTTCTTTTTGTTCTCGATCGAGGCATCTAGAGAAAAAAGAACGCTGAAGAGTCTTGAGCCACCCTCATTGTCTCTTGGGAAGCATTCTTCGACGCAGAGTAAAAACAAAACTCGACAGTCTCAGACCCATGATGAATTACATCAAACAACGTTTGTCATTAGGAGATCTTTCCGATGATTGCAACAGTCAAATCAACAATACACCGAAAACATCGGTTCTTTCGATATCAGAATCGAAGTTTCCTTCAGCTAAGAAATCGAAAATATTGTTTATCATTGATGAACCTTATGTCGACTGGTAAACGAGAATGAATGGCACGTTGTTTTTGTATCTATGTTTTGCTATCTTAGGAAAAAATATTTCAAAGGCAGAAAAATTTTTGCCGATTACGACATTCGAATTGAACAGGTTTTATTTTATGTTTAAATGTTGTTCGTGTGAGAGACGTATTTTTGAATATAATCTAATCTATGTCAAACTTTTTCAGGCGACTTTTAAAGAAATCAACTTATCTGCGTATTCAAATGGTGGAATACTGATCAATGTCACTGCGTATCGAAAAGGAATACCTATTGTTCGGTACGAAATGAAACCTCGAACTTCTTTATCTATGAAATACTTGCATGAAGATCATTCCATCCGGATTTCGTCCTCGTTCGACAGTATGTCAAAGACGTGAATGTTAATTGGATCAGTATTATTCTCGGCATGCAGTATGGAGCGGTACCAAGTGTTAATTCAATGAAAGCTCTATATAACTTTCAAGATAAACCTTGGATTGTATGCTTTTGTATTTGTTTTCCTTGTGGATATTCTTTTGTTTTGAAATCAGTATGCAGAATTACGGCAAATTCAGCGACGACTCGGCGAAGAACAGTTTCCATTGATTAATCAAGCTTATTATCCAAATTATCGCAAAATGGTAAAATAGATTTAATAAGTTACATGTGATTGTCTTTTCTTTTGTAGTTTATTTCACCACCACATCCATCCGTGATTAAAATTGGACAAGCACATCAAGGCTTAGGAAAAGTATTTGAGCTTAAAAGGCAACTATTTAAATGTTTGTACCGTTTTCAATGTAGATTTTGGTCAAAAACACGGCGGACTATCATAAAATAATGAGCATCATTGAAATGAGTCAATGCTATTCAACAATTGAACCATATATCTCTGGTCGATGTGATATTTTATTACAGAAGATCGGTCAACATTACAAAGCATTAAGGTACCCTTGATTATAATGAGAATTTCACAAAATAGAGAGAAGTGTGAAGACCAATATTAGCGAATGTCGAGAGAATACTCAAATAAGACTAAGGTAACGAAGAAAATATCGAATGTCAAGTATGAACTCATTAGTAATCGTTGACAGGATGTGTGGATGTGTAAATTATTCAGTAGGTTACTTTCTAATTAACATCATTCTTCATTTAGACGAAGATCATTATCGAATAATTGGAAAGCGAATATCGGTTCGTGTATTATCGAAGAAATTCCATTGACCGAAAGGTTCGAATTGACAAAACGCCTTTCCATTTTCGATCTTTGTGTTCAAGGTATCGTTTATGGCTTGACGAAGTCAGTCAACTATTTGGCGGACTGGATCTATGTGCGATTGAATTAGTTCAAGCAAATGATGGAAGAGAATATATCATTCAGGTGAATGATTGTACGATGCAATTGATCGGCGAAGATCAAGAAACTGATCATCAACGAATTGCTGATTTAATCTTACATAAAATGGAAATCTTCTGTCGACCGAACGAACAAATGACGCTTTTAACGTAGATTACAAAACTGTTCTTAGCAATCTTGACTTTTGTCTGTTTGTTCAAAGGCGAGCACCAAGTTTGATTCAATTGCCTATATTTTTATCGGATTATGAACAAAAGCACTTTTCAAATGAACATGTTCGTTGGCGGTCACATCGAAAACATGTATAAACGACCAGTTTTCTTTTGCGTGTATTTAATATTTGGATATTTAGAAGATCAACCGTCTAAGTAGCTTCAGACAAGCAGTTTCGAACTTATTCAATCAAATGTATGTGTCGTTCTACGTCTACCTTTAGTTTATTCGAAATGAGATTTTTGTTTTAGAATGACCTGAAGCAAAACTGGACTCATTTGTGTGCTATTTTCGAGAGAGAAAAAAAACGCGTCAAATGTCGATTAGATTGTCATTTCATAATAAAACGAACATTGATTAAAATACTTCCTTTTGCTTTTTTGTCGAACACATTCTTTCGTTGTAATACGAAAGGTAATAAATCTTATTTTTTTGCATCAAATTGTACGCGTTTACGATGTTTACTACACATGTGTATACGAGATATTATGCTACGTTTCATTGAGGGCAAAGTGCAGTCAACGGAAAAAGTAAAGTAACTTTTTTTTCTCTTCTTTTAGTATTGACTATAGACTATACGTACATATATGTGTATAAAAGTCGCAAGCACACCCCCTTCGATCACTTCTTTCTCTCTCTCTGATTTATTTATTCGTTTGTATGATTCGAACGAAATAACAGTAGTGTGTTGCTGACACTGATTTTATATTTTTCTGTTCGATCTGAAAGAAAAAGCGCGTGCAAGCGTTTCGATTGAATAACTTACATTTTTATTTCGATTTCAGCCGGTTACTATGTTGTCAAAATCTTCGCGCATATGTCGATCGTACCGAGTCATACCCTTATCCATAATCAATGCTTCGTCACGTGCTTCTTCAACAGCAGTCAAAGTTGACAATTGTCCAGTAAAATTAACGCAAAGCTATTACCATCATGCATCAAGTGTACCTTTGTTGTATCATACAGTTGGACAACATTTGAATATTTTAGCTGAGGAATACCCCAATCATCGATGTTATACATTCAAAGGTGAAGGCAATAAATCTTACACGTACAAATCATTCCTCGATGAAGTCGATAGTTTAGCGACGCGTTTAATCGAATTGGGCTTCGAGAAAAACGACCGGTTGGCTGTCTGGCTACCGAATACATCTGAGAACTGTGCATTGACGTATGCAGCATCGAGAGTTGGTGTCATTAAAGTAAGTAAAGCTTGGAATAAGGACGCAGTTTATTGTTCATATTAAGGTAAATATTAATCCTGCATATATGGGACGAGAATTACTCTATTGTTTGAACAAAGTCGCTTGCAAGGGTTTAGTGATGCGACCCAATGTAAAAATTATTGACTGTATTAAAATAATCAATACATTAATTCCTGAACTTAGTGAAACAAAAGGCGAGATCAATTCGAAATCGATCCCATCATTGAAACATATTATTCTAACGCCAGGCGATAACGGACAAACAGTAACTACACCACCGGGTATGCATTCTTATACTGATCTCATACGTAAAGGTGCCAACGGCAAACGCGATGCATTACAAGCAAGTCAGGCACACTTAGATGGTGATACACCACTCTCGATTTTTTATACTTCGGGTACGACAGGACAACCGAAAGCTGCTACTTTAACAAATTTTAATATGTAAGTTCGTTTAGAGAAAAGCTTCCATTTTGTTTCTCTGCACAAATCATTTTCTCTAGGCTTAATAATAACTTTCATCTATGCTATACTTATCCTGAACTAATGAGCCGGGTTTGCTGTCCTATACCCACCTTTCACATATTCGGCGAAATTGCGGGAACCTTGAATATCAATGTTCCGAAATATTTTACTGCATTTTCAAGTATATTACCAGATACAGTGGAAACTATGCGAACTGTCCAGGACGAAAAATGTACAGCGTTGATTGGCGCGCCGATTATTTTTCGAGACATACTTGCACATCCAAGAAGAAAAGAATTCGATATGAGTTCTCTTCTTTTCGGCATTTTAGGTGCCGCACCTGTCAATCCGGCGTTAATCGAGCAATTGGAGCGTGAAATTCCGATTAAGACAATTTCACAAGGATTCGGTCAAACGGAAAATGCTGCATCGATGGCAATGAGTGTATTTGCTGAAAATGACAAACAACGGCGGTATTCATCAGTTGGAAAAGCTCTACCACGACTTGAAATGAAAATAGCAGATGCAAACGGAAAAATTTTACCTGTCGGTCAAGAGGGAGAGATTTGCGCGCGAGGTTTCAACATAATGAGAGGTAAACTAGATTATTTCATGTAGTTTTTAAAATTTCATTCGTTCGATCTTAGGCTACTACAATGATGACGAGAAAACACGTGAAACAATCACTCCGACTGGCTGGCTACGAACCGGCGATTTAGGTGTTATGGATGACCAAGGTTATGTTTATTATCGTTCACGTCAGAAAGAAATGGTTATCGTTGGTGGAATCAATGTTTATCCAGTTGAGGTTGAAAACTTTCTCCTAGAGCATCCAAGCATTGCCGAGGCACAAGTCTTCGGTATGCCTGATAAACGCTATGGTGAAGTACTCTGTGCATGGGTTAAACCAAAGGCAGGAATGAAAATTGATAATGTGGAAGAAGTGAAAAATTTTCTTGCATCAAAAGTGGCTTTCTTCAAAGTACCAAAATACGTGAAAATTGTCGAATCATTTGCAGCTTTTACCACGCCAACTGGCAAAGTACAAAAGTTTAAATTGGCTGAAGCAATGGCGAAGGAAGCTCCAGTAACAGCATAATAGACTGTGTCAGTCTCTTTTCTTTTACGTGTTTTTATAATATTTTATAATAAAAAAAAGAAAAAACAAAGCAGAATAAATGAGGAAAAAAAAGGGGTCTATCATCCACACATTCGCACTGTCGTTCTTATCGGTTGTTTCGTTCTTTTCGAATATCTTATCTTTCTTCTACGGTAACACTCGTTGTTTGTTGTGCTCTATCGTATATCTTTTATTTTTTCGAAAGTATATAGATATCGTTGCGCATTTACAGATTCTTCACTCTGTGACCAACCGAGAAGAACATTTCATTCTAGACTAGTTTTCTATCCATCGCTATGTCGACGACGGCAACAATAACACCCGTATTCGATCAAACTGTTGCTGCAACTTATGTCAATCTTGCAGACGAACGTGTTGGCACTCAAATCGTGTCTGTTTCGGATGAATTCTTTGCGGCAGCTGTTCGTATGCTCGATCCGAAACCAGCTGTTTTTCACCCTGGACGATTCGACGATCATGGTCAATACATGGAAGGATGGGAAAGTCGACGAAAGCGTGTCGCAGGCTACGACTGGTGCATAGTACAATTAGGTTTACCTGGAAAAATTGTCGGTGTTGACATTGATACTAGTCATTTTACTGGAAATTATCCTGTTGCTGCTTCTCTTGATGCATGTTACGTTAAAAATGGAGAAAAGCCGGATCATTGGGAAGAGGTTTTACCTGCCGTTACCTTGGGTCCAAGCGCTCATCATTATCATAGTATTCAAGTTAAAGGAAATTGGACACATGTCCGTTTGAATATTTATCCAGACGGTGGAATAGCTCGACTTCGTGTTTATGGCATCGTTCAAGTTCCAGACGATCGACTAAAACAAGAAATTGATTTATTAGCGATTGAAAATGGTGGTCGCGCGATTGCTGCAAGTGACGAACATTATGGAAATCCTTGGGCATTGTTACGTCCCGGACGCGGTATTAACATGGGCGACGGTTGGGAAACTCGGCGACGACGTACACCAGGCAATGAATGGTGTATACTAGCATTAGGCAAATGTGGACGAGTATCACGTATTATAGTTGATACTGCGCATTACAAAGGAAATTATCCCGATCGATGTATTATCCAAGCAGCGAATGCAACGATCGATCATAGTAAATCCTTAGTCACTCAATCGATGTTTTGGCAAACGTTATTACCCGAACAGAAATTATCAATGGATGCTATTCATACTTATGAAAAGGATCAATTGAACGATTTAGGTCCAATAACTCATATACGAGTAAATATTATACCCGACGGTGGCCTGTCGCGTGTCCGTCTCATAGGACGAGCTGAATGAGATAGTCAAGAGATCGATATAGTTTCAATTTCGTGATCATTTAGATTTCTTCCGTAATATTGTTTTATCATAATAAATAGTCATTACGTTCGCATGAATCATCGATCATACACATACGAATTGAATTATAGCTGTTATTGTGAATCATTAAATAAATATGTCGATAAGCTAGGCTACTCCATATTTTCATATACAGTTAATTATTATTGCAAAAGATGAAATGAGTCACATAAATATATTGGCATATATCCTCCTTGTAGCCAAAAAGAGAAAACATTAAAAAAATCAGCTTTATGACTCATCTGAACGTATGAGTTGTGTATTGTGCAATACCGAACGCGTAAATAGACAGTCAACGTCTCATTTCATATAGCAAAGCTGTGTCGACAGAAATCGATTGTAGATTATTCATCGGTAAAAAATGACGGACGAATACCTTCCAGCCTTAGATCTGGGCGAAGTAAATGGTGAGGTTGAAGAAAGGGAACCATCAGTGACTAATAAAGGTACTGACTGATAAAACTGAGTGTTGCTTCTGATCAACTGCTTCTATCGAATTATTTAGATGACCAGGAAACATCAATTGTTAATGAAAACGGTTACGAGTCGGAATGTAGCTCAAGTTCACGTAGTGAACACGACATAGCATCCGCAGCTTTGGAAGTGGAAGCAGATGCATTTACAAGATTTATCGAGCGACAACGTATGGAAGTCATGTTTGAATTACGCCGTTTACGTTTAGGCGAACGGCCAGTAACAGGTCAACCTAATCGAGAACGGATCGAGACATTTCTCAATAATATTCAAGACCATCAACAAGATGCTCGAGTACCAGCTGAACGACCGCCAGTGCCTAGTGCACGTATAGCTGATATCAATTCATTAGCAGATCGTCGTTGTGTTTCGCTTGCTTTGAGTAGTGCTGCATTTCGGCAAGATCTGGAAAATGCTGTGCGCCAGTCTATTCGCACAGTTCCAACTCCAGTTGTTGTTCAACAACAGCCGCGTCCACAAGTTGCGCCAACTGGTCCTGTTCAACAGCCACGTTCACAGGTGACACCAATTGTCCCTTCAACCCCTACACCACAAGTTCAACCTTCTCATAATACACTCAACGTTGAAAGGTATTTTGTGTGAAATACTCCTTTATTTCATATCGTTGCTTCCTATTCTAGACGCGAGCGAGAAATCGATGCTTGGCAAGCTATTACTCAAATGCAACGTGAGCGAATTATTGTCGAAATTAGTGACTTAGTCCATCGCCAATTGGTGACAAGTGCTCTAGAGAGTGACTTTCGTCGACATTTAGAACAAAATGTCCTGGTAATCTTTCGTACATTTCCTACATGTTTAAAATTTATTCGAAATTTTCGATTGACAGAATCATATTGCGCGCGATGCACCTGCTCCGCAAGAACAATTGACAATGCCACAAGTTGCTCCGCAGCTTCGAACAACTGCTACAGCTGCTGTCGCACAAGCTGTAAGTATTTCCTTTGAATATCAACACGCTCGTATCTTTTCCTAAATTTATAGTCTGCTTCAAATATCGATGCATTATCTACTCGTCTTGATTCTATGCAACAAATGCTTCAAATGATGTTCACTATGCAAATGGACATGCAACGATCATTACGTCAAGAAGTCGCCAGTGCTTTAGCTCAGCAGACTACTACAACAACGAATGCATCAACTGAACCTATGGCTTCGGGTCGCTGTACAATTTGTTTAACTGCTACTGCTGACACTGTTCTTTATCGTTGCGGCCATCTTTGCGTTTGTTATATGTGTGGATTACAGCTGCAACAACAAGCATCCGTTCATGGCATTAAATGTCCTGTATGTCGAGCTCCAGTCGACGATATTCTTCGTGTGTACCGAAGTGGTCGTGATGGAGAATAAATCTCTCGAAAACAAACACTCGATTTCCTTTTCTTGCACAAATAAAACGACATAAAAATGCAACAAAAATAAACGATCATCTTATGCATCTTAGAAAGCGAAATCACCAGCTTGTCTTTGTTAGAGAAAAGGATGGTATACGGTTCCTGTGCAGCAAGAATCAAGCTCGACTCGAGCGACTATACAAATGAAAGACTTTCTAACAAAAACGTCTCGTGAAATCGTTTTTCTAAGCGCTTTGTTAAGCATTTATTCGGCCATAGGATAGTTCTAAAATATACATGACCAAAATGGTTTGCGTTGTTATTCTACATCTCGTGCCGTTCTTGAGAAATGTTGATTAACTACAGTAAAGACAGAAGATGTTTTCAAAAAGTCGAAATCAATTAATTTCGAACATACAGTATTGTAAATTTTTGAGATATTTTATCAATTCTTTGTCATTGTCGAGAAGTATTCCATCGGCTTGTGGCTCATCTTCGTCCGTAAAACTATTGTTTACAACTAAATATCCCACGTTATCATTTTCTTGTTCGTCATCATGAATTGCTTGTTCTCGTGCTAATTCGTCTAAAAGACGATTGGCAGTTGTGATAAGTTTCTCCTGTTTCTCATCGACGTCTAAATCAATGTTCACATTGAACGAATTTGAAGAAAAAACTCTAAATTCGATCTTACTGTAGTCGATCGGCGTTGCCAAAACCAACGAGCAAGTACAAAAGATTGCCAGCAGACCGAGTGAAAAGAAATACATTGTTTAGCTTTCGTTCGAACACAGATAGATATGTGCAATATTAAAATGAGACTTTTTATATTCTATATCTGAAATGACAATCCCATGTGTGTCAAAAACAGAAGAGAAGCACTCAGACAAAGAAAAACGAGTGTCATGCGCTGATGCGTCGTTCTCTTAATGAAGATATTCCGTTTATTTCTTTTGCCCTCACATATTGCATCTTTTGACGAGCACCAGAGTCTATGCTTGAACTTCTTGACAAAGATACCATCGTCATTCGAGTTTATCTTATTTATAAATTCTGCTATATATTAATGAAAGCTAGTTATTTATATCGTGCATGATTCTCCTTTTGATTATCCATCATCGTTTCTGTTTATTTTCGAGAATTTTTGTCGTTCGATAAGTTTTATACGCCTTCAAACTGAAAACTAAAAATATATAATGACTTCCTGGAGGCAATGAACATTCGAGCACGGATATAATCGTTATACAATTGGCATAATTCCATAAATGCGTCAAATATAGTGTTTAACTGAATCATGTTTAGACCTTATCCTAAAGTAGGTGGAGATGCGTGGTACTCGTTTTTCTAATGATATGTATCGGTATCATTCTCGTTCAATTTGTGTACCTGTACGGCAGACGTTGTTTGGAGAATGATATAACGTCATTATGTGATCAAACTTTTTAGTTAATCTTATAATAGACCTTGCAGCTAACCTTGTCGTGTCCACCTTTCTTTTAATTATCTTGATAGCATAGAAATACGTCGAATAAAAACTATTTCGAGTATCATTAGACATTGAAGTTCGAATTACCGTTCTTCTAATTCATATTAGACAGTTCACATTTAAAGCGAAATTATAAACGAAATAGAAAACTTCGCATAAACATACTTACACGAAGAACATCGTACAAGTTGCTCACAGTGACTGATCAAAATAGTCGGGGAAAAACAATCCAATCAACATAAGCAAATCATATGGCTGTCACCGTTACATTCATCTAGATCTACCTCATACAATCGTAACCCGTAGATAAGTTCAATCCGACTATTCAAACGCTCACTTGAGCCAGACCATTTATTCGATCTTTCAGAAGATGACGGCACTGTCCCTCACCAGACTACTCGAACTCATTCGTTTATTTGTTTCAAATGAACCGAAAACATCCCTGTCTATAAATATGATCAACACTGTTCTACATCATTGTATCCGGTGGAAGCCACTACTCAATTTATTTTCTTTAAACATAAACTTTAATATTTATTCTTCACTGTTTCGTTAATCAAGAAATATATTGTCCTCGTTGCTTTTAATAATACGCTACACAGAGAGAGTCCGATGACTCATTTCTTACGTTTAAAATAACCAATTAAGCGCGAGAATGAATAGCGTTGATTATTGCGCCAATATTAAAGACTTAGTCGAAAGAAATTCTACTGAATTATATTATATTGAAATCGACCATCCTTCCAAAGTGAGAGTCCTAATGAATTTTATTATTTGACACCTCTACTACCTACCGATTGGACGAAAAATCCGCTATATAAAAAACTGAACTCATTCGCTATCATTCTTATTTATTTTGGTTTACATTTAGTAAATTCTAAGTGGAAAATTTCCAATTGCATCTCATTGAACTCAACAATGTCTTCTGCAGATAATGGAACGGTTAACAACACAGGCAAAACTGACGAGTACATCAAACTTCGGGTTGTCGGACAAGACAATAGTTCGTGACAAAGTCCATTTTTTGACAGTTGGATGCTTTTTCTTTGCATATATAGGTGAAGTTCATTTCAAGGTTAAGATGACAACGTCAATGGGTAAACTGAAAAAATCTTATGCAGAACGACAAGGTAATTCATTTCTCCCTGACATATTTTTATTTTATCATCTTCTTTGATTAGGTGTACCGATCAATAGTTTACGGTAAATTGTTTCTAGTTGTATATACGATCAATCGACGATTTTATATTCAGATTTCTCTTTGACGGTAAGCGCATCAATGACGAGGAAACTCCGAAATTGTTAGAAATGGAAGACAACGATACAATCGATGTCTATCAAGAACAAGTAGGATATAATATTCATTGTATAGGATTATGCCATACAATCTTCTTCTTCAGGTTGGCGGTTCGGTTTAAAAGAAGCATCCGATGAACTACTTTGTCATCATTTTTCTTTTTCCATTGTTGTTGTTTTGTATGTACCTGTGAGGAAGAGTTGAATCCAGCATTTGTTTGAAACGAGAATAACTTGTATGTTGGTTGTTTTATTAATAAAATTTTATATCTCTTTGTTACAATGAAAATAACAAAACTGAGCAATGAATAATTGATGGTCTCTTTGCATTTCTCTTAGATTAAGAGGACTAATGAATACACCGAAACGGTAAGATTAGACTGTTTTGTACTATTTGTTGTATCATGTTCCATCTTAAGGTTACTGTCAGGTTCCGATGATGCAACGGAATATCCAGCGATAAGACGAAGATCGATATCGGCTAATGATGATACGATCACTCCGATTGACGATCAAATTGAACAAGTGGCGAAAAGATATTGCGTGCCGAGTGATATTGTTAAGCGTATTATTTCAGTATGTCTCACGAATGATCGATGATTGAGAATGAATACTGTGTTTTTAGGATCTTCTCAGTGACGCTACAGTGATTGATTACCTTCGTACGCGAACTTTCATCGATAGTTCATCTTTCGTCAATAATGTAAATATTTTCTGGGGAAAATCGCTGCAAGCATAATCAATTCTTACTTTTAGTCAATATCGACCACTAGACAAGACGAATCTCTTCTTTCAACTTCCAACTATTTCGATATCAATTCTCAGCTGAACCCTTCGCATACGTATCCTCCTGGTCACCAGCAACTTTTACCAGCAACAACAGGAGTCGACGAATACGATCCTCTATGGTTGGAGTTTCTACAGTCCTTAAACACAGCCGATCAAGCAAATGCCAATCCGCAACAAAGTGTAACACAATCTACTATTACATTGGATTCGTTGTTTACAGAAGATGATGAAGACGACGAGGAATTTATTGGACCCGATGATGAACATATTGCTGAAGTTGCTGACGAAAAAAAATTACGTGTATCAAGTAAGTCTTCCTAGCATATCTTTTTCGAATGGACTTGACCTTTTCTCCACCGTTTAGAACGTGAATTAGCTTTATTGCTAAAAGATAGCACAGCATCTCCGATGACTGATATGTAAGATTTTCGAAATTCACCAGATCTGTTGTTATATATTGTGTAAACTTCCATTGAAGAGCCGCTCCCGAGGAAGAACTTCTTCGTGGAGATCAGTACGAATCATTATGGACAGAGTTTCTTGCTTCATTACAATCACAGAATAATACTCAAACCAATGATCAACAAGATGAACAACAAAAATCTGTTCGAACGATAACGACAGAAGATGATGACAACGATGATGACCCCGAATTTCATCTGCCAGATACGGACTATGAAGTAGATGACGATCTAGGTGATGAATTACATGTTTCGAGTAAGTTTAATGAAGATATTCGAATTTATTTACTAAGTTCTGTTTTATGTTTAAGAACGCGAGTTGGCACTACTTCTCGAAGATAATGCGTCAATACTGAATCCTGAGGATCTACCAAAGAGGTAAACGCATGAATCTAGACGCAATGCTCCGTCGTTTTTAACTATAAAAACCATATAATTGAACTTTCAATATGTTTTTAGTAATGAATTACTCAATCCGGACTCTGTATCATCAACGGCAACTGATTCGACAGTAAACAAAAGTTCGGACTTTTATCTAACACATGATCAACGCAACATCTTCCAATACCAACTATCAGCGGTAAGAAATCTCACCTTTCGATCACTTTTTATCAACAACTTCTTTCTAGTATGTACAATTACTAACTCAATACATTCTACTACGACGCGAAACGGATACTTTGTCATCCGATAATCAATCGGCCACGCAACTTTTTGTAAGAAGAATTTCTTCACATGTTAACCAATCATACCTCTTTACATTACTTTTTAGAAGGATCTTATTTACCTTCGTAATAAACAACCGAATTCAATCTTGAATATTCCACTGTTAACAGAAGCGCAACGTCTACTTGAATCTCCCTCTCCGTCCAATCGACGGAAAGCTTTAGGCAATCACCTTCCGTTTCATCTGATGAACACGTTTTGTAAAAGTCCAGCTTTTGTGCACGATTCATTGCTACCAACTTGTTTATTATCATCAACAAAATCTAGCATTCAAGCATTGTTTCCTGATCAGTCGTCGAGAAACTTCGTATCCGGTGAAGATTGGTATGTTACAATCATGATTTCAGTTTATCTATTTAAACGTATAAAATTTAGTTTAATGGCACTTGGTCTCGAACAAAACGATGCGAAAATGTTGATCATTGGGCATAACGAGAAAAGTATTAACGAACGACTGAATAGCCTTCGATATGCACGCGTTCGACGTGGAAAACAGAATCCTGTTCGAGCATTTTTTACCTACGGTTCTGTTCCTGATATTTCCTTAAGTCCATGGTATCAAATTCCATTTGGATACAATATTAAACAGATTTATCTGAATGGGCTCATCGAAAAGGTCAATGTTGTTTTCCCCTCTTGGTTTCGACTGGTAAGTTGTTCGATATGTTGACTGTTGAAAAACAAAACAAGACGTCTGTTTTAGTCATACAAACGATCAAGACAATTAACTAAGCACGTAACGAATTCTACAGCTAGATCAACAAAAACATCAACCGGTGACCCGAATGATAGTCTGAATGCATCAACGGTTTACGTGGTTGTCGAAGGCACATCGACCGCTACTCAATCGACAACATCGCCCAGTCAAGTTTTGCAACAAATTCATATGCTACATCTCTTAAATTCTTATCCGAAACTACAGCCTAAACAATGATAGTTCACATATGTGTCAGATTCGTTTGTTTATTTTTCGAGAATTCAATTCTCATTTGTACATTTAATCTCGATATGATCAAATAAAAACAGCGTTTATCTTTCGAACGATGTATGTATATATATACATGTGACGACATAGAAAACTTCTTCATTCTCTCTTCTAGTCGTTTGTAAATCATTCTTCATGCGAGCAATATTTGCTTTTCTTTGTTTACTAACTTTGATCATCATTTCTAGTCAAAGTTTATTCGATATCCATGATCTCGATTGGTCAACTCGTCCGACGGATAATTTCTTCATGTTCGTCAATGGTCGATGGATCAATCGAACAACAATTCCATCACATGAAAGTGAATGGGGTGGACTGTTCACTATCAAATACGAAAATACGTACAAATTGAAAAGAATCCTCGACGACTTGATTCGACATGATAAAACTGAAACACCATTTACAAACGGTTCAATCGAGCACAAACTTCGAGATTTCTACTTGGCGGGTCTCGACGAGCAAGCAATTGAAGATACTGGACTAGAACCAATAAAAGAAACATTGATTCAAATACAAAACATCCAAACGTATAAAGAATTAGTACAGTTTTGTCTGGATTGGTATACAAAAATGAACAGTGGTTTGATATTCGATTTCGATGTGCACGCTGACGACCGAAACTCTTCGATCAATACGGTTCACTGGAAAGTAAAGTTTGTCCTTTTCATCATTGCATACAAGTAGAACATTCTAGCAAACAGGTATTCAACTTCCTGAACGTGACTATTACTTTCGGAATGATCCGATCTCTAAAGATATTCGTAATCATTATATTCAATACATCGATCGTCTCCTTAGATTATCTAATGATATCATTGGAACAACGACCACGTTGATCGATGCCGAGGATATCGTTTCACTTGAACTACAATTAGCTGTATCACATCGAACACCTTATGAGTTACGTGATGCAGAATCGAATTCGCAAACGTATCATATCAATCAACTTGATCAAATGATGCCAAATCTCAATTGGCACGAAGTTTTCTCCAAATTAACCATTGAAAATCGAACGACTATCTTAGCTCAATCTGATTACTACCTTCTACTAGATAAATTACTTGTGCGTCAACCGTTAAGTATTTGGAAAAACAAAATACGTTTTACAATTTTACATGAACTCGCTCGATTTCTGACCAAGGACTTCGTTGAAGCTCATTTTAATATGTACGATCATTTAGTCTATGGGCAACGTACGGACAAACCCAGATGGACGAAATTAATTGAAGACATCGATCGATATCTTGGTGATTTGCTTGGTCAATTGTACATCGCACATTATTTTCCATACGAATCTAAACAACGAATCATGTCTCTCGTTGAGAATTTGATCGATGTTTATCAGGAACGAATTCGAAAGATAACTTGGCTGAATAATTCAACGAAACAACAAGCTATCAAGAAGCTACGAGCGATCAATATGAAAATTGCTTATCCAACAACGTGGAAAACGTATGACGATGTAGTTATTGATCGTTCATCCTATTTTCGTTCATTAGTCAGCATTTTTCGACATGATTATCGAAAGAAAATGAATGATCTTCGAAAACCAGTCGATCGAAACGAATGGCTCGTTCCAGCGCAAATAGTCAATGCATTTTATGTAAGGGGGAAAATATGAGTATTCGTCTAAAACTTACAATTCCGTTCATTATTTTAGTACCCACCCTTGAATGAAATAATCTTCCCAGCTGGCATTCTTCAAGAGCCATTTTTTTCATTTTTTGCTGACGATGCATTGAATTACGGTGCTATCGGATACATAATTGGTCACGAATTAACGCACAGTTTGGACGATCAAGGTAGAAAATATGACGAGCACGGAAATCTTCATCATTGGTGGACGACGGATGATATAAATGAATTTCATTTACGTACAGAGAAGTTAATTCGGCAATATGATGAATATCGCATGTTGAATACGAGTATTAACGGACGGTTAACACTCGGAGAGAACATGGCTGACTTAGGTGGCTTAGAAATCGCTTATCAAGCGTTTCTACGGACGGATCAAGCAAAGGAGAATGGGTTGATCGATGGTTTTACACCTCGTGAGCGTTTCTTCTTGTCGTTCGCACGAACATGGAGAGTGAAATTAACCAACGAAAAACTTCTCTCTAGTATTCGACAAGATCCACATGCACCTGTGTATTTAAGAATAAATGGCCCGCTATCGAATATGATGGGATTCTACGAAACGTTCAATGTCGTCAAAGGTGATGGAATGTTTCGAAATGAGAACGAACGAGTTTTAGTATGGTGAAAATATATTGTTTGACGTTTTTTTTATTGATTTTTTTAATTTGAAATAAAACGAAAAACAGTGCGTAACTATTTATTGAGTAATTTGAAATGAACCTTTACCAGTATCATAGATACTGGAATGAGGATGATGTGAACCGCATTCACCATTACAAATAAAAACAGTTACATTGTATGCACCTGGTCCCCATTGTTCGCATGGTTCTAAATACGAAGAAAAACAGTCAAAAATGAAGAGAATTGGCTAAAATTTGCATACCTTGAGTTGGGTCACATTGTGGGTCAGGTTCAGCTTTGACGCTGATACGTTCATTGTATGTGCCTGGTTTTTGAGCTTCCAATAAGAAACCAGCGCCAAGTGGAATGTGATCTGGTGTGTGAATTTCGACAACAAGTTCGCCAGTACCAGTTCCGTTCAATGAAACGAATGTGAAGTCAATTGAGAATGTTGTACCTTGTCGTCCAGTTGCTGGTAAGATTGCGAATTTGGTGAGTTTAGCATCACCATTGTCGTTGACTAGAAGAATCACAAAATGATGTTTGTTTTTTTTTGTCAAGTCAATCCAAGAAACAATGGCACTTACTTGGACACATTTTAGCGATTTCACAGTACCAGATTGGATCAAGATCAGCTTTTTCGATCAATTTGATGAATTCTTCGATACCAACAACATCGCAAACTAAATCGCAGATTGTGCCGATGAGTTGAGAGCCAGTTTTTTGAGCTAATGCTGTGCACAATGTGCCGCATGTTCCGATGATGCCAGTGTCAAGAATTAAATTGAGTAAAATGTTGATTGATTGATCAGCAACATTGATGCATGTTGGGCAAAGATCAACACGTAATTCTGGTTGAACGAAAGGTGATTTGACACGTTGAATATTGAAGGTATTGGCTGCACTAGCAACACCGACAACGAGAAGAACAACGGCAAGGCTCTTATACATTATTTGTTTTTTTTACACTGACGACAATTGCCAATGAAATACGCTTCGCATAAATACGCCTATGGCCGAGAAAAAACAGCATCTGTTCGAGAAGGCCCGAGCTTTCGGAATCTTACGACGATATTTAACAACTGGATCAGTTTCACACAATGTTTTGTCTTGAATACACTTCGAATTCCATGGTGCATGTAGTTATTCTATGACTTTCTATGCTAACAAAAATATTGCTTATTCTGCGTCGATGTCGAATAGAACTAACTGGAACATTTTTTTTTTCTTCGTTACTTCGAAAGTAGAACGTTTCGTGCTGACAGAGGACATTTTCAGTATAACAGTGCAATAAAACTAGGTTATTAGAAATGTTTACACGTTATGTAAAAGACATGCGCCAATTCGAATACATTTGCGCATCTATCCTCTTTTCGAGTACAAATTCAAGGTTAGACAATTCGGTCAATATCGAAAATGAAAATTCAGATCTAATAGCTATTTATTGAAAATAACAACACGCAAGTTTATTTCTTTTTCGTAACAGTAAAGGAAGCTTTTCCGACATCGTATGTGCCCGAATGTGGGTGGTGTGAGCCGCATTCACCGTTACAGAATTGGGCAGTTACATTGTATGTGCCAACGGGAAAATCATCGCAAAAGCCTAGAAACGATAAGACACTTTTTTGTTATCAGATCAGAAAAAACTGTCGAAAGCTACCTGTGGATGGATCGCAATTCCAGGCAGATAATGTTTTGAGAGCAATTCGTTCTGGATAGGTACCGGGCTTTTTCGCTTCCACCAAGAAATCATTGCCATTTGTTTCATTATGCGAATCGACAATGTCGATACGCAACATACTTGTACCGGTTCCATTCAATGATTTAAATGAACAATCGATGACGAATGTTGTTCCTTGGGGACCAGTATTCGGATAAACACCAAAATGTGTAAATGTAGCATCACCATGGTCGTTGACTAAACAAATCAGATTAATGAAAAGTCCATAGGTCGATTTCTCTTACTTTCACACAGACGAGCCATTTCACAGTACCAGATTGGATCGAGATCAACCGAAATAATCAAACGGATGAATTCATCAATACCGACAGCATCACAGGCTAAGTTACAAATCGTACCAATGAGTTCCGATTTGGTTTTATTCGCAACAATATCGCACAACTTTTCACAATTTTCCACGATGCCTTCGTCAAGGATAACATTAAGAATAACATTAATGGCCTCAACAGCTTCATCTATACACGTGGGGCACAGATCAAGACCAACATCTTTTGTATGAACATTAGGCGTAAGACGTTGGAGATTGCTCGCTGGTTTTTGAAATGCACCCGATACTCCAAAAATAGCAACAAGAAGATAGATGACAACCTTGTACATGATTGTTTTTTGTTATCGGTTATGAAAGTTAAAAGCGCTTCACAATGCTTCACATAAATATCCTTCGAATGAGAAAACTAACAAGCTGTTGGCAAGAACTAATCATATTGGTATTATCATATCAATCTTAGACAAATGGTTAGATTTTCACATCAAATATTTTGTAAGAAGTCGAGGCCATTGATTTGTTATTGTCTCGAAAGAGAGAAGACGAACTATTGAACATATTTTATTTATTAAAAGCCCAGATTTTAACACAATTTTCGCGCGGAATTCTCTTTACGTTCAATTCAGCAAAGAGATTGTCTTCGTCTTCATCTTCGCTAACAGTGACTCGAATATCGCCCGCAAAACGTCGTTGACCAGATGAAGTAGCAAATAATGGTCGTTTCGGATGAATACTAGATCAAACATGCATAGAATTATGAAATTGCACTGAACAAACAGTTGTACCTGATTCCATTTGTACAATCATTATGAGCTAAGAAATCCAGAACAGGTGTTGAGGAATCATTGATATCCCAACCTAAAATACGACCGTTGGAATTGCCGGTGACGAGTGTCATAGACGAACTATTTAGAAACGCAAATATGATTTTCTTTCGATTGATCAAGCCGTTCTCTCACGGGTCAACGTCAAAATAAATCCGTTGATTAGTGTTCACTTCACGTTGAAAAGTTACCAATGTTTCTCCTAAATTTCTCATATCCCAACAGAGTATCATTCCATCCTACAATAGAGAAATAAATCGAATGAATACATGTTCATTTTTACTTTTCGAGCGCCACTATAAAGTCGATTTCCATCAGCAGAAAACTGTATATGAGTTATGCCACCAGTATGACCATGGAGAACTGCGATCAATTCTCCATTCATATCTCCATAGATTCCAACTAGACAACAACGAATCATATAACCTACGGATCAGTTTCAAGAGATAACAAACTTGTTTTAGCATAGGAGCCAGCGGCATACATTCCAGGTATTTGTGAATTGAATGATAAACAACTGATTATTCCTGATTGATGAATATCATTCGTTCGGTCTAAATATATCCGTTGATAGTATCAAGCTTGGATGAAGAAAAGATAGTACCACAGGTATTCCATTGTGTAACACACGGACCAGGTCGTTGAATGTCGAATGCCCGAATAGTTCGATCGTATCCACAGTAGAGTCGGCAAGATTGTAATTCAAATCCGAGCGAATGTGCAGCAACTAGTTCTTCCTAACCATGAGAAACTCCTTTATTTCTGCTTTGTAGTCTGCTTCCCTACCAAATGATTGAATGCTTTATAGGATGCACGCACTTCACCAGTATAAGCGTCAAATAAATGTACGGGATTGTCTCGACAGCTGCTGAAGATACTGAGAAAAACGCAACAATAGAATCCATAAAGACTGCTGCACACTTACAAACAAGTGTCACTTTGATTTGAATCCATGTACGGATACCATTGAAAATCGTAGATCAATTCAGGTTCTTTTAAATGTAGAACAGCGTTCTAAAGATTTTATACAATATTTCTTTGCAATGCGACTACCAATGAACGTTACAATATCTTCGTTCGACGGTAATCGGTCACATGGAATTTCGAACACGCGTAATTGATGATCGTCACTGTTTGTTAGCAAACAAAGGCCGTCGGGTGACCTGAAAGATGAGAACAATTTCATTTTCGTCGTTCGAAGGAGAACTGTACGAGTTTACCATTTACATCCTTTTAAAAAATTATTCGATCGTCTCGGCGTATGTGTAGGCAATTGGAATTCCTGATTTAATATTAGCAACGGCGTTTGCTCTGTTACTGCACTTCGTTTTGCTCTAGTTAAGCGATCAATATTTCATTAAATGAATACGCAAGAACAATTCTACGAACTCTGTTGTAGTTTGCGGTGATAAGTGTGGGATTTGTTCAATCGATGAACTTGCTGTTGTCGGAGTGTTAACAGAAAGCTTAGCTAATTGATCTGATGGAGAACTTGTTACTACATTTGGTTGAGAAAAAGCTTTCGTGATCGCTTGCAGCAAAGCGGGATCAAGTACAGATGTTCGTTTCTTCTCTGTTACTGACATACTTGTTAGATTTTCGTAGTTTACAAAAATCTACAAGTAGATTTTTTCAATGAAATGAGCAGTAGGTGAGTTTTGTCTATGTATCTTGCACGTATTATATTTAAAAGTTGAAAAAAAAACGAAAGCAACGACAAGTTTTCGGGATTTTTGCTTCATAAAATGATACAACAAAGAAAACAGACAACATTAATATTGTTTCAATTTCGCTTGACCAAGAAAGTATGCCAACACTCGATCGATAACATATGCTAAAACGACATCACCAAGCACAACATAAAAAACAATCAGCCGCATCTAAAACGAGAGAAAACTATCGATGAAGCGAGCGACGTAGCCGACTATTCATTCTTACATCGTCAGGAATAAGTACAATTTGAAATTGTTCTGTAAGTTGTGGAAGTAGATTGAAAATAAGACTGATAACAAGTGAAAATGAAAAGACGATGCTATAGAGAAGTGGCTTATTCGAACGAAGACTCTCCATGAATGGGTGGCCCTGCAAAACATGAAGAAAATTCCGGATTGATTTTCATTGAGTCGTCTTACTTGATAGTTTACAGCAAATGTCGCTATTTGTAGAGTTACCGACATGATATAAACACATGAATTGACTAGATTCGGCGAAAATTCCGCTTCTAGATCAGCAAATTCTTCCGTTCTAGAATTTAGATCAGAAAATTATATTTTCGTTTCCGATGAAAAGATCTCATCGTCGTACTTTGGTGGAATTCTTTTATGTGCTTCATTGACAACAAAGATTAACGCTGTTAAATGTATCGCAAATTGTCCCAGAACCGATATTAACGTATATAGATTGAATATATTTGGCAGTGGTCGTTCCCGAGCCAATGTTTTCAATGGCTAAAAGAGAAATAGAGGTAAATTACTTCGTCAGCGACTCTAATCTTTGTCACAATATCATTCTTTCTTTTTCTTTCAAGACAAAAAGGTTACATCATCCGAAGTATTTACCTTCGATCTTGATATGAACAAGAAACAGCCAGCTAATAAAAGACCTTGAAGCGTATGTTGTCCATCACTAAACTTGATTCCATCAAGATAGAGTACACTTAAACTATAGGCGAGGATCAATGCATTTAATGCGAGGATTTTAAACATTTGTAATGTTGTTACGAGTGTACAACGACCTTGTTTGATGATATGACAAACTAGAAGAGAGTTAATGTGAAGAGGAAAAGTTTTGATATGAGAATGTACCGCATTGAATTGTCGATGTGCGGGATGTAAATGGCGCGGCTATGGATGCATCGCCAAGTCGAACGATGGTTTGTTCATTCTCGTCCATTTGTTTGTAAAGTTCTTCGATACGTTTCTATAACCAAGACGAAACCATTATTGGTAATTAAACCTCAATTCTAGTTTACTTTCGTTTGTTCTCGAGCACGCTGCGCTGCTTCTGCTGGCGTAAGAGCTTGTGGCTGGGGTGAAGCTGTTGCCACTACCGGTGGTTGCACATTGCTGGCAGATGTTGTCGTATTCTCTTGTTGTTGTTCTGCTCGTTTAGCAGCAACACCGGCCAATAGAGCCACACCTTGAACATTTTCAACTCTATCACGAAATCACATTTAACATTCTACTTACCAACATGTGCGTGTTTAAGTGCGGCAACATCATTCGTACCATCACCACACATCAGTGTAACAAAGCCAAGGTTGTTCAATTTGATGACCACTTGTTCCTAATTGGATTGAGATATTCATAGAATGTACGAAATACAGGAAACCTATACCTTTTGCTTTGGTGATACACGAGCAAAGACTTTCACATGAGGCATTATGGCATTTAAAAACGAAGTTGGTAACGTACTAAGATGTGCCAAACCCTACAGAATAGAAGAGAATAGACAAGAAGTATTCAATGTGCAACAAGTTTACTTCTCCAGTGACACAAAGATCGTATTCTCCCGTCAAATCTCGCATGTTCGATGGCTGTATTGGTAAATTCTTATCTTTATTCACTGATTCCCATTTCCATGCACTTGTGTCTAAATCAATTCATTTCATAGTCGAATACTTCCTTTCAAACGTTCACATACCAGCAGTCGGAGCCGTGAGAACCAACAATGGTTTGCGTGTAAAGTGTAATTCTTTTGCTACATGGCAAGCAGTCAATGGATTGTCACCTGTGATCATCGTTAACTGAAAGAAAAATGGTTCGATTCAATTATCGAAAACAAATCATCAACGAACATGGTGAGAAGAATGACGAAGTTCTCGAATCATTGCTTTCGAATCCGGTTTCAATGGACATGACAGTACTACAAAGCCACAAAAATCCAAATCGCATTCCACGGAACTCCGTGTTGGATACTGTTCTCGTAACTAAAGTAAAACGTCAGTGCGGAATTCAAATTCAAAGCAACATACTTGTTGGTTCGACAGTACTCCAAGTGATCGATGTCCTAATGCCAGCACACGTGCTCCTTGTCTTGATAATCGTAAATAAATTTCATCGTAACGATCAGGTATTTTGCTGAACTAAAAATACACAAACAAAATCGAATTGACTTATTTTCATGTTGAAAAATATTTTTGTGCACTCAGATATGTTTACATAACAATCTTCGTTGTCGAAATCGTTTTGTTTTTCGACTCAGAGTGGTGCATGGTAAAATCATCATTATGCACGAATATTGTTTTATTTTTCTTTTCGTACGTCAACTTTCTCTGACATACATTTCATTTCATTCAATGGCTCTCCGACTGAAGAATCAAGTTTATGGGCAAATTCGTGTCAAAGATGATCAACCGAGGTTCACGGGCGATGAAATTCTCTACACTTTCGTTCGAGAATCTCATCAACACGATGCCGATTGTACTGAATTAGGATCAAAAACAATTCAACTACATCGAGGACAGGCAATGCCAATTTATTTCCAGTGTTTCTACAATCCTAAGCAAGCACATATGAATTTCGAGGAAATTAAAGCGGTTCCCGGCGGTCTGACTATATCTGCGACAATCGAACGCAATGACGAGATACTCTACATAAACAACATTAACACGCCACTTCTTGATCATATCGATATTCAATTAGTTAAACATGAATAACGTGAAAAATGGAATACGTCAGCTCAGTGTTTGAGTATTATATGTTTGTAAATCATTATCTTTCATTTTGTATGAATAGCAAATCATCCTCCGTATTTCCATTTTGTTTTGAAAGGAAAAAGTAAATAAATTCTAAACGCACGTACCATCGGTTTCAGTGTTTCCGGTGCTCCTTTGACGGCAACGATGTAGGTTATTTCATTGCTCGAAGGCGATGGACTTTGTCCAGCAATAACTGACATACGCTTCAAAGCACTGAGGAAATGATAACGTTGAACTATTTGCCAGCGTCCCGCACGACCTTTCACAGGCGTGACTGTATCGCCCCGTGTAACTGTCCATTCCAATGCATTCAATGTCGCTTTTTCTAATGGATCACCAATGATTTCTCCGTCGAGATTAGCTAATGCATGACAGGTCAAAAGAACTTGCTTCACAGGTGATTGTACATCGATTTTTGCTAATGAAACGGGATCATCAGAACTAGAATACATAGAAATGTTCCATTAAATACAGAAGAACGCTGAGAGTAAACTTTACTTTTGTATTCCAGCAACACCTTCTACAACGAGATCGTCACTTGTCAATGTGCCAGTTTTGTCAAAGCAACATATGTCAACTTTTCCGGCAAATGGGATGCGGAATGGTTCAGTACAATAGATAACTAAGAAAGAGTATCGTAGGTCAAACATGAAGCGTTTCGCAGATGAGAATCACTTACGAAGTTTAACTAAGGCAATCAAAGATGTGTTCACCGCAAGCGATAATTCAATTGGTAGTTCCGGTGGAACGACAGACGTCAAGATCAATGTACATTCAATGAATAATTTGTAACGATTACGTCTGGGATCTTTTGTACCTAGAATCGAATAAGTCTTAGTATTGGATTTCGATTAAAATTTAGAAACATTCCGTCAGTGACTCTAATCTTATGAGATTTCTCATTTTCATTGAATCAAAAGACTTTTTTATCCATCATCCGAAATGTTCTATTTGATTGATTATTTACCTTCGATCCAAACGTACGATGCTGCAACAATGGCAAAGATAAGAAGAAATAAGATAAAGAGAAAGGTTTCTAAATTGTTTGCCGTCACTCGTTTAACACTGTATAAGATCGTTTTCAATAATTTGCCTTGGGATGTACTAAAACCAGTTCGAAGCGCATAAGCAATACAACCATTGTCACCCGCTAGAAGAAAACAATGTCTTGCGATGAAATGTATCAACAAGTGAACTACCTTTCATTCCACCTTGCATCTTTGCTGGTGGGGTATGTTGAACAATTCTTGTGCCAGCTGATAACACATGTAATTTTGCATGACGTTCAAAATCGAACACTGTACTTTCATCGGCATTTTCAATTGGTTCCTAAAAGCAAACGTAAGAAATTAATCTCCTCATACAGATCGAATTTATCAACACTAATTGACAGTCAGTACGTCAATGAAATACAAAAATACATAATCATCGGAGACAATCTTCTTACTTTCATTTGTGGTATGGATTCGCCTGTTAACATGGATTCATCGACAATGCATTGTCCACGTAGGAGTAACATATCACAAGGTAATGGATTGTTTTCATTACTTCGGAGAATGGAACATAGATCACCCGGTAGAATATCTGTTGTGTCAATTTTGATCCATTTTCGTTGACGATAAACATTGATTTTGTACGGCTGATTACCCATTTGACGAATCATAGCCATGTTACGTTTCTGCTGTTGAACTAATGTTATCTCGAAGATGATCAACATAAATAATGTCAATAAACTGTAGTACCTAAAAACCAAGAAAAACGAAACAATTTCGTTAGTTTTTGTTTTCTGCAGCAGTTCTCAGTTGAAATGGGTTTAGAATCGTGTTTATCGATCATTCTTTTATCTGAAGACCGTCGTTGGATTCATCCTTGAACTGTACACTTTATATTTTCTGTATTCAGATTATACTAGGATAGAAATTCTCCTCACATCAAGATTTGATCGGAGTGGTGCATGTAGAATCATCATCATGACAGAAAATATCCTCTTTCACAAGATAAGTCGGACTTACCAATATTCATCCAAACACCAGAGTAGAACGCAAAATACTTGAAAGACGAAAAAGGGTGCCGTTGCTCGTTCAATAAATAAGTCGATAAACTTCGGAATATCAATCACCATTCTAACAACAACGAAATGTAGGATACGTGAATATTCACAAGAATTTGTTTACTTATTAAGTCCAAAATTCCATATTCCTTGATCGATTTCGTCTTGAGTTTGATAACCTTTTGATTGGAGATATGATTGAAATGAGTTTGATAATGGATAGTCAATGGTTTTGAACGTCTTCTTTTCGCTTTCGTCGTAGATATATCGACATTTTTGAAAAATAAACCATGATTGTTCACGATGGTCATGGGGATTCTAATTGAATCAATAACACTGCGAAGATTTTTTAAGCTAATCTCTTACTTTTCCATGATGAAGTGAAACCATTTCTGAATAACCATTGTTTGCTGTTGGTTTTACAACAACGAGTTCAGCTTTCCACGGATCTTTTTCCTTGAAAATCAAACATCGATGATACTTAGACGAGAGAAAAACAATAGCAACGTTCTTACAGGTATACATTGCATGAATGCACGTATTTCCACAAACCAGTAACAAAACAGACATGTAATGATTTGTAGAAGTGCAATGATGACAGTAACAATCATTCCTAATTCGGGATATTCTCCTAGACCGAAATGAAAGGCCCATACGGAGAACCATATAGCATAGAGGACGAAGAAAGGTCCTATGTTTAAGTGTAAATGATAATTTTTGGAGCGGTATAACGATATGGAATAAATATCATCGTTGAATGGAACAGATCCAATTTGATTTGATTTTCGAGATGATGAGATTAAAGTCTAAACTGAATGAATAAGAAATTGAACTAAAGGGAGAGAATTCGCGTTTACCGTCATGTTAAAAATTCTACAATTTTAACCGTATCATAATTCGAAATCAACAATGGAGGAACTGATGATAAATAGTTCGGGTAAGATGCTCTTTTTTGAATGGTTAAAATTGAAGACACCAATCGAGAGTTGTCTCCTATACGATATCATGCCTCTCTGAGGTCAACTAGCGACCTCTTTCAAATGGAGTCGCAAGATAGTAAATACAAACGAAATGCTTGTTTAGAGAAATTTATATTTCTAATAAGTTATCTACGATGCTAAATAACAAGCAAAAAAGACATTCTAAATTGCTTCACACAAGAATCGATAGTTTCGTTGACAATCGTCAGCGTATAAACCACATGATGTGAGTGTTACACAAATGCGATTCGTATCGTTGGTAGTCTCCTCTCTTTGCGAACACCAAAGATCGGATTTGTTCAGTTGGGCGACTTTGCCAGTATCGAACCAATAGAAGTCCTTTGGCGTGGATGCAGATGTAACACGTTGTTTCGGCATATCGATTTGATTTGTCAAACCAATCCAGTAGAAGTAATCCAATTGTTCACCATCGTCTTCTTCGATCAAACTAGTTTTCAGTAATTCGATATCAGTAAGGTTAAGATTGGATACTAATTTCATCGAATAATCCGACTGTCCATCGAGAGAATTGTCATCTCGGCAGAAATCAATCGTTTCCATCCATGAGGATTTGTGATTTGACAAACGAAAACAACGACTACCGATTGATAAGTCTTTACATGAGAGACAACGAGATGAATTTGTCGACCAAAACCAGCGTATCGCACACGTACAACGGTCATTTCGACATTTCAACGATGCGTTATTCAAATTACAATCGTCATCTGTTAAACATGATTTACCATACAATTGAACATCGTTTGCTACGGTATTCGATAACGGCAGTTTAAGACTACCGAAACCATTGATCGAGTGAATGTCAATGGCTGATACATTCTGACTTGGTGTTGTTGTAAGAATTGTTTGATTGTTTGTCAGCACAGAGCTTTCAAGATTATTGACGAGCACGTCGAGGGCATTGACAAACTTCCTATAAATGAAAAAGGTAACTCTCCAACAGAGATCATAGCAACTTTACCGTAATGCATATTTGTCTGGTAAGGAATCGTCCTGTTTCTCGTCTAATTTCGAACACGAGAACATCGTTGCTATGTCAGTCATCGTTTTATTGAAGAGAATCAAAGTCGATTGTTGATCGTACTGTTGATAGCTGATTGTCTTTGTCATCAACTGCCGAAGGATATTTCGTACGTAGAATGTATCGAGGATAAATTCTTGATCAGTTAATTCACAATTTACATAGCATGTGATTCGCCGGGGCGTTATGCGTAAGAAAATCATCGTTGTCGATGATACATCCTGCGATGCGCCATCGGAGCGCAGAAGATCGGCTGATTTGTCCACGTAGAGAAGAAATTGCGTCCGATTCTTGTTATCGAATCGAATGTGAAAGAGTCGTTCTCTAGGAAAATATCGAATAAAGAATTGAAATTGTGGTATATAGAGAATTGTCTGGAAATTCGTATTATTATCTTCTTTAGGAGTGATATCTGGTTTGTAAACGATAGTCAGCGAATCTGTAGACAGCTGGAGTGATGAATTTGGATCGGAATGGCGTCTGTGATAAGTAAACTACGCTGAAAATCGATTCTTTGAGAAGTTACTCCTACCGTGGTTGTTGTTGAACTTTTTCGATTACTTGTTGTATCTTTCGAATCAATGGTTTTCCAATTACATTTGTTTTATTTTCGGTACTTTGCATACGACAACTAAATTTTTCGAATATATCTCGTTGATAATCGTCTTCTGGTGCTAATTGAATATGCTGAATTCCTTCCGCGAGATCATGGACTTCGAATGTTAACTTTTGGTCAATGAAGTCTGTTGAGTAGAACAAATATGAGTCCATTAGTTTGCAATTGACATAACTTTCAACTTTCATGGATTGTCGAACAGCAAGAAATATCAGATGATTGAATGTGTTCGACAAAAGGTCAGCTCGTTCGATGCTTAACTGAATTGTTTGTTTGTTTTGATTAAGTTGAATAGTAATCGAGTGTTGATACGACGAGAGAGCAAATGAGAGATTTGTCTGATTGACTGGCGAGGAAAGAAGTGTAAATAATGAGGTATAAAATCCCGGAAATTGATATCGATCAAAGACAAACCAGTGTTCAGTGCTTGATGATAAACTGACTAAGATCAGTACTAGGAGAAATCGCATGATTTGCGTCGATGTGTTCAATATTGCAGTAATAACGTAAATGATACGAAATAAACTGAGTGAATTTCGATCTACACGAGAGCTTAGAATGAATGAACAGACAAATTGTGTGTACGAATCGATATTTGATATGCACAAGACAATATCGCTGATTTTAACAAATAAGAAAGAAACGATTAGAATAAATCGAAAAGTGAAGTGAAGCTGTCGTTCTAGATTTGTTCAACAAACACGATTTTAGGTCAATTTTGTGAGAGTGACCAGTAGTACATTTATCGATCTACAGTGATTTTTGTCTTTTTTTTTATTCTTGAAGATAAGATTTAATTCAAAATGAATATTTACATCGAGCGAAAACAATCAAACTTTTTCGTAGGCAGGAGGTAGTGTCAATTGCTGCTGAGAACTTCTCAATTTGTAGAGGCCAGATCCTCGGTATTTTCTTGTGCGAACATACCATTTGCCTTCGAACTGATTGGCGAATCTATTCCATTCCAATTGTATGATTACATTGTGTCCTAAGTTTTGTCGAGGATCGCCAGTGCCTAACTGATAGGTTTTCGTGATGCCAATGCGACGCGTTTGCGTTGAATAGAAGCCATGAAGTGTGTACATACCAATATCATCGAAGCCTGATCCTGTCACTTCGAATCTCATGTTGTCGAACGATAGATTGATAAAATGAGGACCGTGCTGCTTGTTATATTGAAAATATTCGCATTCCCAAAGGCCAGATTGAAAAAGATGTAGGTCAATCACTTTAGTTTCGTTATTTTCGGCTTTAGAGGCATGAACGTATTTTGCATTTGATCGTCTTGGTCGACCTACACAGCAGCAGTAGATCGGTAAGAATATCAACAAGAAAAAAACACCGAATGCTCCGAAAGCACCACTACCACCTCCACCGCCGCCTCCACCCTGACATTCAATTGCGCTCACGAGAAAAGAAATGGAAAACAAGACCTGTGTGAGAAACGACATTGTATTTGTAACAAACAGCAACACTTCGTGTAAAAGCCGTGGGTTTGGTCTCCAGTAGTTTTGAAAAAATATATATATACATGTGATATCTACTACTCATAATCACATGAGTCACTATCTCTTTCGATGTCACTCTTATCTCCGTGGTGTATCATCAAAGGGGTTTAGCAAACATGAAAATTTAAAGTATTTTGAATTAGTTCCGAAGGTTGAGAATGTCATTTAGAGCACACATCGTGGAGCGAAATGTTCGATTACAAGAATAAGAATATTCAACGGTATACTGAAATGTAGGAGTGAAATCTCCTTCATGTTCTAAAAAATATCAGTTTTATTCATTTTATTTATAATTGATTCGATAAGTAGAATTATATCAACTGTTTAGCGATAATATCAAGCAGAATGACAGGATCATCATCATCATGTTCTTTCTAATCGACAGTAGACATATGGTACTTTGTTATCTGGATGAAATTTGTCAAGGATTTGAATCCATGCTTTCTGATTCATTTATCCGATGAGGATCAGTCGATAAAAAACGAAGAGAAGAAGAAATAAATTTTTAGTTTTAGCAACAGTTTTTCGCTCATTTACTCGTATGTGCAGTCATTCATTTATGAGTATGGACTTTTGAGAACTTTCAAGTTAACAGAAAAAGTGTAATTACTGAATATTCAAATTATTTATTAGATAAATAAACAGAGGAAAGTAGTTATTGATGTTTTTACATTCAATCTTGGGTTAAAAAAAGTTTCACATTGCATCTCCACAAAAAAAACTTGCAATAGAACATATTGATTAATTGCGGAGAACATTGGGTCCGGCGGATGTTCTTGCTCGTTTTTGTGCATTGCTGACGACAACCAGACTGGCGATTGTATGGGCAACCGCTACGATAAATAAAATTAAGATAGATATCTTCAAATTGGTTGCTAAGCTATAATCACAATAGTACCAATAGACATATGTAGAACATCGAGTGGATGTAGCTAGATTAACAATAGAGAGAATCAAAGCTAAAATGCCTAGGGAAAGATCAACAACCAAGAATCGGGAAATATGTTCCAGAACGTACGATGTCCGGCATGATGCGACTAGCATAAGGATACCGGTGATAAAAAAGAAAACACCTGTCCAAATTCCTCGATAATAGGTGGAATATGAATTGGTAATGATAGCTATTTCTAGGCCGAAACCCAGTACTGACCATATTAGATAGAATATGCCAGAAATGACAAGATATGTTTTCAAACCGGATGTAAGTGGTGTAGGCACGAAATTAGCCCATCGACGGTAGGGCATAGGTTGTGAAACAATAACCGATTGATGGTACGTTGGTTGTTGTCCAGGATAAACTGCACCGGGTGGTGGATATTGTGGGTAAGGTGGAGGTTGATTCATTGGTGGATATTGGTTTGCATAGTTATTGAAGCCCTGCTTGTTAGGATCGTTATACATGATTTCGATGGTCTCACCGGATTGAAACTTGATTTCGTGGTAGAACACTGCGTTACCGCGCAGTTTTTATATACTTTTTACAATCGTAGATAAATTGAATCATACAATGACGTATGCTGTTGTTTTTTGATATCGCATAGGTAACAGGTGATAACTGTCATGAGTAAACGTTTGTTCTCTAATCTTCTTTTTCAAGAGGTAGACGATAATGATGCATCTCATGTAGAGGCTTCTCGCATTGCAAGAATATTCGTTCCTGTGTCGAGCACTCTGCTAACAATCTCTGAGTCAATTTGATAAACAATTTGCCCGTGAGAAGAAACGACGAGTGATACGTTGAAGATTTTCATACGAACAAATTATAAATAATGCGATCAACATGAATAATCCTGAAATTTTCATTTGTAGTTGCATGTACACACCTATGGATGAAAAACTGGCAACTATTTCAGTTATGAATCGTTCGAATCGGCGTCGCAAGATTGGATGCCTTTAAGATTGAGTCAAACACATCGGTAATATGAGAGAATTTCTTACATATTCATGATTAAGTATCAAATATGTTAACAAAAATAGTTTTTGCTTGTGATTATATAAAGAAGATTAAGATTAAGCATATATATTCAAATACCACTCTGTGAGTTTACTTTTGTGTAAGTTTCTTGGCGATTATGATAATTTGTTGTAATAATTGCTCTGCATAGTCGATCACTTGTCTGTCGTGCAAAGTGGACGCTTTTTCGAGGCATACCTGTAACATTTTCACGCATGAAAAGGCTTCGTTTTTCGGAACAATCTTCAAGATACGAGGTGCCTTTGATTTCAACCAGTGGCTAATATGCCCGTTAAACACAGTCGAAACGTTTTCGTCTGCAGAATTCGTTGAATAATCGGACAGAAGTTGAGATGCGAATAGCCAGGGGAAACTTAGCATCCGTCCTTCTTCTTCGCTACGATCGTTATACGCGACATAATAACAAGCGCCCGCTTTCGCTTTCAGCTCGCGTAGTGATCTTGTATTTTCTAAAAATCGTCGTCGGATGTCAGCAAAGACAGCCTTTAATAATTCTTGCGCGGTGTATTGTACGTCGCTGCGCTCGTTTGCTTCCACATTGCGCGATTCCATGCAGCAAAATAAATCAATTTCGTTCGAGAACCCATACGATCGAATAATCTCGCACATCTCAAATCGATATCGCCGATACAGATTCATGGCGAAGTCGATGTATTTTTCATAATCTTTGTGCAGAAATTTCAAATCAAGGTCGATTATGTCATCTTCACCAGGAAATAATTTTTGGAAAACTTTGGCCAAACGATCGGCACTTCGAAACAGTTTACCAAGTGCTTTTTTCGATTGATATTGCTCGCAGTCTTTCGCTTGCATGAAATCCGGTCGTGAAGTTCCTGCCACGCTAGCAATATTTTTTATTTCCGTTGCAGTATAAGGATGATGTCCTGATTTTACACTATCTAGTTCATGGCTGATACCAGCAGCTAACTTAATAGCTTCATCACTATCAATACCAAACTTGTCCACAAGAACTAAATGCAGGATACTTAATCTTCCAAGATTATCCTGCTCACAAACATCTCGGATCACTTTCAGACGGTCACCGCGAGTTACCCTACGGCGAGGAGGTTCTGCAGGACAGTGATCATCATACTCATGTGGTTTTGGATTTGGCGAATTCGGAATGAGTTCTGGATCCCAAATAACAGTAAATTCATCACCATCAAGATCCGATCCGGACATTTCGCTGGCATGCGGTCGTGAACCTAGTTGAGGAAATACTAGAACATCATAGAGATGATGAAGACATTCAGCATCAACAGCTTCTAGGCGTAAAAGATCGCCTGGATGATGACAAGGATTCTTGGTGATAGCTACAGGTCCTTGTAGGACCTCTCTAGTCCCATCTTCATGCGTAATTTGGATGAAGACTTTTCCTTGCGGGAGAACAGCGTATTCATCCACTACTCCGAACATGTAACGTGCTTGTGGGATCCGAATGTGTGCTCGGGTTACCAACTGATGCAGATTATTCGATATGGTTGTTCGTAGAAGTCGACCGAAAAAAGGCTCCTTGAATAAACCTCGGTAAGAAGATATATCTTTCCATGGTAAAACATGAAGAACTTTTTCTTCAAGGACGGACAGTGCGGCTTGGTCGGAGATGAAGGATTCAAACAGCCATCGAATATTCTGTAATTGGAATGCCAATAAACGTTCAGAAGATATTTTACGATGTGAGAGTAGATTAATTACTTCTCGATTGAGACATAATCGTCCTAAGTAAAACAAAAAAATCAGTGGAGTCGAGCATCTTTATGGCCTATGACAAATGAAGAATCTTACGTCGTAATGAACGTTTGCACACCTCGAGCACGATGTGATCGCATTGAAATTTCTCCATACTTTTTCTGATTAACAGCTGCTTCTCTTGTCCGTCTAGCTTAGGATCGACAGCAAGAGTACCTTTACAGCCGCCATAACGAATTTGCAAAACGCTGGAAACGTAACCACCATCGTCTACATCGACACCGAGTTCTTCGTGTATCTAAAGAGAAGAATAGCAAGTTGAAATTTATATTTAATTTTCTTACTGTTAAATTCAAATCCGAAGAAATCTGCCCAACACCATCGGTAAAATTATAGTTTCCATCCTTTGTTTTAATGTCGTCAATGATCTTCACCATATCGGGTGCAATCTAAAATCTTGCTTATTTTCTTGATATACCAATAATAGCTTTATTCTTACCTCAATTGTTGCTTCTGTACTCGAAAATGGTTGAGTACGACGGGCAGTGTTCTTTGCCGGTAGTTTCTCTTTATCGAAATTGCCCATCCATTCTTCTAATTGTTCCCGCGTCTTGCCACCTTCGGCTTCACAATAGAAGTAGAATTGCTTTTTTCTTATCTGCGATTGTGCATGATGAAGGTAGACGTAGTGACGATTTTCAAAGTGAAAACCATGCTCAAGATAAAATTGCAAAAATGGAGCAAGTTCTGGGCACAGAAACTCTGAACCATTATCATCCCGAAAATCGACGAATGCCATGCAATTTTTCACGTTGCCGATATATCGAAACACTCGATTCGATTTCATGAACTTTAACGGTTTCACAATCAGTCGTGTTGGCGTGAAACGAAACCATGGAATACGAACATAGTTCTTCCAAGATTGGTCCTTTTCGTGGTAAACACTGGACAAATACTGCTTCTCATATTCATGCTCGATGCCAGACAATGCTTTGAAAAGGTCAACGAAATAGCCTTCTGGGCCTGTAGCAAGACGTTGCAACCGTTCCATGACGTAATAAAACCGTTGTTCATTGCCTTGCCGCACCAACTTAACTAGGCGCTTTTTCATTCGAGAACTGTTAACCATTTGCTGATATACACGACAGTCGATGCTAGCAAGCATGTGCCAAGCGTATTGAATAATAAAGCTTTCAGTACGAACCACGAAGTGTGTTTGATATATGTAAGTTTGATGAAGGAATTCAATTGATCCCTTATGGAATGGAATTGAATGATGAGCACAGTATTGAAGCATATATCGTAAAAATCTCTCAACAGAAGAATGTTCACAAGCATCTTTTTGGATGGACAGACGCAATGTAGAGAATGATGGGTGAAGCTTTTCATGATTTGTATTTTGTAGGTAAACTCGACGTGCGTAACCTGTCGAACAGAAAAAAAGAATTTCAGTGACTCAATCTATTGATAGATGAAAACAAAGGCGCACGTGATACATTTTTATGAGAGAAAAAAGAAAACTTTAACTCGTACCTCCAGTTTTTAATAGTATACGTGACTGTTGTTGTATGTATTCTTCCAGATTGTTTTTTAAGAAAACATAAACGGTAACATCAGTTGTTGACTTCACATCATAAATGACTCCGCGATGTGTATCAATATGGTCACGTTTCAATAGGAACTCTGCGTAACCCATATTAATAGCAATAAATGAGTTCTTTATCGCGAAATGCACATGCCATGTTAAGTGCTGATTCATTTCATGGTAGAACTTGTCCTCAGCACACTGGAATTGGAATGATGATGTAAGAGCACCAAATGCTAATGTAGCACGATGTCCCGTCAAAAAAATACGATCGTATCTTTCTGTATTTCTGTAAGCCTTCATTTTTTCCAAAGTTTGGGAAAACAGCTGATTTAAAGGTGGTTGAATGTAATATAGAGCTGTTTTGCCGCAGTACGGCCTCTCAGCAATTTCTAGACCATGGCCGTTCATTTGCATTTTTTTAGTTGAATATTTTTCAGACAATCCGGTATGAAATATGGTCTCCGACTTTTAGATGACCGTATCAATTAGGTATTTTCGCGATCTGCGCAGAAATAATACAATTAAGTTAATCTGTGAACAAATACTTACTATCAATATTCGCGTAAACACTCGTGTGAACACATATGCTAATAGATTATCGGGTTGCTCACCTCGCTTGTTATATACAACAGAAAAACCCAGAGGAAATAAAATTATATGAAATTCTATTGGTCCAGCAAATAGCCATCATACCACACCTGCTTTTTTTATGAACTCGATGAGTAATCCAAATTCTTTTCCTACCATTCCAGTTCGGTTACTCATCTCCAACTCACCATATACCTTCACAGATGACTGATACACCTTTGTTAACCAATCGAAGTTAAACACGTCTCTCTTGTCTGAAGTAATCAAGCGAGCGCACTCCGGGCATCCTCATGACTAACATTATAATGCAAGTAGTAAGTACTTTTAACTGATCAAAACTGGCGCATTGTATAGTATGAAATAAAGCATTTATTTTCTAAGACTATCATCAAATAAACTAAAGGAAAAAGTGCTAAACAAATTTTTGACATTCGATTGGTTTATCTATTCCCGTATATCTTGAACAGATGGCTTTTGTAAAGCTTTCTTCATCAGTGCCTTCGTTGCAATTGACCCAGTAACCATCGTGCATACACCAAAACATACCATTCAAATGAATCGTACATGATTTTCTTGCTGATGCTAAGCGTGTTCGTTCAAGCGATCGATGAAATAGTTCATTCGACTTTTCCGATGTCACACACGATTCAACGTCTCTCCAATTGATAACATTTCTCGACGATTCATTCGCGCATTGTGCACCGTTGCGTGGTATCGCATAAAATTCTCTCGTTTGGCATTGAAGATATCGAATAAATACTGCTTGGGAATACATATCTTGTACGCATAATTGTTGCCTATTACCCGTGCATTCATCTAGACCATGCATGCATTGAATTTGATTCCATGGCGATTCATAAGCAATAAATGAGAGAGTGAAATTGACAATCGATGAAAGTTTCAATAGACTTGGAGAAAATAATGTTTCGCATTTCTTGGCATCAGGACACTTTGACATAACGAAGAATTCGACATTGACCGGACTGGTCACCCGAACAGGTATAGCGTTGAATTTCCATCTATTAGGAAGAAAATTCGGCGAAGATTGGTATGATTGATGAACTATCAGTGTACCAAGGATAAACGAGGTCGGCACTAGTAGGAGCAAAACCGCGCCACTCATTCTCGATAACGAAACCACTGCCGATAGCCACAAATTAACAAAAATCGAGAGGTTTTTCTACCTTACTGATAAGAAACGTATCGATACTCAATTTACATCGTTGCGTCTTCTTCTTTGATCTGGGTACAAAAGAAGAGAGAATGATCGAATATACAATATATTGCAATACAAATTGCATCGCTATTCGTACAATTCATATATTTACTCACGTTTATTCGACTGAATATTGGCAAATATTTGTATGGATTAAATGCAATTTTTATCCAGTAATCAGATAGTCACATACTAAATATGTACCTTAATAGACAGTTGATTGCTTTAGCAAAGTGTACGTTTTACCAATCAACATGACAGTTATGTCTAACAAAATAGATCAAAACTTCCGTATTTGCAATGACCTTGTGATTTATCGCAACCTGGAAAAGAGATTCTGACGATGAAAACATGTACTCCATATTTTTTATCCTCAATAGTCGCTAAACATCTAGTCGGAAGTTTCACACTTGACACTAACGGTGCTAATTTGCCATTCGGCTTTCTCTCTACATTTAACACGATTATACAACAAAGGAAAGAAAACAATCTCTTCTGAAGTAATCAAACTAACACGAGACGCAATATCTTAATGTAGACACAATGAATCGTGCTTGTTCACTTAACTCAAAACATCTTTGATCGAGTCGCAACGCATGAAAACAACACGAGACTAGTCGAAGTAAGTCGTTCGCTCTCATTCTCAATAACTCGACCATGTCACTTGCAGTCTTCAGAATAATATGGTGTTTATTGTTTTGTTTAATGAACTTTTGACTATCTATCTCGTCGATGAAAGGTAAACAATGCCTAATCGGACACTTTTAAAGATTTTCTAGAGCAAAAGAGGTCAGACTGAATTATCCGTGTGTACGTAATCTGAAACAAATAGTTGAAATTACTATTACTCGTGCTAACTCAATCACGCATTGATATATTACAGAAGTAATTCTAATCATAGACGAAGTATAAGTTGTCTTTGATTTACCGGAGATATTGATCTTTATTCAGTCATTGAATCAATTGAACTAATTGTATCGAGTCCGTTCGTACATACTTGAAAAGAGAAAAAGATATATATGTGTATTATCGACATTTATATTAAGTGAAGTGTCGTATCAAAGAAAAGAAACGACGTGTGACGTGATCATTGACAATCAGAGTTAATCGTTCGATATAAATCAGATCTCATCCATGACTAGACAAGTCAACTGACTCTTTTCATCGCTGGATTCAATACGAACTCGATTTCTTTTGATTTAGTTCAAAAACTTCCTCCAATCTGGGCATCGCATCGAATGACTATTCTATCTTCTATCCTTCTTCTCTTAATTCCTATTTCCAATGCACTTTATCCCGTTGGTATTATCAACCATCAAACGCAATGGCACATTCATTGTGAAAACAATTATACTCAAATTGTTCAACCGCCGTTGAACAATCAAATCCTTGTACCATACAAATGTCCAGTATCATCTTTAATGATCGAAATTCTGCCGATTGAGCTCGACTTAACGTTTCTTTGTCGTTCGCAATCACGTCTCATCTGGATTATCATCGATTTATATCAATATCAAACTTGGCCAATGTCGATTAATTCCAACCAAGTGAATATTTCTCTCGTCATCAATCACGAATTTCGAATAAAAGACTATAAGAGCGAAATCAATCAGTACGATAATCGATTTGTTCTAATCAACGCATTTTATATTCCATTCGAATCACTGAATAAACTTCTGGATCGATCGATCGAAGTTTTCATTGAAATTAACCAATGCCGATTTTTCATTCGCGATAATTTCACATGGAATGATGTGCTGCAAAGCAATTGTAACTCATTTGAAACCAGGAGTCTTTTAGCTCAAGCGGGTCAATGCAATTTCTTTCCAAAGTTCGTCGTTTCTCTTTCGATTGTTCAACAAACGGAAACGATTGATTGCATTTTAGATTAGTATCTTCTACGAACGACGATAATACGACTGAAATTCCTGATTTTCATGTTGTATTATCGATTGATCAAGAGAAGTCAATTGAAACAACCACTACACTGTCCCAGTATCAACTATTATTCGATGAACATTATCAGAAAATCCTAATCGCCATCCGGAAAGCAACTCACCTTCTCACATATGTTTTTATTTTTACTACGATTATTCTCATACTGTTAACGATATTTTCTATCTACATACTTTGCTATCATTTTTGTCACCGAGTCGTGCATAGATCATCATTATTGATTTAAAGCAATGTTCAATAAAATCGAATTTTTCTTAAAGTAGCAAACCGTTCAGACGTATCTTCGGTAGATGACAGCAGTGTCGATATCAATGAGTTGGCTATTCGCTCGTTTCCGGAACAAAGCCAATTCATTTCCGAGAAGAATTCCTCGCATCATCAGTTGACCAGTGGTCAATATGTTGTACCTTATGAATCTCTTCGTTTTTTTTCTCATTTCCTCGACGAGTTCACTTATCTGTCCAGTTTATAATGTTTTCAACAATGAAACTAGTGCACTTATTTCCTGTGATACAAATCTTTCCTCGTGTACATACCTTACAACACAATCAACTGCGCGTCGCTGTTTGGGTATCTATACTTTTGATAGGAACTTTCAAGCTCACGAGCAGCAAATACGTATTCGTCAGTTAGCGACGATTGATGATTTCGAAGCAAAGTATTCGAATACAACCGACTGTATCCTTGATCTGGACAGGACTGGTAACAACCTGTTCTGTCAATGCAATTCTGATAACTGTACTTTGAAGTGGAGAAGAGCCGAGAATTTGTATACAAGAATGTCCTACCATGGAAATGTACTCAAACACGACGAAGATAACAACTGGTTTCTTCCACTGATAGCTATTGTCTTAGTTATCATCGTAATTAGTATTATTGTATTGATTGTAATGATGAAATACCATGGATTTCCTAAATTTGATGAAAAAGATAATCAATCTTTCTCGGCAAATCTTTCGACAGCTTCAACAGATATCTCCCATGCCGAGATTGATGAATTTCTCTCGTCAAATCCAACGTATCAATCGATTATCAGCCATGGAAAAACCAGTATTATATATCGTGCCTGGACAACAGACAAAGACAGTTTTCAATACGAGAAAAAACCAGTTGCTGTCAAAGTCTATCACGGTCAGAACTATAGACATATGTTCGAAAGTGAAGTACAAATCTTAAGAATGATTCGCCACTCAACGATTGTGAAGTATGTACACATATACACTCTTGTCTTACTATTTCTTTTGCTATTAGTTTCATCAGTCATGGATGGCATGATCTATCTCCGTATATCCTCCTTGAATATCACGAAATGGGTTCTCTTGAGAATTATCTTCGCTCACATAAGCTACCCTGGTCAACATGTTATTCATTTCTTGTTTCCATTGTTGATGCAATTGATTATCTTCATTATGAAGATCTTTCGCCGAATATTTATCTACCAGCAAATCGTATTCGCAAGCCAGTTATTGTCCATCGTGATATCAAAAGTTCAAACATTGTGGTTAAATGCAAACCAGAACTGAGTTTATGTTTAATCGATTTTGGTTTGGCAAAAATGCTTCCACCAATTTTGACGGCAAGAGATTTCATTCAAATTGGTACGTATCGATACATGGCACCGGAATTACTGGAACTTGCCATCACACATACCAGTGATGCTCTGTGCAAGGTGGATATGTATGCACTTGCACTCGTGCTTTGGGAAATTGTTACTCAATGTGAAGACTATTCGGCAAGTGTCAACTATCAACTTCCCTATTCGGAATACCTTAGCTTAAATGAAACAAATCAAAACAGAATCATCGAAATACTGCATCGAGTGGTTGTCAATGAAAAAAAACGACCAGTGATCCACTATACATCTAATATGAATTCGGTATGTTGTGTAATGTGTGTCTTATCACCAACCGGTAATCTTATTCCTTTTTAGAAAATATCTCAAGTATTGACCCTGATCGAAGATTGTTGGAAACACGAACCGGAATCCCGTCTGAACGTTCGACCTGCACTGTATCGTCTTCGTCGTCTTTGATTCATTTCCATATGGATGTTTCTTTTTTGTTTCTTTCTGCTATATTCCTAGGTTTGGAGAAAATTTTAAAAAAGTACAAAAAAGAAAACGAAACACACATGTAATTACATGCATTTCGAATATCTTTCTACACAATGATTAGACCATCACCAGGAGCACACGGAGAAAATTTCGATCCATTGCCCTGCTGATACCACACATGATAGGTGATAAACCAGAAGAATACAGCAAAACAAGCAGCTATTAACTTATGTAAAATATTGTATAAGTAGAAAACAGTTGATAAAAGCATGAATTCCCAGAGAATAGTTAGAATAGCCAATAGCAAATAGAGAATAGTAATCGGGATCGAAAATAATCGAATGCGACTCTGATTAATCGGATTACTATTCATATTCTTATTAGCGTCTTCAATTTTTTTCCAATTCTCATTGTATAATTTCACTTCTTCATTAATGACGAGAAGTGCATAGAGAAGAAAGTACGTACGTCCATCTTGCCATTGATATCGACTTGTACGACAAAAATGGCTCGTAATGCCACGAGTATTGATTGGCTTACACATACCCGTTAGAGTTTCGATATGAATGAATAATGACGTGATGATGTACCAAATCGTCGTCGCAATGAATAAGCGGAGTAAATGACGACTGATTAAACCGTAATGACCGCGCGTATAGATTAAACTCGTTAAGTAAACGAATGGAACTAATAAAATGATTGACCATATCCAGCCGATTCTCGAAATATGTTGATTGAAAATGTTGGTTTTGAAGGATAGAGATGCATTTGATACAACGTGAAAGTCTTTTAAAAAGGGCCCGAGAAGAATCAGAAAAAAATAGACAAAAATTTTCAATGCTGGCGGAGCGAATATGATCCGACGGCAAAAGGATAAGGTTACATGCTGAAAAATACGACCGATATCGGACGACAATGATGAGGGAAGATCTAATGTTGTTCGCGAAACTTTTCGAGCTCGAGGTTGCTGACTTTTCGTTTGAGATGGACGTCGTATTACAGTTGGCTTACTTGGTCGAACCCCGAACATGATGAGAAACGAACAAAAATTCGACAACACTTGTTGTCGAACACAATTCGGTAAGATACTTGTTTATGTGTAATGAGAAGAGAAAAACTAATAATTATGTTGTTTTTCTAACATTGTCGAGGTTGTGGATAGAATTACTTGCTCTTGTGTAACAACTCGTTGGCCTTTCGATTGTTTCTCGAAGATCAATACGACGTGCTTGAGATTTGACTAAAGAATATCTTAATTAGCCATCAAGGCCTTCTCAGTCCTCGAGATCTATGCGAATAAAATCCATGGAATCGTTTCTCTATCAATCACAAATAAACGATATTCGTCCATAGTTTACCTCTTGGATTATCTCTTTTCCTTCTTATGTGGATAACCAGTTATCGTCATATTCGTTTTCTTTCTCACAATCATGTCAACAATACTTTCATCATCATCATCATCGACAATTTCCAATCGCTTAACAATTATCGCGAATGACAATGCCGATGAAGAAGATCAATTAAATCGAATTAATCTTCAAGCACTACAAAATCGTGATCCGTACATTACAAAGATCATCGATCAAGCGCAACGCGTCTGTGTTTATAAATTTCTTGCCGATAAACGCGAATGGGTAAATAAATGCAAAAACCATGTCGTTACCTTTCCACAACGTGTACTTTTAGGAACGAAAAGATCTCGAAGGCACATTATTTGTCTACGAAAGGTAAAATCTTGCAAAATAAAACATCGTGTGCCGGATTTTTTTCTTCGTATAGGACGTGTGAACCCTACCATGGCTTTGTTATACTAAGTACTGTGTCACGAGAAACGTTCGTACAAGTGATCAAAGCATCCATGGAATTCAAACATTCGCCTAATTATGAAGCATTTCTTCAGTATAAAGTTGATGTTGGAGGTACTTGGATTTGTTTCGATGAACTCTGATGAGTGTGTTCTCGATTTAGATATCTATGGCATTTGGTTTATTTCGAAAACCGATTGTCCGCGGGTGACCGAATGTTTGAAACGGTTGACAATTAAAGCTAAAGAAATGGAACAATCGAACGATAATTCATCTTTGTCGATCAGTTCCGGCTCATCAGATATATTTTCTCTTCTAAACAATGCCAAAGAAAAATTTCAAGAAACAGTCAGTTTAATTATCGTTACGGACTCGATCTGTTGAACATCTCTTTGTTCATTCGTAGAAACGTAAACAAGATTCAGTCGTTATCGATCCGGCAACATCGATGCCAGCTGCACTATTACGTCTATTTTCAACACAGGACACAGTAACACCGGGAACGAATAATGACGAACGCGAACAAGAACTGAAGAAAACGTTGGGAATCGTAGGAAAGCCAGCATTGAGTGTAACCGAACTGGAAAAGAAACTATTTCATCCACCTTCATCAACCATAGAAACAACGAAATCAATAGTAAATACCCATTCTCTGGACAATCTTGTCAAACCTGTACCAATTCTAAATAAAGTAATAAAGAAAAGATGACTGAGTCTACTATCAATCTATCTTCTTTTAGGCCGCCATGCCAGTCCAACCTCATCTGACATCACCGACTACGACTGATTGGACACTGTCAAATCAAAGGCTCAACAACGGAGTAAGTAATCTAAATCAAAAATAAAATTCTCCACTAAGTATAATTGTTAGTTCGATGCTCATTCCAATACTCATGGTCGTCTAATGACACCATCAGAATTTCAAACTATTCACCCGATTCAATCACCAGGTACGATGATTTTCACCACAATTCACATCTCTACCCTTTCGTTTTCTCTAGTTCTCATTGCTCCTAGCCAAATCGCATCCAGTCCATCATCGTATTGCCATTGTCAAAATTCATCGAATTCATCAACAGATCGTTTTTCAAAAGATGCACTTCGAAAACTTCTAGTCGATATGCTTCAAGTAAACATCACTTGTATTGCTCCCCTGTTGCAGTCTATTCTGTTGATTTAGAATGACGAAGAATTCTTGACTGGACTACACAATGCATATGTAGAAAAACAAAATAGTCTCCATCGAATTTTCTCCTGAAATCTTTTTCATTTCTTTCGAACTAATATTTCTTTAGTCGTTACCTTCACTATGTTTCTATGTGTGTTGAATATTCTATATCGATATCTTTTAGTCAAGTGAAACAAATGACAACCATTCCATGTTTTCATCATTCAGAAAGCTCTCTCTCTCTCTTTCTTGTTCTTTGTTGTTGTTAAATAAAAAAAGAATCTATGATGCACAAAAACGAAGCAAAGTAATTATGTTTTGACCGTAGTACGTGGAACGTTGTAGATTCCAGTATGATAAACACCTTGGCGAGGTATTGAATCATAGGAATTTGCGCTGAATGCTCGACGACGTTCAGTTTCGGTACGAAATGAATCGACTTGATTTTCACCCTGTGTAAAGAGAGAATCGTTTGTTTGAATCGACAAAAGAAAACAGACGGAGTTTTGCCTTACATTAGCAAATTTCGACATTTTCCATAAAGGTTTTGGTTCAACAGGTATTTTCGCTTGACGAAGAAGCGACGATTTTGTATGATAACTTCCTTTGAAGGCATTCTAAAGAGAATCTCCTTCGATCAAATAAATAGTCGATTGAAGCAAATGTTTACCGCTGCGTCGGCACGTTCTTTTTCCAAGGCGGCTTGTTTATTCTGCATTGTATCCAGCCAATTGTTCAGAAAACGGTTTTGTAAAACTTCAGCGATGGGTGTCGACGGTCTATTCTCACAAATACAATAACAGACGGGTTCGATGAGATCTTTACCTGTTAGCATTACCAAATATCATATCGTCGTCAAACTTGCGTGTTTTCTTTGAATGCGAAACGTCGCGTACGAAAACTTTCTTCTTTATGTCTTGTACTGTTCTATAAATGGATGATGGAGTGTATAAAAGGCAATGAAACATTAATTGAACTACATACCGAAAACGGGACTGATCTTTGGCATTTACCATACCTGCTTCAAGTGCTGCTTTATTTAATGCAGAATAGTCACGTACAAACTCATAATCAGGATTCGAAGAGCGTTCTTTCTCGGGCCCATGGCACATGGCTAAATAGTTTTCAAATAGATCTTCGTTTGTCCGGATGTCAATTACCTTCCGGTACTCCACCGTCGCGTCGTGGGATTGTGATACCATAGGTAAAAGTTCGTGGTGGTAATTTATGACCACGACGACGGCATTTCGCTAATTCCGGCTACAGAAAAAGCGCATAGTTGATCGAAATTTCAATCGAATCAACTCACTAAATATTGAAGTTCACTTTGAAGCATAGTATCCCGTTGGTCACCGCAAAGACCTGTTTTTGTGTATTCATAAGGAGATATATATGGCGAACCTTGACTACTGCTTCGGCTACTTCCGCGACGTTCGTATTCGTTGCTCATGGTGTCTATGAAAAGAAATGAGCAAGTTTAATGTTAAAAATAAATAAAGCATCAGTTGATCCATACATTATTGTGATTCAGGTGGCTCGATAAGTAGTTAATGGTGAGAAACAGAGAATGTTTGCCAAATATGACAAAAACGTTCGAACCATTACAATTCTCTATTGCTTAGTAACGAACATTATCGCCGTCTAGTATAATCTATTCGAAATCGATATATATTTTTCGTGTTCGGTATTTGTACACCTGAATTTTTAATTTAAAACTCTAGATTCTCCTTCAGTTCAAAACTTCGTATAGGTGTCACTAATAGTTCACTCGAGAGAGCGAGTCGGTAATTTTTAACGAAACGATTCGATTTATTATACAAATACGCACACGCACACGGACATGTAAAACGATTAAAAAGTTGTGATTTGTGTATTAGAATCAGTCATTTTATCTGTTAATGCTGATTGACTTGCTTGTGCATGTAATAGGTTCGTAGAAGGATTAAGCTCTAGATTGGCTGGATTGTCACACTCAGCTGCCGATAGTTCATAATCTGCATCCGAGAAGTCATTGTGAGGAGTGACTCCTGATGTTAACTGATTCGGATATGAGTTTGTCAAACTCTTTTTTCTCTGTTTTTTGTTCTTATATTTTGGGGATGATGAACGGCGATTTGTTGATTGATAACTAAACCTATCCAATTGAGTTGATAATGGAACCGATGTGTATTTTTGTTGTTCTTTGCGTTGTTCTTCTCGTGTTTCTGCCTGTAGATGTGGCGATGGATGATACTGATCAACACAGATAAATCCACACGACGGTCGAGTAAATAAACTTCCGCAGTTATTACGGAAACTTCGATTTAAAAATGCGTATAAGATCGGATTGATCGCTGAATTGAGATAAGCACACGAATTAGCAATAACTTTGAAATAATAGAGAATTCGAGTTTTTTCTTTGAAGATACTCGCCGACATGATGTATAATGTAATTGGCAGCCAGCATAAGGAAAAGACCAGTGTAACGATGGCCACCATTTTCGTCACTGCTCGACGTTTTTTCGACCATTTGACAACGCTATGTTTCTAAACGTGACCATCAAAACTTTTCGTTAGCAAAACTTTCTTTTTCCAACTCACTGTTTTCGGCTTCAGCTTGTTCTCTTTCGAGTAGACGTAGTAGAGCAATCGAGCGTAAGACATTATAATAATTGTTAGTGGAATAAAATAGTAGATCGTCACAGTATAGATTCGAAAATATTGTTGAAAATCATCATTACTACGTAGAACACATTCACGATAATTATTATCCGCATGAGATACACCATAGAAGTAATAGAATGGCGAAGCGAATAGACATGAAGCTAGAAAAAGAATATGAGTGAACGAGAATCAAATCAAGTGAATCAATACGAACTTAACCAAATAATAATACTAAGTAGAAGTATGTACCGCGGCTTTCTCCATCTCAAGTTTTGAAACGGTCGAACAACATAAACATATCGATCAATTGTCATGGCTACTAATGTCAGAACTGTAACAAGGACGCTGACAAATGAAATGAAGTTCATTAGTTTACAGGTTGTTTCGTTGAATGGCCTAAAGCACATCGTTTACTGCACTGTTCCATACCAAAGCTACTTACCAGTGTTCCAACGTGTATTGGGCGACTAGCAATGGCATACAGAACGCCAGAAAGACAATGTCCGTAACAGCCACTAAAACGTTTTTTCGAACAGATCAAAGCTTCTCGTTGACAAGTTTGTTTTACTTACAATTCACGATAAAACAATTGGTGACGTTCGTCATCTTCTGAAATCGAACTGCTACATATATAACTAAACTATTCCCTATTGATTTTGAACAAGAAAGAAAAAGATAGTGCGTCTCGTGTGGCTGAATCATATTTACCTAAAACACCCGCGACAGCAATGATTATCCATGCGCTTGCAAAGATGTATCGTGTATGTAATGATGGTCCATTATGAATATGAGTTTCATTTTCCGTCGGATAGCTCTCGTCAGAAACAGCTTGCTCATTCATAGTGGAATACGCAATTGATTAACCATGTTGGATTTAATCTGAAAGAACAAGGCCTTTTCATGTAATTCTCCTCGATTAATAAATTGTGACACATCAAGGAAGTGAGAGTTAAACTAACACACGAAACATGTAAACATCTGTGCTGTGTACTTGCATTTAAGTGGCAAATCGAAGTTTTGCTAATTAGATCGCACTTTTTCTTCCGAAGTGAAAAGAAAAAGAAAACATACGTCGAGATATTCGACTCTATTGAAAAGAATGGTTAATTATAACACAAGAATGATTTTATTGTTCGTTCTTAGTCGCGCGCTAAAGAAAAGTGTTAGACTTCTACATTGAGATCGACGGAAGTACTCGTGAAAAGACAGATAGATCCGAGTGAAAGTCAAAAAACATATATTACTTTTGAAAAAGAAAATGTGGAAACAGAATGAGTCTCGCGATCGTATGTAGGTGTCAACTCTGAATATCGTTTATTTTCTTCTTGTCTATCCCATTACTTGGCATCTTTAAGTACGTGATAGAAATTATTTGCTCTTCCTGATGTTAGCGGTAAAAACAACAACAACAACAGATCTATCTCATTATCAGACGATTATGCTTACACACATCTTCTCGACGGATAAAGCGATTAAATGAATAGGAAAAGACACGGCGCCGGATATTTCAGTGTTCATGCGACTAGGAGAATTTATTAAACTGAAGGGAAAAAGAGAAAAAAGCAGCGATCTCTCGAAGAGAGTAGTCAAACAATCGTGTTACGTTATATTTCACAAGAAAAACAAAGATTATGTTCGAACAAATTTATACTGTTATTGCTGCTTACATATGTTCCATCTGTCAACGCTCAAACTCGTTTTCTTGCTTTTACATGACAAAGATAAAAGGCAATATTTTGAATAGCTGTCATATTTTCGATTGAAGGCAAACAACAGAATATATATACACATACACACATATAGATATTGTGACGTCAATATTTCTATGTCTATGCAACTAATACACTTGTTTATTTTTCTAGAAATACTATACTTACCGGAATTCTTTTTCTCGTTTAGGATGAATACAAAACACTTTTACAGCCCATCCAATTTCTTTTATATTTTCTCTCCAACACAAAGCGCAACATTCGATGAAGCAAAACGCACACATACACATCATTAGAGAATAGGTAAATCCGTTATATATATATATATACCAACACTCGTGACTCTCAACCAAGGATTTCTAAAAGTACGCATAGATAATTCAAATTCATCTTTAAAACATACAGAGAATCCTCACTCTCGTCGTAATTATATATTTACTCATTAAAATTTTTCTTTCCCAGATAATGGTGGTACTCTGTTGAATAGGTCTTGTTATGCAGGTAGAAGAAATACGATACTTGACGTGTGCAAAAGTAATTAAACATACATCTAGCATTGAAAGAAGAAAATTGCCGAAGATAATATGAAATTTGAAATGGGTTAGGTTACATCTTATTTTCTCTGATTGCACGGCAGCTCGATGAAAGTATTGGCAAATAAAACGTGACAACTGACATATTGATGGCAAGCAAACAAAGGAAAACATTGTGGATAATAGAGTCATCATTTTCTTTTTCCTGCTCAAAAATATATTACGATAGTTAATTGACCACAAATCGAATCGATTATTTAACAATCAACGAGGGCCTATCGGTTAGGAACGATGAGTTTGACGAGATATTTATAGCACATAATTTTAAGTTTTCTTCCGCAAACATGTGATGTCTTTTTATCGAAGTTGATTACGATTTCTCTAGGGAAATTACTTTTTTCGCTTTCTGATTGACTAGTGGTAAACTATTTTCATTTGCGTGCATGAATCATTAGAACTCGATCTCATTGAGATATAACCTGCCAATTAAAACTTCGACAGACAACATTTCTCTATAAATAAAACATTCTCATCATAACTGGACTTCTCATCTTCAAGACAAATGAATGTCAATATAAAGGTTTTTTACCGAGATGCTTAGTTTGACATTATGTCAAATGACAACCAGGTGTTGCCAATCAATCTCTTAAATCGGAGCATAAAAGTATAAACAACCACCTCATAATCGCATTAATTCAACAAGTCGTTTGATCTGAAGAGAATTTTTTTCTCCAAAGGTGGAAACATCAGAAATTGCAAATCTTTATATTTTTTTTCCGCTAATCGATTGAAAATGCACGGATATGTTTGTGTAGTGAATATTCATTTATGCAGGAGCATTTTTCCACATGTCAACGGAATGCTCGATATCAGAATAATTTGAATAATCAATCTGACTTTGACGTAAATGCACAGGCGCAATGTTTTGTTTACTCTTCATTATTCAGTAGTGTCAAACTTGAAAGTTGAATTTGATTCCGCAAATGTTCTTTCCCTAATTATCTATTATGATTGTCGAGAGAATGATAGATTGCGACTAAGAACACACTTTTTGAGAGAATATTCATGAATTTTTTCTGCGTGAATTACGATCAATCCTCCATCATTTCATGCTGAATTTAGTAAATATCTATCGAGTTTCTGCTTGATAACATTTCATGAGTTGACCTTTTTTCTTCCATATATTTCGACGTTGTTGCATTCTCATTCACGAGAAACTCTATTTTAGTATACAGAGCAAAATAAGTCCAACTGATAATTATCTTTGCTACGTAGACAATCAGCGATAACCGAGAATATCTACTCGCAAAAGCGATATAGTCTCCAATATCATGGCTTATCAGACAATATAATCGTTTTGGAATAACCAACAAGAATGTCTGAATGTGAAATATTCCAGACGATCGCATTACATTTGCTCTCTATCTGATTGTCGAGTGAATATCTTGACTAGAATGCTTTTTTTTTGTTCAAGGAATTTATTGAAATGTTGCTTAATATACGTTAAAAATGAAATGTGAACGAAAACTCTTCAGAATGTCAACAGACATTTCTCGTTGAAAATTGAAATTTTTAATAACGTTCGCGATCACCAAATATCATTTTACCGTTATGACCAATCAATGGTTTAAGACTTGCTTTCTTATAAAGAATATGTGGATGGTAACGCAATGAAGCTCGGCGATATTGTTGATGATCAGATTGATCCTGTTCATTGGAGAGAAATTGACGAACGAAATCAAGATCATGTAACTCGCTTTCATCATTGTTCGTTGGTTTTGCTTGAATTTGACAACATATGAGGCAAACTAAATCGAGAGAAGATAAACACGAATCGATTCGACAAAGTAATCTTACCTGCCAATACAAACAAACATTTGATTAGATTGAAAAGTGAACTCATGGCTGATTTGTAGATGGATAAGTCTGAAAGAAAGAGTTGACTTTACTTCGGATTTGGATTGATGTGAAAATAAGAGATGTGCAAAGAAAATACGATAGTTAAATAAAAGAAAACAGGGATCTGAGAGAGAAGTCAGAGAACGGAAGAGGCGGAAAGACATGTCAAACTCGAACATTAACTGATTATTATGATCAGGTTGATGTCGGTGAAGATTTAATTCCATTCTTTTCTTGGCCTTCCGCCTGTTTCCTTGACGAGCTCAAATATGTACCATCAAAATAATTGATGCAGAACATTTGCATTGATATCATATTTTCTTTCTAGAGAAGTCACATGCAAGGGTTTAACTTTCATGCAAATTTTATATTCTTTGTCTAATCAAGGAAGTACTCTCATCCTTGTTTTGAAAGTCATTTTAATCAGCAGTCAACTGTGTAAGATTCGATATGACGCGTCGGATCGTTTGCACATTGACTAATTCTCCAAGATTCAATATTGTTTTCATTCGACTTGATATACTTACCTTTTCTGATGGCCTCTTTCGGATATAACCGAGCATCATTGGGAATGTCAGAAGAAATAAGCGAACATATCAATCACAATCCATGTCAATCGACAGATTTGATTTTCTTGAAAGGAAAACTAATAAGATGTTTCATTGTTAATTCGACAAAGACATCCATCTGGTAAGAATGTCATTCACTCGAAAGAAAAGACAATTCTCGTGTTTCTTTTTCAATTGAAATACATGCCGAGTTGAGTGAATTACAAAGAAGGAAAAAAGAGATCAATGCTCTAGAGAGGTCAGCAAGATCTCTCTGCACATCCGATGTTTGATTTTATGACGACGACTTTTGTCATCAGTTCCGAGTTGCTCGCTTGGACTTCCGCTTTGAACTCCCCGTTCAATTGGAATAAAAGCTTCATTATAACTCTCATAAGTTCGTTTCTAATGTCTTCTTACGCACGCATAGTTCTTGTATACCATGACCAACGACGACATTTGGTACGACTAGAACGAACTTCATCATGTGTTGTTTGTGTTTAACAGAAGATTAGCTGCTTTCATCTATCATCGTCGAAAGATGCGACAGCCAAGGTTCTATCGTAGGAAAAGAAAAACGAAATGCGTAGTGTCAGCTGGAGATATTCGCAGGATAGAAATCGGATCCTGTTATAACCGAAAGGTAATTCGATTGTAATGATTCCAGTTAGTTTTTTAATATTGAAACCACAAGCAATGGGCTTCTTACAATTACTTAGTTTATCAGTCAATGTGCTCTGTTTGATTCAAAAAGTGCCGCAAATATATCGGATTTATAAGACCAAGGATGTCGAAAGTATTTCAATCGCATCGGTTTTGCTTGAAGAAACAGCGTAAGGGGAAACTTTCTTGGAGGTAAATGAATATTGATTGGAATAATTTAGTTATACATTGGTGCTGACATACAATCTCTGGCGAAATTATCCACTGTCAACGTTTTTCGAATACGTCTTTCTTTTCGTTCAGGGTAACTAAAGAGCGACAAAGAACGAATTGACGAATATTTAATTCCTCCTCTAGATTTACTTCTTTTATTGGCAATATGGAAATATTCGAAAAAGGATAACAAAGATAAAGGCAAATTGAGTGATCCATCGACACCGTTGTATGGAATACTAACGTAAGATCATCTTTTCGGCATCATTTTTTTATCTCTAATGGCTGAAATCATCTAGATTTTGCTTGTATCTACTGATTAGCGTCGTAGGACTCGTACCCAGCGCATGGATGCGTATCTGCACCGTAAGAAAATCTGTATGAATCTGCAAAATTCCGTCCTATTCATATGAGTAGATGCTTGTAATCCCAATTGGTGCTTCATCGAAGATCGCTCAACTACGAATTATCCTCACAAACAAAAGTGCCGGGCAAGTCAGTCGACCAGGATGGATGATTGCTTGTTACAACAATTTCGGTAAATGTCCTCACATCTGTGATACTTCTTGTTGAATTGATATTTTTCGATTTGTAGCTCGTATCATAACCAATCTTATTGAAACTCGAGATATGAGTATGGTTTTGAATTTATTCATTAGTTTAATACTTAATCTATCGATTGTTATTGCCTGTACGATTTATAAGTACGGACCAGTACGAAAATCCAAGGATAAGAAGAAGAAAAAGACAACTTAAGGATACAACACAAACACGGACATAATCAATATCGATATGAACTGAATGAGACGATTCGATTTGCAATTAAAGAAAACATAGACAACAATTAGATATATGATTAGGATCATCCGACTTAAGATATTCGAAAAAGAGGTGTTTTGCTCGATCTTCTTCCAATTTGTCTTCTTTACTTAATTGCTGAAAGGATTTCTCGGCTGTTGTTTGATCAACGCCAAAGAATTGACATGTTTTTACCCATTCGTCCCGTGCGATATAACCATCATGATTCAAATCGAGCATATTAAATGTTGTATTAATACGTTGTGATAATTGTTCTAAGATTTCCGGATTAGTATCAGGTTTATGCAGTTCATCGGCGAGATGTTTATGGAAATCGAGCCATTCTTCTGCAAAAAAAAACCAAATATTTCGTTTCGAACAAAAAATTTCATCGTGCAATGTGTACCTAAGGTTACTTTGCCATCCTGATTCGCATCTGCTCTCATGATTTCTTGACAGAGAGTCTTTCGTGCATTAGCATAGTCTTCTCGTCGTTGTTCATCTTCCTGTCCGACAAGAGACGAGAGTTTGTTCGCGAGAATTTCGAAATCTTTCGGTGTTATCGATCCATCACCGTCCACATCTAAACACATAAATACCAGAAAAACAAGCGATATGCGATTCTATCGAAGTTACCATAAAGATAAAATAAATGTTTCATCTTGTCGTTCCAGAATGGGTTCGGTGAAGTCGTCTGAAATCAATCATACATCGATCTAGTCCAAGTCCGTAAATCAGACTTACCATTGTGTCTCGATTTGAAGACTGAATACCCGATGCATCGAACGCGAGATTATTTTTTTTTCTTTTTTTTCTCATGAGAAACTCCGATCTTCCTCATAGAATAAATTATCTGTCCGACACGATGTTAGCATCATCGTTAGAGTATTGTATTGAGTGTTTTTGTCGTTACGCGCTCTCATACAATCGAACAAAATAACAAGAGTCTGTCGGATTGGGAATAATTTATGTATGCACACCATTTCCAAAGCTTTGTATCGTTTTCGTCGTCTCTCGCGAGCTCCAAATCGAATCAAAAGCCAATTCTATTCATCGAAACTACACGCGAAAACTGAGGACACTCGACGGCATTCTTCTTGCCAATGTGTGTTTGTTCTAAACGAGGACGATTCTAGTCGATTCACTTCCCTAACCCATTCATACATGTAAATTTATAATTAGATAATCGATAGCATGCTTTCGTAAATACCATCTATTAGATTTCAATAATTTAGTATAGAGAAACGATTGAGTATACAAAACAGTGGAAAATTACTTTGTCGACCTCGATCATCCATCCTTTCTCTCGGGTGTATCGAGTGATTATATGCGTGTTTATTATGATAATTTACACAGAAAGAAGAAAAAAAAAAGAAGTGTTCGAATTAAAAACCATCTAAAACACAAGAAATAAAATTCAACTTGAGGATCATCATTTGACGACACTTACATTGATGTTCGGTGGCACGCTCTCCTTGTGCATATTCAGGATTGTCAACAAGTCCATCACGATTCGTGTCGTACATAGCAAATTTTCTCGGATCTAGAAAACAGTTCGCTAGGTCTCATTCATTAGCGGTCAACTTTACCTTCAACTCGAGAGAATTCGTTGGTGTTCAATGCGCCATCTCGATTGACATCAGCGACGTTTTGTTCGATTCGATCGAGTTGTTCCCGACCATCGAGGATACCATTGCGATCACCGTCGAAAGCAGACATGATTGAGAGAGATAGGTTCTCATTAAAAAGCAATTCATCTCTTTATATACCATGAAAGACTGAAGCTATAAATAGAGTGAAGTCATTCATCTATGACCATGACTTCTTTGACGTCGAAGGGAAAGTGGGCAGAGCAAGGTGAAGAAGTAAAACGTCGAGTTCGTTTTTTGTATAGATTTATTGAACTTAATCATGTATGTTTTTATTCTGTTAAAAGAAAAAGAGAGAAAGGATACGGCGCGCAGATGGTAAAGTTCGGTGAAATAAAACTGATAGCAAAAAAAAAGAATTGGGATTAACCAGTAAAGGATCCCGCACTAATAACAGACAAAACAAAAGAGAAAGCAGACAATGAGAATTAACAAACAAAACAAAAAACGAATGAGTTTGTTGCCTAAGATTAAACTATTCTTTCAGATAGAAAAGAAAAACGATATTCTGTAAAACAGTGATCATTGGATAAAACTACTCGAGAAAGAAGCAATATGATGATAAAAAGAAAAAGAAACGATCTGGATTCGGATGTTTTTTCTTGTATGTGTTTGTGTGTGTGTGTTTGTATATACAAAAACAAAACGAAAGAAAAACTTTGTATATAGTTGAAGTTTATCGGTACATATATTGAAGTTTGAATCAGTCTTGTTCGAATTCTGCAAATAGAAAACAAAGGCAAATCAAATATTCAATAGATTAGGTGCTAATGCTCATGCAAAGAATCGATCGATTCATGCGAGATGGAAACCCTTAAAAAGAATATTTTCCCCCTTTGATTCCAGTCACTTACAGTCGGACCAATCCACATCGCTAGAGAAAAATAAATTATCGAAAAAAAAACAGCACTTTCGTTCTTCTCGGAAGGTTGGCTACTTTCGCATCGAAAAATCATGAGACAAATGACTTACTATGGTAAATGACGTGATGTTTCAGAGCCGAAAACAATCTTTTGAGAATGCGAAGCCTTTTCTTCGCCTTGTTCGTTGAATAATTTCGTTTCACATGCCGTGCCCATACCCCACGAGTCCAATTGATCGTTGACCACCTGCGATGGTGGACGGTGGTGTGCGTTTTGAGCGCCACGAGCATAGATTTTCAATTCATTTCCATGTTTAATAATCAAACCATAAGGAATTATATAGGAGATCTCTGGCGAGCCTTCAACACGTCGCTTCAATGTCCAGTTGGATACGTCAACATCTTTATCAAGCGAACTGTTTTCTAATGTTATGCATTTACCATCAGGTGCGCAATCCTCTGCAAAAAAGAACGAACGAAAATGAAATGAATTGGTACGGCAAACAACAAAAGAGAAAATCATAGTCAAAATCGAGCCTTGATCATACCAGGTGATACGACTGTTTTGTACGTTTCTAGATAAGAAATATTTTGTGTTAGAAAGATTGATGGCACTAGAGGACACTTAGTGACTTGGATAATATGTTAATACAATTTGAAAGCAGAAAATTGAAGGCAATTGACCTTCCACATTTTTTTTTCATGAATTGAGCGTGCATACATTAGTACGAGAAAGAAAACGGCGCGACACTATGTCTGAAGGGCGAGTCTACTTGAAAGAGTGTCAGTTGAAAGTTTATTTATGAAACTGTTCGAGTACGAAATGCTGATTAAATCTGACTCGTTTTATTGATCTACGTACTGATAGCAATGGGTCCTTTCTTGATTTTCTTGTTGAAAACTTTGCCGAGTTCGCTGCCGAATGACGGTGGCGTTGGTTCGGGTGACAAAACTTGTTCGACGGGTGGTTGTGCAAGTCGATTGGTNTTTACCTTTGTAAAATTGTGTCAATCTCTCCGGTTAAATTTTGAATGCGTTCTTGTGCGGTCGACAATTCTTTGTTGATATTATCATTGGTGTCGTCCCGTTGATGACGTAAATAGTTATACTCTTCTTCGAGTTTACTCAAACGTTCTTGTAAATCTTTGTAGAGATCTTTTTCATGAATCAATAGTTTCTGAGTATCACCTAATTCGAATTTCGTTGATTTGATTTGTTCGGACATTTTCGTCAGACTGTCTTGTTGTGATTGGACAGGCACAAGTTTCTTCGCATTGTTTTGAATCTCTTCAATTTTAACTTTGTAGTAGTCCTCCATTTCTTTACGTTGTGCTGAATGTAACGTGTCAAAATCACGACGAATATCACGAATAGCTTTCTCTAATTCTTGACGATAGAATAATTGTGTGTCGATACCATTCGTTGGTTTTAATTGTTCGAATTCGCTACGCATCAAGCAAGAACTTTAATAACTATTGGATCTTTCATATGATTCTTACCTGATTAAATGTGTGTGAATATCGTTGAGAAAAGGAATTTCTTCTCGAAGTGTTTGTACTTGCAAATCTAGTTTGATTCGATCCAATGTTGCTTTGTACGATAGTTCATTGAGTTGGTTGATTTCTTGAAGGTAATCTTCACGTTGTTGAAGTAAAATCTTTAGTTGTTCTTCGACTTGTTTGAACGAGCGTTGTAGGGCAGTCAATTCTACACATGAATGTTCGTATTCTAGTTTCAATTGTTCACGTTTTTCTTCTTGTCGATTGTTCCATAGGGTCTCGTCGTGTATCAATGATCGATAATTATCAATATCGTAATGTGAACGACGTAAACGTGTTTGTAAATCGGCTTCGCCCAGCATACTTTCGTTGACTTCTTGTCGAAGACGATCGAGTGAACCTGAGTATTGGGAAACGATCGCTTGGGAGGCAGTGCCCCATGTCTTAGTGATATCTTCAAGTTGAGTTGTTAATTTGGAATTTTTGTTCTCAAGTACTTTGACTCGATCGAGATAGCCGCGGAAGCGATCGTTTAATTCGGCGAGTTCTTGTTTTTCACGTTGATGTTGTTCGCGAAGGTTATCGGTGACTTGGCCATTCGATGATTGGGTTAGTAATGAAAATGATGAGTTATTGCTTGTTTCATTGGGAACATATCGTTGCATTGGTGAACGATTTCGTGTACCTTTTTCGATCGAAACCGAACGCGTCGATGTTTTCACCGTCTCACCAACACCGGACGACATTGGACTGTGCGTTTTCGTTATTGAAACACTATGAGCTGGTACGATATCCGCTGGAGGATTAACTGATATATCCGAATGAGACACTTCTGTTGGTGTTAATGTTGACTAAAATCAAACGAAATGTAGAGAAAGATATATATAAAATTGAGTCGAAATTAATTTCAACAATGAAAGGAAAAAAAGCTTTGGACGAGACGAGACGAGACGCCTTAGAAGTTACGTCGTCGCTGTAATTCATCAATGAATAACATATGTTCAAAACGGTAATAGGCTTATAATTGATATTTTGTACATGAAGAGAGTCTGATGAGAAAAGGAGAAGAAGAAAAACGAACGAGAAAAAATTTAAATCTCTTCATCACTGCTCAGACAGGTTCTTTATATACACGCACAATATATGAGAGAGAGAAAGCGCAAAAAATGAGAATGTGACAAAGGTATCCGAAGTATAATTCTAAGGCACATACACAATGCCAGCAATGGGAAGAAATTTATGAGAACTGAGCATGATGAAAACAAAAAAAAAGCGAGAGAGACACACACCTGAGTATATAATATCATGATTCTAAATCATATAGCTGCCATGAAAGAGTATCAACAAAGATTGTCGAATTAAACATTTGTTAATGTCCTTTTCTCTTGCTATTGACGTTAGCATTGGTCCGTATTGTTTTTCTTCTTATCTCTCGAATAATCAGACCGATTGTCTCTGATTTTCACCCCCCCCCCCTCTCTTCCTATATCTATCAATCGATGCCTGTCTTCATATGCCTGATCGTTTGACATTATATATCTCAAATAACCCCTAAAGCACAGGTGATCTGTGATGCATGTAGAATGAACAAAGGCCTTTACTTCAACTTTCAACATGCATCTATACATATGGAAATCATCATGCTAATTAGAATTCGAATCAGAAGCAAAAGACAAATCTACCTGTTCGGTGAGACTTTCGTCATTTGGTTGTTTATCTTGTTCATTCTCAATTACTGAATACACATCCGAAGGAAAGGATGATGATAATGAATAATCAGTGATTATATCAGTATCAAGATGTTCATCATCACCAACATCCGTCATTCCTTTCGGTCTTCGATCTATCTTTCAGTCGTCGTCGTCGTAATAATAATAAAAATGATCCCGACGAGAATCGACAAAAAAAAGCTTGGTGTTGTGCGATTTGATTAGAGTGAATGAAATAGGAGAAACTTGCTTCTCGATTTCAATTCAAACCTGCGTGGCAACAAAACTACAATGTTCATATACTTATATTGTTTCTTTTTTCTCTTTCATCAGCAAATTCGCCTTCTCTTCACATTTCCAAGGACAAAAAGACATCAGTCGAATAACACCGAAAGAAGCCTATCAGTGCAACAGTCGCTTATTCATTAGAAACAAAATCAGCAGCAGCATTATATACATATATGTCGATGTGTTACTGCTAACCAGAAATTTTGTTTTTTCTTCTACATTAATCATTTTCTCATCTACACGACGACTCCCTATGGCTGCTCTAACCGCTATATTTCGATAATAATAATCCTAATCACTTACACACAAGAAATACACATATATTTGCGTATAAGAGAGAAAAAAGAAACATGCTGTACCTGGATAGCGTTTGCTGTTATTGACCATCTTTGTTATTATGAGAAAAAACAGAAGACAAAGCTTGTCTTGTTCGATCGACGACTAATTGAATAAAATCTATTTGAGTTGGTGTTACCTAGACGTATATGGCTCGTCTGTCTGTTCGTTTTACGTCTGATGGATGATCCTTACGACAACACCTATACTTTGCATTTATCCGCCCAACATTTTTTTCTCTGTCTCTGTGTCTATCTCTCTCTCCCTCTCTCATTAAATTCAATCGTTTGGAATAAACTTTTGTTAAGTTTAATTTGTTCGACTCAAGTGGGTGAAGACAGCAAAAAAAAGAAAAAGAAAACGAAAACGAGCGAAACAAAGCTTATGAATAGAGTTTTGAAATACTTCACCTCACTTGTCAATGTCTTGTAGTCTTGTACAAGTATTAATTGAAAATGAGTCTTTACTGTTTATTTTCCTTTTTAAATATTTTATCAAGGTAAAAGTCGCGGATTTTTCTTCTGCACTGCTCCATCTCACGAGCGCACTAAGAGAAGCCAATGAAAGAGAGGTAGAGAGGGAAAAAGTTGTGGTTATTATAAGCACACAACCGTCCTACAACTTATGAGCATTGAATAACGCCAAAGAAAACGTCATCTAATTATTTTCATTATTTGATAAAGAACGGTTTGCCTCACGTTGTGCCATATTTGAACAGTTCAAGGCTCGACTTCTTTTCATTCTTCAAGTGTACATCTCTTTCTTATTTGTTCAGATGTGTGTAAAATCCAAGATAAACATACGATTATGCAGAGAATTCGTCAAATGTTCGAGTACCTACTCACTGGCTGAGAAGTAAACATATGGTTCTGGCACTTGCCAAGATCATATGTTAAGTAAACAGGATCGACACGGATTCTAATAAATAGACGTTTCTCTGCTTTTTGCAAACATCTCGTTGCTACCTGACAATGATAGCAACAACCTCAAGCTCAAAGTTAATTAGCAGCACGAAAGAAAATAGTTACAAGACTGTCGAGCAAATAAAACAGTTTTATTTCACAAGAAGAAAAACTTACGCTTGGTAATGGCATTCTTTGTACGACTATGCAGCTTGCTTACCAATGTAACCCCTCTAACAATGTAGGTTTTTTGTTCTATGTATAGATGATACTTATGAACGTCTTCATTGTACGAAATACATGACCTTCTTTTTCGTATCGTCAGTTTTTTTTCTCTTCGTTGCTCATCCCACTATGATCAGTATCATTGTCTCATACGTTATAGGTTTCTGTTCAATTTTCATCTTGTCCTTCAATCAAGCAACTCATCATGCTCATTCGTATATCGACACAAAATCATATCCTATCATATCGTATTATATAGGTCTTCATCATCGATGAGTTTCATATCCTAATCAGTCACGAGTGACAGTCCCTAACACCTTTCTTTCGTTTTTTTTTTGTTTTACTTATTATCATACAATGAAAGATGTATTTACTTTCGATTTTTATGTCTTTAATACGAAACGAAGTTGTTTCAAAATTTCAAACATATACATATCTTTAAATTATCATCGACTTCTTCTTTTTTTCCTCTTTTTCTACGCGTCAATGAACTATACATTCAAGTTCAATTTTCTCGGTCACTACATATCATCTTACGCCCATTCATTTTTATCCACTTGTCTATGGCTCAGAGC